AACCCCAACCCCAACCCCAACCCCAACCCCAACCCCAACCCCAACCCCAACCCCAACCCCAACCCCAACCCCAACCCCAACCCCAACCCCAACCCCAACCCCAACCCCAACCCCAACCCCAACCCCAACCCCAACCCCAACCCCAACCCCAACCCCAACCCCAACCCCAACCCCAACCCCAACCCCAACCCCAACCCCAACCCCAACCCCAACCCCTAATTTATTTGATTTTATTTTAAAATCTGAAAAATAAAAATACATTTAAATTTAGAAAAAATGAGATGATATTTTAAACGATTACAGTAAAACCTTTAGCCTTGAGCTTCACAATTTTTTTAAAAATGAGAGGGTTCTATAAAAATATAAAAGAGTTTAAAAATTTTACAAGTTTTCAGAACAATAGAAGGACTGAGAACTCGAAGTTTGCAGTATATATGATAAAAATTTATATTACATTGGAAGTTTCACAATCTGTAATAGAATCCAAATCAGTGATTTCACAGAATTTATTCTAAAATATTCTATTGAAAGAATGAATGTAAAATTTAGAACATTTAGATTATCCTAATGTATTCTTATTTTATCATTCGAATTAGAAATATATTCAATTATCACTTGTCCAAAACAAGTTTTTAGGGTAAATTCTATAAGAAACGTGGTCATTTTATAGTAAAAATTAAATTAAAATAAAAAGATTTCATTCAATTTATTAAATTAATTAATTAAAATTAGTTAGAAAAATTTATGGATGAACTTTATTTTTTTTGAACAAAAGGATAAAGTAACTGATTGAAATAAGCTTAAAGATCTACTTAAAATGTACACATATAGAAAAAAATTGATAAATTAAAGTTAGTACTTTTAATATAACATTTATGAGCCTGTTTATAAAAAGAATAATATAAGAAAAATTGATTGTTGATTAATTATTTAAATCAAATGAGGAATCTCTAATCTATCATTGTTTTACTAGAGATATTTCTCCTACCAAAAACATCTCTCAGCCAACTGAATATTCTGTTGAATAAGAATGTAATCAAAATAGCTACAAGAGGGCTGCTTGAGAAATAATTAAAGAATAAGAAAGTAATCATTTCATACATTACAAGAAACCATTCATTACCATAATAAAATATTTTGCAATAGTTCATATCTGGGTCTCTGTAGAAGAAGGGAAGATCATAAGGAATTGGATCAGAGGGTGGAAGATTTAACAGACGATTTATAAATGATTTATTTAGGATGTGATTTTGACTATGTATTTAAACTTCTTTGATATAGGTTTTTATAACATTTATCATATGATTTCTAAATTGTTGCTTTTCTATTTCTTAAACCATTTCTCTGACTACAGTCTTAGCAAATATCCATTGATCTTGATTAAACATAGCACTCAATTAATCAAATTTTATTTTATATTCAGTCATATATTCAAATCTTAATGAAATGGGTATGTAAGTTTCGAAAGTTTAAACATGTTCTCCTTTAACAAGACCTCTATGAGCAGCTGAACTTGCTTCTTTTTCTATTGCTTCTTTAAGCCATTAAGTATTACCTTCTGAAATACCGCTTGGAGCTTTTCCATGAACATAGTATCCTATTAATAAGTAAACAAGTTTTTAAATAAATTAAAAATTTAGAATTAAAAGAGTTAATTACCATGCAATTGCTCATCCATGATGAATATAGATATGTTAGCTATTGTACAAAGATCAGTGAAATCTTAAATAGGAGTAGGATTCCAAATAATAAATAGCTTTTTTACAATAATTTGTAAAAGTACAATTACAACATATAACAGAGCAGCTACGAAGTAACGAAGAGCTTAATTCGTATTTACATAGTCTTTTTCTTCAGTAGTTAAAAATGGTACTTCCTAACCTAGATTATCCCATGATAAACCAGTTAAAAAAAATCCTAACCAAAATAAAGTCCATTCAAAAGATGTTACTCTTTCAACCTTTAATATTTAAAAAATATTTTTTAAATAATGTTTTAAATAAAATAATTTACTGAAAGTTCATTAAATTCATTAGCAACAAACAAAGTTCTCCAAATCGAAAGTCCTCTCTTCTTTTCATCTTCTTAATCTTCATCTTCAAATTATTTTTAATTTTCCCAATCTAAGAAAAGAACATCTGTTTACAGCTAATGATAAATAAATTTCATAAATGAAGCTGTTTTGAAAGAAAACTAGATTATAATAAAAATTTTGAAAGCATTAAAGAGATCTGATTCTGTAGTAGGATTGATCATCAAAGTATAAAGCGTTTCTTGTAATTTATATGTCACAAACCAGTAACCTGTCATGAAGAATAGATAATAAAATGAAAAATCAGCCCATATATCTATTAAAATATGCAAGCCATTTGTAACCCAAAGGGCAAAGAAAGTTTCTGGAGAAACATTTTAAGATTAAGGGTTATATTTAGACCATATATTAAATTTAAATATCCAAATGATGCCTGTGAGAGCAGCAAAAACATAAAATATTGGATATGCTGCATTTGTAAATTATGAACTATCTTGCTAATATTTAGCTACAAATGATATATTGAGTGTTTTAGGGAGATCAGATTGTTATATAGTTTAATATGTTATTATTAAGACAGGCATATTTATTTAATTGTTCGAAGTCTAAATTTTTATATTCATTTACATATTAGTCGCCACAAAGAAAGTCTATTTTTATAAAATAAAATTAAATGCTATTCTTATTTAAAGGATAAAAAAATATAAATAATGATTTTATATCTTCATTTTTTTCTCTTAGATTTCAACTCTTAACTGAAAATATTAAAAACCAAAGATATGATGGATGGATGGAAAGATAAATAGATAGCTCAATACAAGATAAACTAAGATTGAACTTAAATAAATTTTTGAAACAGCTATTTAAAAATGTACTGCTTTTAAATTTAAATTAATATTTAAAAAAACCAAAATTTAAATTCTTACTTAAGGAAGAGCATCTTAATTAAGATAATTTGAGTTTGCTGAGCCTTCTTATTCAGTATAAAATCCAGATATATTATCAACCAAAAAGAATCTTGAATAGTATTTATCACTCCCTTAAATTTAAACAGGAACTCTTAAAAAGGTCCCTGAGTTATTTGTTTCAATAAGTAATTCATAGAAAACGCTTTAACTTCTATCACTCTAAAACTAAGCAGCATTTAATTAACAATTTAACGTAAAATCAGTACCGAATTCTTTAAAATTCTACCCATCAGTGTCAGTACTCGGGCACAAAAAAAGCTAATTATCTAAACTAGCAAATGTATTTGGTGATGCAACATCCATATCTATTAAATTTCCATCTAAATCAAAGGTTAGAAGTTTAAAATTTATGTAGGGTAATCTTGTTGAATCACCGGTTTGCTTTCCTGGAAGTCTCATAGGGTGTACTTAATAAGTTGTAGAAAAAACATTCAAATAGCTACTATCTAAAACAATATTATATGTAAAGAAGCTCTTAACTGTAGAACTAGCTAATTTTTGAGTTAGCAAAGTTCCATAAATCTCACATGGCATTTTTTAAATCTGATTATAAGCAGTTAGTGCGCATAAATTAGCTAACTTTTAGTGGTAATTATATGTATCCATCCAATAATATGCTTAATCTAGATGATAGACCATAAACTAAGATTCAAATGCATTTGTAGAATTACCAGAATTGTAATTAAATCTTTAATTAACATTAGGAAGACTATACAGCTTTGGTGTTTTATATGTTTAAGTTGCAGGCAAATAAGCTTAGAATTTCAAATATAGTTCAAACCCATTAAAAATATTTCTATCATTAAAAAAAATATATAAATATAAATTATAAATAAACTATTTATTGTATTTTGAAAGAAGATCAATCTTTTAATCTGTAAATGCAGCAAAATTTCAATTTTTTAATTATACCTTTGATACCAGGAATTTTAAATAGCAGTAGTCCTGACTAAAGAGCATTAATTATCATTTTATGTATCTCCTTGAATGCCAAAAGAAACATAGCAGCCGTTTGCTTGTGTACTACTTTAGGTACAAGTAAATCCACCAACTTATGGATAATCGCTACTAGATTTGAGTTGACCATTACAATAGCATTTTACATTAACCCCTGCATTTTATGTATAGCCATCAGGACATTATGTACATGATAGAGTGAAGGGATCAAGATAATTTCCAGCAGCACAACTTGAAAGGACTTGATCAGAATAAATAAATCTAAATTGGATAAAAATTATGAAACTTGCAATGTTCAAAAACCTTGCTAATATTTAAGGCACCATTATATATTTATTCGCTATGCTATTGATTTGTATTTTCTAAATTCTATTATACCTATTTATTATAAATATCTTGCGTTTGTAAGAATCTAATCTAAATTTAAATTATTTATTGAAAATTTAAATTTTTCTTTAGATTTTATCAATTATTAGGTAGAAAAAATTATCACAAATTAATTAATTATTTAATAAATGAAATAAAACTTCATAAATCTTTTTTTAAATATTTATAAGGATAGTTAAAACCTTGATTCTTATTCAGCATTTTTTATTATCTGATAATTGTAAATTAAAATTTTAAATAAAAATAGACTGATTTAATGAATGATTTCTTGATAGATAGATTTATTATTTTTATTAAAAAATACTTCATAATTATTTTAATTTGTTATTTAAAATAATTTTTTTTTTTAATGATGTGAATGCTTTGAAAAGAATAAAAAATTATTTTATTAAATTTATTTAATTTATTACAATTTAATTAAATATAACAGTTATAATATTTCATTTAAGAATATTAATCAAATCACTTGTTTTATTTTTTAGATAGGGTTTATTTTTTTTAATTTAAATTTTTACATTTATTAAGATTTCAGTATTTTACAAATTAAAAATTTTATAAAAAGTTTCTAATAAGGAATACCCACCCACCTTTTTAACTACGTTTACAATGGGTTTTTCCGTAATTAATTTCAAAATTATCTCTATTACTCACTTTAGATTTTAGTTCCTATTTATCAATATTCAAAATTATACTTCTTATTTATTAAAATATTTTATGCATCTATCAACATATACTTCATTTTCATAAAAAACAAATTAATTATATTTTTAAAAACAATGAATTTTTTCAATAATTTGGCTCATAAGTGCAATCACCACCCTTTTCTTGATTATTTAAATAGTAGCAGTACCAATTCAAGCCATACTTGCTACCATTATTAATTTTCCTTGTTTCAACCTGGTTATCAAAATCAAGAGCTCTTTAGTAAGACCAATTCAAGTATCTCATTACATAACCACCAAAAACTTAGCCAGTACGATCTTCTCCAGCTATACAATGGAAAAATATGATTTTTGGTCTTTCTCCTTATTATAAAAGATTTTCTCTAAGTTCTTAAGTAATAATATTCATATTATCATGATTCCATATAGGATAATATTTAGAAAAGAATTTAGCTAAAAAATTAGGTAAGGAATTAGGATTTACTATAGACCCGAAAATAGGATAGTGAGTAAATTTGTATTCAGTATGGTTTTTAAAATATTTATCTTCTGTGTAGTTTTATTTAATAGAGTCCACAAACGATACTAAGCTATAGGAGTGGATCATAGGGTCTTGTGGAAGCTAGTACCCAGATTGAGATATTTTTTCAGCCATAGCTTCTAATAATTCTTTCATTTGGTAATCATCACCTTAGACAGGAGTGTTAGTCCTAAAAAGAAAATTATTCCCTATTTTATCAACTAGTATAACTCTGCTGTTTATAACTCCACAGTATGTAAAACTCGTTAAAATGATCAAGATAATAAAGTTTTTATAGCCCATAAGCTCTTTTCTTTTGATTAAAGTTTCTTCTTTTATTAATTTTTATTATTATATACGTGAATTTATTTGATGTATTTGATTTAACCAAGAATTAATTAGATTTGAGTCATTTAATCTTACTTAAACATTAAAATTTGTGATTTTTTTTCATTAAAGGTTTTAATACCACTCACTTAATTTAACTTTTTATGAGGTCACTTCTGTCGTCTTAAAATACTTAAAATAGCTAATTTATTTTTGGATTATTAAAATTTTTTTCTTCTCTGATTATGATAAAAAGAATCTTAAAACACTTACATATATAGATTTTAATTAATTTTTACCATAGATTTTTCATATTGTAATTTCAAGCAAAATTGAAGATGTAGTATGTTTTTTGTAAAAACTTTTAAGTATCTTAAGCAGACTAAGTGATAAAATTATTTAAATATTTAAGAAAAAATATAATTTAAGAAGGACAAATGGAAATTTAGTAAAAAAATAATTAGTTTTTTAAATAAGCTATATCATTAGAAATATTTTTATAAATAAAAAACTTTAATATAGAAATAATAATAAAATATAATAATTAAAGAATAATTATTCATACTTACTTAACAATTTTCATAATTAAAAAAAATATTTTTTCCTTAAAGAGCTTTTAATAAAGTTGAAACAAATAATGAATTAATGAACTATAGAATGAAAATAAATTTTTTTAATAATGTATTTCGAAATCTAATTTTTGATTGATTGATTGATGATTTGGTAAAAATAGAAGTATTTATTGATTTAAATTTTTTCTTCAAAATATAAGAAGACATTTGTATGATGATTATTTGATTTATTTTTTTAATAATAAATTATGAGATTTGAATATATTTTTTTTTAACACTTGCTTATTATTATTATTACATCATTTCTTAGTTTGTTCTATTAGAGTGTTTTCTAATTGTTAGTTTTACTTTATCAGAAATGCTTTCATTAATATAATTATAAAAAGCAGTATAAGTTTAAATAATCATTTATAATAAAATAATTTATAAGTGATACTTCAACAAAATCTTACAAAAAGAATTATTTAAAATTATTTTATCAATCATAAACATAAATTTATTGAGCTTTACTTTAAATCATGCAAAAATAAATTTTCATAATAAATTGTTTAATTAATCGTCAAATGTTAATCTAATTAATTAATTAATTAAAGAGATAAATTTATTATTAAATCTTTAATTTTAGCTAATTAAATTTTGATCAAAAGATTTTATAAATAAATAAAAATGATCAAAAATATATTTTTTTGTTTGAGACGCAATTTACTTGAATACTAATTAAATTTTCTAAAATTATATTTAGCTTATTAATTATAACCAAATTATTTATCATAACCTTAATGAGATGTTAGAATCTCGTTAATTTAGATAATACAAAAAATATTATAAAATTTTCTTAACAGTTAAAAGAAAGAAGGCAATTCTTTATTTTTGTTGCAAATTATATTTATTAAGAATCAATTATGTTATCAAAAAAAAAATTTAATAATTTGAAAGAAAGTAAATGAAAATAAATTTTAAATACTAATTTATGTAGCTAAAGACAGACAACTCTTAGCAAATAGATCTAAATATTAATGTTTCCTTTGTTTTAATAACTCATTTATTTATAATCGAAAATTTAAATTTGTTTATAAAAAATTAAACGATGTTTTAAATGAACATTTTTTATTAAAAGTGTTATCAATAATTATGATCTACCAATATTATTTTTAAGTAATCAAATGAATATATTTCAGAGTGAGTCTAGTTTCGTAATTTACTAAGCACAAATTAGAGGAATACATTTTTTAATCTAAAAATCAAAATAAAAAAGGAAATTTATTTTCTGCTGATATTTTTGCCGAAGACTTTAAAAATTATAATCAAATTAAAATTAAAAAACTAAAAAAACTAAAAATTTTGCTAAGCGCAAAGCACATATAACTTAGATAGCCTAATCATTAAATAAAATCAAAATGAATATTTTTAGTAACGTAGAACATTAAAATAGCCAAGACAAAGACAATGACGCCAAAGAAAAGGCCAGAAGAATGGAAAACCATACTGTTGAGTTAAGAGAAAAGAAGCGTTTAGATATTCTCAGAAAAAATAGAAATATTGACAAGTCAAATTAAGGTTCTGAATAGTCTTAATAAGAAAGAGGTGGACTTACTCATTAATACTAAGCATTAATGAGCTTGGAGCCTGAATTCAGAGCCAAGATCGAGTAAATTTACAAGATAACATTCAAGTTCGAGCAAATTGGAGAGTTGGTAATTGCTCTCAACTCCTAAGATGTTCTTTTCTAGCACCATGGATGTATTGGTCTTAGAAAGTTGCTTTCTATTGAAGATTCTCCTCCCATTTAAATTGCCATCGACTCAAATTGTGTTCCTCGTTTTATTGAATTCATCAAATAAAGTACTTATCCTGTTCTTCAGTTAGAAGCTTCATGGTGTCTTACTAACATCGCTTCTGGTACCACTCACCAAACACAATCAATTATAGTAATTTTATTTGCTTAAAACTAAAAGATACTACAAACAATCTTAAAAGTTTATAAACAAAACTTTTACTTCAATAATATGGGATTTTAAAGAATATTTAAAAGAATTCTATTTTATTTCACTATATTTTAATAGATAAAAGAAGATTTTACTCGAAATTTATGCTTTTGTAGTTTTTAGCATTAAAAAATAGTTGTTTTATTAATCAAATTAATATTTTTTTAAATTTATAAAGGATAAGGGCGCCATTCCTCTCTTCTGTAAGCTTCTCCTTTCTCCTTTCCAAGATATAGCCGAGCAAGCAATTTGGGCTATCGGTAACATTTCAGGGTAAGAATTTTGAATTGATTATTAGCAGATAAATTTTAAAACTCAAAATAAAAAATTTTTAAGATCTTCAAAAATTTTGTTTGAATAGCAATTAATTAATATTAATTTATCTTGATCTTCTAAACAAAAAAGTTCGCGCAATAATTTATTAAATAATATAAATTTCATTACAAAAATATCCTAAGTAAAAATATTTGACTTTGATATATTAGCTTAAAAGGAAAAAATAAATTATAATATAAAAAGGAGGAGGAAATTTCCTTTAAAAGTAAAAACGATTGAGCTATTTATTTATTTATTTGATCAAATAATTTATTTACGAAAGCATTTCTTAGCATCCACTTTCTTATTTTAATTTTATTTAGAACGCGCCTATTAATAGTGAGTAATATAGACAATTTTTAGAGGACTCTCTATTATTTTTTCAAGCAATTTTTCGACTTAAGTTATTAATTTATTTATAAGCTTAAAAAGACTTACAATTTTTCTAGATAGTTAGAGAGAGATATATATATAGATAAATATAAATATAAATAAATAAATTGCGAATTCTAATAAAATTTAAATTTAAAAATTTAAATTCATAAATGAATTGAAAATAATTTTAATTAATTGAATTTTTCAATTTTTTTCATCTTTTAAAATTGTTTTTATTTTAAATAGTGACTGCAGCGTCTACAGAGACATGATTCTTAAATGTGATGGACTCAAGCCTCTTGTTAATATTTTGTTGAATACAAACGATAGAAAAACTATAAAGCATGGATCTTGGGCACTCAGTAATCTTTGCAGAGGTCGTCCCTTACCTGATTATAATCTTGTTTAAGAAGCTGTAAAGCCACTTTGCAAGGTCCTTACGCAAGAAACTGACTCTGAAGTCCTCACTGATTCTTCATGGGCAATTAGTTACTTGAGTGATGGTGATGAAGATAGAATTCAACGTATCATTGATACTGGCGTCATTCCTACTTTAATAAGATTAATTAATCACTAATACCTTTCTGTATTAATTCCTTGTTTGCGTACTCTTGGTAACGTCTGCACTGGTACTGATGAATAAACTGAAGAAGTTCTTAAATATAATGCCCTCCCAGAAATATTTAAGCTTGTTAAGCACCAAAAGAAGGCTGTTCGTAGAGAAGCTTGTTGGGTACTTAGTAATATCGCAGCTGGTAACGAAAGATAAATTTCATAGATAGTTAATCAACCTTAATATGTTTAATGGCTTTTTGAATGCATGATCTAAGATTCTGATGAAATTGCCCGTGAAGCTACTTGGGTCATTTCTAATTGCACTTCTCAAGCTAATCCCTAAGACATTCGTAAACTTGTAGAAATGAATGTATTAAAGATATATACTGACATTCTTAAATCTACAAAGGACGTTAAAACAATAGCTGTTATTTTAGAATCATTAAAACACATTCTCGAATGTGGTAAAAATAACTTTATGTAAGGCAACGATAACCCTTTCTGCATTCAATTAGAGTAATTCGGTGCTTTAGACTTTATTGAAGAACTTTAAAGACATCCTGATGATGATGTTTATAGAAGATCTCTCGCTATCCTTGAAAATTACTTTGATTTAGAAGATGAATAAGTTATTAGACCTGAATGATAAAACATTAGAAACCGCTGTAGAAGCAATTTAAAGAATTTTATTTGAATTAATATTTATAAAGTGTAAACATAAATCACAAATGAATAAATAAAAGTATATTAAGTTATAAAAATATATTCATGAACATACAAAAAACAAACAAACAAAAAAATAAATAAATAAGCGTACCTACTTACCTACCTACATACATACAAATTTAGTATTTATTTTTTAATTTATTAAGTATGATATCTATCTATTATTAAGTTTTAATTTCTATATTCATATTATTCTGAAAAGATAATAATTTAAATTTTATTCATTTATCATAATCAAACCTATAAAGTGTAAAACAATTTCAAATAAATGAATCAATAAAAATTTAAAAAATATATTTAAAAAATAAATAAACAGACATACATAAACTCATTCATACTTATTTAATATTATGTAAATTCTCATATATTAAGCCCCTCAATCCTTCCTTATTTTTGATTCAGGCTACTTAGTAGAGGATTAAAAATTCAGAAGAAAAATTTTTTTTTAATCTTAGTTTTGGATTTTATGATATGTATAAATAACTTATTTATTTAGAAAATATTGCTATGTATCATTTATCATATTAATATATAAATGGAAATGTTTAAAATATTTTTTGAATGAATAATTTTTTAGTAGAATTTAACAATTAATATTTTTTATTAAAATAAGATATTTAAATAAATTAAATTTCTGTAAAATTAATTCAAATAAATTTAGGAAATAAAATAATTGAAAAACATGTAAAAATAGTAAAATTGCTTCATCATGCTTTTTGCATATTTAGAAGCTAAAAAGTTGGGCAAACCACCCAGATTACGAGACAAATACTTCGACAATAGATGTAACATGTTATTTACAAATAGAACATTCAATATCTTAAGGAATATTTAGCTGGCTTATATGACTACCTAAATTATTACTAGCTTACATATTTTACTTGAGTAGCTCTTCAAAACATTGCTTGCAATGAGTCATATGATGGCAAGGTTTAAATATGATATTTCTTACATTTTCTTTGCACACTTTGCAAGCAAGATTATCAAGCTCCAAGCTTCCCATTTTTTTTAGCTAATCTTCTTTTTTTTGTCTTTATTTTCTGATAAATTAGCTAATTATTCTAAATAGCTTTTAGTATAAGTATGCTCCTGAAAAGAATAATGGGATGCATAACAAAATCAACAAGATCCTTTTATTAGCTATCTTATTTTTTAGATCGCTTCTCAATCTTGCATCAGAATTAAAGAAGAATTCAGGTTTTTTCATCACTAATTTACCGGTTTTTCTATTAAAAATAACTTCACCAAAGACAGTTATGAGTGTTTTGATAGGTATTCCAAATTCTATTTCTTAAAAACCGATTTTAATACCTCTTCCTCTTATTTTAATATGAAGCATAGAAAATATGAATTCAATCAAGAACCCAACAATAATAATTGCATTTTCTGCAAAGTTTAATTTTTTAAAAAACCTTTTTATCATTATTAATTAAAGTGCATATTTATAGTTTGCTGACAAGTTTTTCATAATTCTTACAGAAACTTCTTTAAATTAATTTGGTTATTGCATTTAATTTGTGATTCCAGTCTTTTCCGTATAGTTATAAAGATCCATATAAGGAGAAGACTCTGTTATAATCTTATTGCTATCATTTTAAGTGAAAGATAGCAAACCTCTTTTCGGATTCCTAATTATTTTAGAGCCTCTATCATTTGAATAAATATTATCAACTTAAAATTTTCTATATATAAGATCTCTTTCTACCAAGACACTTTTTACTGGATATCTAGCATCTATGCGCCCTTAAAGAAAGACTTTACCTTTAAGATTCTCTCCTCCATCGCTTTCTTTAAAATATTTCATTATATCTTTACCTGATTATAATAAATGATATAACTCCCCAGGAGAGTAAGTCGGAAGACCACTCATTTCTTTAAGAGTATGCTGGATAGATTTTATATCACTTTAGAGTCTAAATATTGGAATCAGAGAAGCTGCGGCTATGCCACCTGCTACTACTAAATCCATATTTGTTTGTTCAAATTACTAAAAATAATTAGTAAACTCCTTCTTTTAATTATTCTCTCTATTAATAAAATACTAATATTATTATTATTATGAATTATTTTATGAGAAAAAGTAATAGATTCATTTAATATTATGAATAAAAAGAGGAAAAAAGAAAGGTTTTTCTGATGAAATTTAAGAATCGAATTAATTTTAATCAAAGTAAGATTAAAAAATTCAATAAATTTATATAATTAATTTTAGAATTAAAATTTTTAAAAAATAAAAAAGAAATGGATTTAAAACAAGACAAATATTACTAATTTAATTTTGAACAGTTTAGATAAGATTGCTAATAGCTCTGCAAATCAATAAATTTAGAAGGCTTTGAGATATCTTATAAATAAATAGATGATGACTTTGTATGACTTGAAATAATAATATAAAATATTTATAATTTTTAAATAATCAAAAGAGATCAAACGAAAATTCTGAGTACTTAGAAATTAATCACACTTTTGATTGTAATAAATTAAATTTATTATTTCTAAATAAGATTTTATATTTTTACTAATATTGAAAAAGACTAAGAAAAAATGTATTTACTCAAAGGATCTTTAGTTTACAGTGTTGCATTTAAATTTCCCACTCTTTATTTTCATATTTATGACATGGATTGTAAATTTATTCAACAAATATTTACATTTATTAAAATATTTTTTCATTCAATCAAGATTAGAAACCTCTTGATTTATTGAAAGCTACTGAATTAATCAAATAAAGAGAATTAGAAATAAATGGAGCTAAAAAAAACATTGAACTCATTCAAGATGTAAAAATAATTAATATTTAAAAATATCTAATTCAAAATTTGAATAAAAACAGATACATCCAGTTTTAGGTTTCAGTTATTTAACTTTTCATCAATGTAGAATGAGGGAAGTTATAGAATAAATTCAGTAAATTCAAGTTCATAAAAATTAAAATAAGAACAACAAGGAAACAGAAGATTAATACTTTTTTTCACCTACCATAACAAGTCTCATGATTCTGCTAAAAGAATTTAACATTTACCTTCCAAAAGAGATATACAAATAGCTTTAAATTCAATAATGAATAAATAAATACATTTTTAAATCACTTAAAAATAAATCTTCAAAATTAAAACTTGCAATATTTTTACTAAAAATTCCTAAGTTTAATGTATTAATTACAATTTATTAAATTACCAAGTTTTACATATTTATTTATATTGATTTATTTTTTAAAGAATTTAATTATTTTAATATGTTTTCAACTTTTCAAAGATTTTGTGCTCTTTGATTTCTTTAAAGATTTGCTTCTTTTTGGCTTTTTAGTTTTTTATTCTTTTAAAGATTCCATAAACATAGTACATTCCCTCCTTATGGTTGAATTTATTTCATTAAGATCTGTATTTTAGCAACGAAGGTTATATATTTGTTAAGCTAAAGTAGATTAAACTAGTGTCTTAGACTCTGCTTACCTTTCTATTTACTACTCCCTTTACTTAATTTCAATTTTAAGGTCTTTGTTTAACATAACTTACTAAGCATACTTATTAACAGATTCATCTAGAGCCTATTTCATTTACTTATTTTCTTATCTAATGTACAATATTTCTTCTAAAACAGCATCTACTGATCTTGGAACTTAATAATTCTTACTATTAAGTTTCAAAGCATTAAATATTTAATCTTTGAAGTTCGAGCTTTCTTCTATAACTTATTTTAATTTATTATTTAATTTCTAGTTTAAGCTTTCTAACTATTTTTAATCAGACTTGAGTATGTTTATCTCTTATTTATATTTATTTTTCTTTTCTTTTGATTTCTCTATTTTTTGCTTTAGCTGATCTATTTCATAATATAATTAGTTAATCTTTTAGTTTAGGTCCTAGTATCCTTCCTCTTTTACTTTGATAGTATTTTTTAATTCTTCTACCTATTTATTCCATCTTTATTTTATTTAAAATTATTAATCAAAATTTATCAAATGATTAAAATTTTTTTTATAATTAATTTTTTAATATTTTAATCAAAAAATTTTTAAATAGAATTTTAGAAAATAAAAAAAAATATTTTGTTTTTTTAATTAAACATTTTTTTAAGTTCAAAATTTATTTTATTTTTGTATTTATTTAAAACTAAACAATTTTGATACTTTTATGATTCAGAATAAGCATTCAGATTTTATTCTGTAAGTTGGGCTTTTATTTAGCTAATTTCTTCAGTAAGTTCTCTTATAGTTTCTTTTTATTTGTGTATTATATCGTAAGCCTCATGCTTATCGTAACTTGAGTGGCTTTAGTTGTGCTAGCTACTCGTGTTGTGCTATCTGTGATCATTTGATTACTATGAGAGAGATTAGTGCTACTAAAATGATTATTGCAATTTTTATTCTACCTAAGATTGCTTTGGTGTATTAAGACGGTCGGTTGCTAATAATAGCTGTTGTTAAAGTAATTGCTATTGTTACTATTGTTAATGCTGCTATAAAGATGTTGTTTAGCTTATACTTTAATTTAATTAATTTTAGAGGACTTGATTAGATTACTGAAGATCTTTTATTTGTTGTTACAGCTTTTTATTGTCGTTTTCTAGCTTGAATATTTCTTCGTTATCATTTTCTTTAATAATTCGTTATTCTTCAATTTAAATAATTGCCTTTTCTAATTCTTAATTCAGATTTTAAATCTTTTCTCTCAATCCACTTTCCACATCCTCATTTTATTAAATTATTTCTTTGCATTCTGCTAATTCTTTAGTTAAATTTATCAAACTTTTCTCATGCTACTGCTCTATTGATTAGTCTAATCCTCTTTTTATACTAACTTTTGGGCTATTAATTTCTAAGGCACTAGTTAAAATCTTAATTTCTTATTAATAGTTCTTCACATCTGCCTCAAGTTTTTTGATATATTGCTATAATTAATAAATAATTATTAATATAATTTATATAAATTACTATTTGCTTAAATCAACGACTATTTATCATATCATAATTCGAATAGTCTACTTGAATATTAAAACCTAAAATTTTTTATATTTTTAAACTATTCTTTTAATCGTTTTACAAAAATATGCAAACATTTTTTTAAAAATGAGTGAAATTAAATTAATGAATATATTTTACACTTAATTATGGATTCGTGGCATTGTTTGATTGAGAAATATTTGAAACATTCAGATTTTGGTAGCTCATATTTTGAGGAGGATTGTTATTTGTGTTATTTGAATTAAAATTTTCATGACTGAATGTTTAGTTAATATTAGAAACACTGTTCTAAGTACGATTAAAAGGACTATTTGATGATCTTCTTGTTTATTGAGCAGTCTTAAGAGCTTGCTCAAGCTTAGTAATGTAAGCCTTAAGCTGTTTATTTTGATTTTCAAGTCTAGCTTTTTCTTTCTCCAAGTATTCTAACTTATATTAGTAATTTTTTATTTCTTTTTAGCTTTTTAAAAACTCATCTTTGTATTACCTCAAGTCATCTAGACTTGCATTTAATTTTGTTTCTGAATTTTGTTTGAGATTTTAGTAGTCAATCACAACTTTGTTTAAATCTTGAACTTTTTTTTTCTCAAGACTAAGCTATGTTCTTATAGAGCTTATATGTCCATAACTACTATCTGTTACTTATTCTTTTCTTTTTGTTTAGATTTAACCAGATTAAGGGCTTTTCATAGAACTGTTAAAGCTTTCAATCATGTTGCTAGGACTGCTAAATGTCTTAGACTTATAGCTTTGAGAAGGTTTCATAAAACGATTTTATTGATTTTTATTTGTAAGTTATGGATCTTTAATAAATATTGAATAAAAGTACTCTCAGATATTTTGAAATAAAATTAATGTTTTTAATAAAAAGCTGACTAATTAATTTACTGAATCTGTAAAATTCAATATAAATAAATTGATATGAATGATATTTATTCATATCGAATCAAAAATTTAATTTTCAAAAATTCATTTATCAACAACCCATCTAACTTAATAACAAATTCAATTGTTTAAAAATTTAAATCAAAACATTTTAATTTTTATTTAATTTTTTAATATATTTTTTCTTATAAAATAAAATAGGATTTAATTTAATTGATAACAATTCAAAGACTAAATAAATTATAAAGTACATTGATATTTATAAAATATCTTCAACAATTTAATAAAAATTTTTTATATATTTTATTATTTTTGAATAAATGAATAAATTTTTCTTTAAGTAAGTAATAAATACTTAGTTTTAGTTTTTCAGAAATTAATTTATCAGCAATACATTTAATTCAATTACTTAAAGAATTAAAATAAAAATAAAATAAATAAAATATTTTTTATTTAAATTCTTTTGAGTTTTTATTTAATAGTTTCAAAAACTTTATCCTTAAAAGATAAAAATAAATTGTGAATAATTGATACAAATCAAAAGAGTAAATAATAGCGTAATTGCTGAATATAAGTAATTATCAATCATTTGATTAAAATTAAAAAGTTTTTATATTTTATTTCTTTTCAATTTTCCTTTGAATTTGAAATATTCCCACTTTTAAAAAAATGTATTTATGATAGATTTTTCAGAAATTCAATTATTAGTATTAATTACCAACTTAAATTGAAAAATTAAAATCAAAAAAATAATAAATTATTTTATTTAAATATTTTTTATTAAATTTATTGATAATACATTTTTTTAGAGAGCTTAAGTCAAATCTAAAAATATTGGAAAGGTTAATTTTGGAAGGTACTTTAAAGATTTAATGAGATTAAACAAAATAAAATATATTTTAATTTATAATAATAAAAGGATATTTTAAATATTCTTTCCTACTTCAATAAAAACAAAATAAAATATAAATAAATATTTATTAAGAAATTATACATGTTATGTTTTTAAATTGATTTCTTTTGAATAGTAATTTAAATTTTACTTTAAATAATAAATATTTACATTTTTAATAAATTTTATTTATAATAAAATATGTTAATGGTTTAGTAGTTAATACAAGTTAAAACTACTTTAAAAAACTATTTAATGAGGTTTAATTAAAATTATATTTTATCATTAAAATAAATTTAAAAATTTTTAATTTAATTAGTCATATTTATTTTATTTTAAAATTTGAATTTTTTTAATATGCTCTTCAATCAATTTTCTAATTTTTTTATTCTTACATTTATTTTCAAATAGCACTTTCTTTGTTTTCTTTATCAGTTTATATCTATTATTCAGCTTTTTAAGTTATATGATAAAGTTAAAAGTTTTTTTAGTCTTGTGAGTTCCTTAGAGGTAAAATTTCAGATTTATATTCATCATTTTTTATAATAGTTTATGAAGTATTTTGTTAGTTTAAAATGTTATTTTCTTTTTAAGAATCTAACTGAATATATTTTTCTTAAATTTATTTAATTTTTTCATCAAAATTATCTGAGTTTTCAATGTTAGATTTATCATCATTCTAAAATTAATTAAGCATATTTATGTTAATTAATCCTGAAATTTCATCTTCTTATTTCTATTTATTATTTTCGTTTCCATTCTCTTCATCTGAGAATCCAAGTTCACTTAAAATTCTTTTATTTTTTGCTTAAAATGGTTGACTTTGCTACATAAAGTTATTTTTATATATATTATTAGACTGCCATTAATTACTTTTATATTTATTACTCCTAAAGTCAAATTAAGAATTTTTTAGTTTTTCAAATTCAATGCTTCTTGGATCAATTAAACTTCTTTCCATATACTTTGTTCTGTTTTTATACTTTCCTTGACTCTAAACTTTTTATTAGCTGAAATACTTATAGGAAGAAGAGTTAGCTTAATCATTAAATGCATATCCGTTATTTTATTTTTTTATATTTTGATTATCATTTTGCATCTGCTCAAAATCAATCAATTCAATATTTTATTTATTGTCAGAAAATTAACAATTCTTCGTGTTGAATCCAATTTTTAAATCTTGCTAATTGTCATTTTAAACATTATCTTGATTAGCTTCATTTTCTTTTTTGCTATAATGTACTCTTTAATCTCCTTGATAAGTTGTTAGGCTTCTTCTGTAATTATTGATTTTGTTTGGCATTAAATCTTCGCTACTTTTTTTACTCTGTAAATTGCTTCTTTACCTTAATTGAGAGCTATTTAAATTTGTAAATCCATTTTATTATGTGCATATTTAGGACTGTGAGACATATATACCGTTAAGATTAGGGGACTGCAGGTCTTTCTGACTCATTCCTTCTATGGTAGTTATTTAACCATTTACAGATCCTGTGTGTGCAGATATATTTCTTTATCTCTTTCTTGAAACAGAGTTAAAATGAGACATGAAAATCCTCTATTAATCTATTTGATTTCCATTTGAATATAGCTTATTTTTTTTGATAAATTCTTAATACTATGCTTGCATATTTTAAATATTTGGGATATAAATATATGGTTTTGCGTTTTTTTAATTAGTAACTGCAGGGCTAAAGTTACTTGGTTGAGGTAAATAAGATTATGATTCATATGCAGAATTACAACCTGTAGTTGTTATGACTCTTCTTATAGTTGAATTCTGTTTGAATTTAAGATAATGTTAATTCCATTCGTCCATAGTACCGACAGCAGGCTTGCATTCTGTTATTTTTTTAGCTATTTTAATATTTTCTCTTTCGATAGTATTTAACTCACTTTGTCTTTTGTATGATGTATTAAAATTATTCGCTGTTTAGTTTAATATTTTGCTTTTGCTATGATCATAACTTGGATTGATATTACAAGTATTATTAGTCGTATTTTTAAAGTTAGAATTAGTAGAGTTGTAATTTGTTGTTCCATTATAAAACGTATTTTAATTCTGAGTAATCATAACAGAGTGAGTAAAGTTGTTAATTGTAGATCCAGTATTTCTTAGTGTTGAAGAAGGAGATTAAGATTTTTGATTATAAGAGCCAACTGTTATTCCGCCATTAATTATTTAAGAGTTATTTAAAGCACTTAATTAATTTAAATTAGAGTTTTTACTGTTAGATCTTGGCCCATTTTGGGCTGAAGAAAGCCTAGCATATATTAAACCATCTTAATTAGAATGTTTGCCTCTGCTATTTACTTTAGGTTCCATTATTTCTTAAAGCTTTTTAAGAAGCTTTTAATTTTCAATATTAATAGTCCTATCTACTTCTTTTCTTCTCTTTTGATTCATTTTGTAAGTGGATCCTACTTACTTACTTGGAGATATTTTTTTAAATACAGGAGACTTTGAATTCATTCTATTTTCTATACAATGCTTTGTATTTATTAAATTGTTGAAATGATGTGCTTAATTTTAAAAGCACATATACTTAAAAGATCTTTTCATATGATATGATTGATTGTCGTTCATTTCTATTTTTAGAAATTTTTATTCACTTTTTAACTTAAGTTAATAAGATTGAAAGGTAGACAAGCAGATAGATTTATCGATATAAATGTATGCCTTAATTTATTTAAAATATTTTCACCTTCGCTTATTTTTAATTACCAACTCAAATAAATAAATATGAAGGTGATTGGTATATTTATGTTAGTAAGAATATCTTATTTTTTAATATTTTAATTAAATTCGATAGTTGTAAATTTTTATTCAATATTTATATTTAATTGTTAAAATTTTAACAATATTATTCATTCTTTCTTTAAGAATATTTATAATTAGAATTTCTTAATTCATTTCAAAATTAACCCAAACAAACCCGATTTTATTTAAAGCATAATTATAATTTTTAGTGGATGTAAATTTTCCTTTATTCATATGATTAATTAATTAGGTACTTCGTAAATAAAAAATATTCTTAAAGTTTAAAGCAACAGAATTTACATAAAAAATAGAAATCATTTTAAAATGAATTGATTATAAAAGCAAATTTTATGTTAATCAAATTTATTAGCAAAATCAAATAATTAATATTTAAGAATTATATAAGAAAAGTCCTTCAATTATTAAACGTATTTTTATAAATATTTAATATGAATTAAAATTATCCAGAAATAGACTATATAAGGTAAAGTAAGTATTATAAAAAGTAATTTATCAACATGTTTCTCCTAAGAATAGAATAAAAGCTTTCTCAATAAATTTTAGTTCTTATGATTAAATAATTATAAAAAAGTAAAATAATCAATTGAAAAAAATTTGTTTTTTTAAGATTTAATTAATATAAAATACTATAATAACATTAAATAAATATTTCATAAATAATACAGTCAGTCAGCCAGCCAGTCAAACATTCAGTCAGCCGTTTTTATAATAAACAAAATTTTAATTATAATTTTTTAATTCATTAATAAAATTATATATGATCTTTTTTAAAAGTAAGTATATTATTAATTATAATGGAATGAAAGCTTTAAAAAAGCTTATTTTTATTAATTTCTACATAAATATTAAATAGTTAATATTGATTCATGTATGTATGTATTGAGTAGTTTATTTATAATAGTTTTATTCATGCTAAGCAATTTATCATTATTATTCAAGATACTAAACTTGACTGCAAACCAGATACAAGGTTAATTACTTGAAGCCATTTCTAAATATGAAATCATATATAAATAAGCTATTTTAAATGAAATTGCACAAAAATTATTATGAGTAAAACTTATCAAAAGAGAAAAAAAGGTTTTTCATTTAATTCTTTTTTTGAATAGATTATTATCTCCCATATTACTATTTACTACCTGTTAGTTAATTGTATTTGAATTTATGTAAGCCTAAACTGCTTATTTATATTAAAATTAAGATTATTTCACTAGGTTACTGTTATTATTATTAAAGTAGTTGTTAATGCTTGAAGCATTGATTGATATTAAGTTATTGTTATTATTTTGAATTCCTTTCTACTTTGACAGTATACTATTTTGTGAAGAGTTAATGCTTGTACTTGTCTTATTTGTTATCTGTTTTTTATTTAACTCTAAAAAAAATTATTTAGAATTAAGTTTAATAAAAATCTTTACATTTAAATATTCTGTTTTATTGATCCATAGAGGAAGGGCGAGCTCTATTTCCATATACCATTCTACTTGATTCGACATTATTTGCAGCTATTTTAAAAGCATTCATTCCATTATTGTTTGATCCTAATTGGTAATCACTTATTCTTTGGCTGCTAAATTTTGGATCTTCCGCTTATTCTGGGTTGTTGTTAATATTGATGCTTACTGGTCCCCTAATTTATAATAGTAAAAATAAATTTAACAATCACTACACAAATCTTTTTATTATTTTTTTACATTAAATTAGTAGCAGTATTTGGTCTCAGAGACCCATCTGAGAACTAAATGGCCTGCTAATTAAAATAGAAATGAGTTTTTATATTAAAAAAAATATATTAAGTATACATTTTTAGGGAAAGAAACTAATTTGAGGGAAATCAAAGTCTTTCCTTAAGGAGCTGTGCTTGAATTTTATTGATTAATTGTATTTGATTATGCATTTTGTGTCAAATTTTGATTTGCTTTGCTTTAATCTAGCTATATAGATGTTAATAATTCAGATTACATTACTTCAGTCTTAGCTTACAAATTATCTATTAACATAGCATTCTCCTTCTATTGGATTTCTTATGAACTTTTGTTTTAAGTATCTTGATTTACACTTATTTAATCAGCGTTTTCTGCTCCTAGTCGTTCTTGGCTTTATCTTTTAAAATTGTAAGTACGGTTGTATTGTTAGGAAAAATTTGAAATAGTTGGTTCCTATTTAGCTCCACTAGACATATTAATTGATACATTCTCTTCTGGAACATCATATTAACCTTCAGGACTATTTTCAGTGATTAAATTAGAAATTCTAATTGATCCATTAAGCATTTTAGTTATTCTAGTTGGAGAGGAGTTATTTTAATTGTTAACAGCAGTAGCAGCTTAGTTCGAAGATTAAAAATTTAAATAAGCATTTGCTAGAGTATTTTTGGGATTTTAAAAATTATTGGAAATATTTTTTAAGTTAATCTACTCATTAGAATCTTTGATCTAAGCAGAGTTTTTTATTTAATTTTATTGCAATTTAAAAATATTCTTTATAGCTAGGGGTTATTGTTACTAAATTGAGTGTGGTTTGTTAAATTAATCACTTAAACTCATAGGATTAGTTTCAAAAATTCTTTTATTTTATTCAGCTCTGCTTATTTTTTGAGGTGAAAGACTTTGAGTCATTTCAGATATTTCTTCAGGATTGTTCGTAATATCTTGTAAAAAGCTATTCAAATTTGACTGATTAGGATTATCTTCTCCTGAAATTCTTATAGAGCTTGGTCTAAATTCTGCCTTTAATTTATATTAATTTTCTGAATCCTCATTATTTGAGAGTGTTGTTCCTGATACTCTGTCAAAGCACTTCTTTGATCCCTAAATTTTAATTTAAAAAATAAATAGTAAAATTTTTAAATAATTTTAATTTATAAATTATCCAATAAACTTATTTAAAATAAAATTAAGATATCCTTCTATTTATATTACTAAGAGGCTTAAGTTTAGTGATTGACATTAAAATATTTAGTAAATTTGTAAGTAATTTAGGCAATATAATTTAAATAAATTTGTATTTCTTTGGAGATCTAAATTTGAAAACCTAACTTAGTTATCTAGATTTTGGTGGGGATTATTATTTATTTTTAAATTTTTACTGTTCGCGTGTTAGGAAAATTAATTTTTACCACTCAAAAAAATTATTAAATTAATCAAAAATAATTAGTGGGAAAGCAGCATAAATTGATAGTTTGATAAAGGGAGCCAATCCTTTATTAAAATATTAATAAATTTTGAAGGGTTGATTAAATAATCTATCTAATAATAAAAATAGAGGACTTAATTAATTTTTTCCTTTTAAAAAGTTGATTGAAGTAATCAAAACTAATAACTAAATAATATTTGTATAAGTGTAATACTTTTAAAATTGATATGATGTAGGTTTTTTTAACAATATTTTTTTCATTGTTCACCACAGAATTATTATCACTTTAGCTCTCTTAAACTTTATCCTTTGCATTTTGCTACTAATTAGCTTACTGGAAATTATAATTTACTCCAGCTAATCCTTTTGAGCCAGCTTTATGAGAAGTTTAATAGTTATAGGTTGATATTTTAAAATTCTTACGAGCAGCTTATCCAAAATATTAAATTAACTTGCCACCAGGTTAATGATCTGCCCAGCGTAATTTCAAGCTTTCCTTTTTCATTTAGTTGAGATTGAATATTTTTCTTTTAATTGCTTAGGACGTTACTGTTGTTTTTGAATTAAGATATGTGTTTTTAACAAGCTATTCAGAATCATTTATGTATTATTTTTCATTCCAGTCTTCAGAAGAAGCTCCTTCTAAAGATTCTTTTAGCTTTATTTCAAGACTTTGTAATTGAGCCATAAAACTCTATTAAATTTTTAAGCCAGGTCTTCTAATAGTTACATATTCTAAACATTTAGCAAGAGACCATTTATACTCTGCCATAAAATAAGCTATTAAAGCACATACGCTTCTATTAATCCCCTTAACTGAATGAATCAAAATACCTTCTCCATTTGTTTCTCCCTCATTAATAAATTCTCTAATTGACTTCAAATTATTACCCTCAGCATCAAATAAAACCTACATTCATATTAAAAAAATTATTGAATTTAATAAAATAATTCAATATTTTTTTAATGCTAAGCAAACATTTATTTACTTATTTATCTGTTTCTACCCAATTAAATGTAAGGAACTTAATGGCTTTATTGTTTCTATTGGCTATTTATTTACCAGAGCAATTAATCACACGGGTTATTTTGTTTACATCTAAAAACTCAAAATCCTTTAAATTTAAAAAATAAGTTTCATCCATTATTATTTTCAAGTAAAATTAAAAGAAAATATGTAATTTGTCTCTATAAAAACATATGAATTTGCTTTTGATTATATACATAGCTTTTTAAGAAAACAATTTTTTTAAAATCTACTATTTTTGAAATAAAAATTTTGAAATATTTATTTACTCGAACTGAAAATTCATCACCTAGAAACAAGCCATCTTTTATTTTAACAGCCCCTAATAAGTAGGAAGCACGAAAGCTCTTTCTATACATCCTCATTTTGACAAAAGGTTAAATTTAATCTTTATTTACTTAGGTTAACTATCTATGACTATTAATCTGACTATTTTTTATTTATTTACTGTACTATTAGAACTAAAGATTATTATTTGATATTTATTAAATTTTTTGGCGTAATTTATGTATATAAAAAAATTCACTTTTCCAGTTATTTATATATTAATCTTGTATTAGTGCGAGAGTTTGAAATTTTAGGTAAACACTGATTTATTTTAATTTTGAATATTCTTAAAATAATAGAGAATATGTCTTATATATAGCTATTATAATTATTATAGTTTGAAGGATTGCATTCTAATATAATAAGAATTTTTTTCTAATTCTACAGAATTCTATCATTTTGTCTTCTTTTTTTTTCAATAAATATCTATTTTACACTAACAAAAATTATATTACTGCTACTTCTAAATAAAAATTATAAATAATTAATTATAATTATATTAATTATTCTTGACATATTATTAACATATTAATTTTACATAAATTTAACATGTTTCTTTCTTATTAAAATGTAATTTTTTTTATTTTTATACAATTACAATACCCTTTATAGTGCATTAATATTAGCTTTTTTTTGTTTAAAGAATAGATCAACTTTTAATCAAAATAAGAGTTTTAATACAGAAGTAAAATCTCTCTTTAAAAAAATTAGAAAAGAAGTAGATCTATAGGGAAAATTATTTGAAAAAGAAAATATTAGAGTAATAAAATTGATTAAAGTATACTAACTCTGTAAATTATGGAAAAGAAATAGTTTAAACATAAACTAAGGTAAATTAAAAGCTTATTCAAGGTATTAAATAAAATAAAATATTATTATTTAATTAACTAGTTGTAAAAAATATTCACTTATCAATTTTATTTATTTCATTGATAAAACCAAATAAACAAAGTAATTTATAATTTTATTCAAGAATAGAAAAATATTATTAAGTTAAGGAAAATTTATTCTATAATAAGATACAAAAAGATCATTCAATATTTCTATCTATACATATATATTAGAAAGAGTGTTTATAAAAAGTAAAAAATTTTATTTTAATTTATTAGATTAATCTCTACTAAACATTTGTAAAAAAAAGTTAAAAAAATATTTATTTTGCATTTCCTATTGTACTTAAATATTTGTTTTAATTAACTAATTTATCATTTATAATCATTATGCCAAGTAATTAATTTTAATAAGAGAGAATATATAAATTAAATAATTTCCTAATTAAAAAATTTCATTAGAAAGAGAGTATAAAAAGAAAATTACTTAGAAAATTTGAGAATAGATTATTTTTTAAAAATTTTTTACAATTAATAGTTTTAAATAAATATTAAAAAGTATATTTTAATTTAACATTTCATCACTTAGCAAGCAACCAACTTTTATTTATAAATAAACTATGATAATAAGTTCTAGTTAAATTAACTAAAATTTGAAGGTATAATATATTATTTATTAATCTTCGCTACTAAGTAGAAGATTTCTTTAAATTTTTTTAATTAATTGATTTTAAGAGTTAACACAAGACTAGGCCAAAAAGAAAAAAAAAAGTTAGAATTTTCAAAATAGCTTAACAAAATTTTTTTTATGGAAAAGATAACCTAAAATACTGGCATATCAAATGAATTTTAAAAATCAAATTTTAGTAAAATTTCAAGAACAGAAATTCAAAGATTAGGAAATACTTCTCCTAAGCCATCATAAATTAAAGAGTATAATATTAGAAAAGAGAGTAAAGATAATGTTTAAGCATAAAATGAAAATAATAGCTTTGTAGAGTAGTAAAATTAACATGAAATAAGTTAAATTTTTTAAGAATAAGAAGCGACAAAATTTATAGAGAACGATCTTAAATAATCTAAAGGTACTCATAGAATTTATAATTAATCTTTTGATGCAGTATTAAGTTCTACAAATAGAGAAAACTTTTAAGTTGTTCTTTCTCCTAATTTGAGTAATAGAAGTCTAATTGAAGTATAAATGAAATCACCTGAAATGAATTCAAAAAATGATGCAAGTTCTTTAAACATAAATTAAAATTATGATAGTTTATTGTTAAATTACTAATCAAATTCGTGCTATAAATCGTATTAATCAAATGAAGCGAATATAGATGTTAATAGTTAAATCTAAACAAATTAAGATTACCCATCCTAAATAAGTAGGCTAAGATCATTTAGTAAATAAAAGACGAGGAATTAGCATATTTTATAGTAAATAAAATAATTTAGGAAACAAGCAATTTTAAAAAATAATCTCACAAATTTTAGGAAGCTGGATAAAACTGGGAAAAATTCTACATTTATTTAATAAAGCAATAATAACAATTTGTAGAATAATTAGATTATTTAAGGAACTCCAGCTACACAAAATCATCTAGTTATACTACTTATGGTGAAAAAATTTATAAATTCTCTTTTATACTTTATAGCAGCTAGAGATTATAAATTGCTACTCAGTAAACATTTTAACATTATCTAGGATAAATCATATATTGAACCTTAAAGAAATAAAGGATTCGAAGAATAATTTGAAAACTAAAAAACCTTGCTTGAGACTTATGACTAATTTAGAAAATTAAATGTTAATTAAACCTTTAAAAAATCTTCTTAAATTTTAGAAAAACTGAAAATCATTTTAAATTCAATGAAAAACTGGATTTTGGGAAGCTATTTATTTTAGCTTAGAGTATTTTAACCTAATAGTTTGATCCTTATTCTTTGGGATATTTTTATTTTAATTTAATTGTTTGTTTTGTATGTGTTAGTTCCACCTTTGATTGCTTTCGGAAAAGAAAGACATACTAGTAGATTTTACATAGCTCTTTTATAAACTTTACCTTTAATCATATTTTTGACTGATATATTCATTAGCTTTCATTCAGGATATTACGAATATGGATTTACAGTCCTTGATAAAAAACAAGTCACAATAAAATACCTAAAAACTAAATTTATCTCAGACTTTATTTGTGTTTTGCTTATATTTTTAGAACCTTGCGATTATTGTTTGGTACTTGCTCTTATTCTCAAAATAAGTTAAGTAATTTGTTTAATTTTTTTTTAGATATTATTAAAATGACTATGATTTCTCTATTCTTTCTCTCTCTCTTTCTCTCTTTTTCACCTTTTATGAAATTTATAATCATTCATAAATATTAAAAAAAAGAATTATAATTTTATTGATACTTCTATATAATATTGCATATTTTAAAAATTGTTTATTAAAAGTTTAAAAGGAACGTTTAAAAGCTGAATGAACACTTTTAAATATAACAAAAATATTCTGCAGTGTATGATCTAGTTATATTAATATTAAGCATTCTTTACGTATCGCATTTGTTTGGTAGTGGTTTTGTGCTTATTTCTATAAACACACAAAATAATCCTTAAGGTTGCTGGCTTTAATAATTTAATATAATTGATAAGGATTGGTAATATCAATATATTTATGCTGTTTATTTCACTATTATTACAATGATAACAATTGGTTATGGCGATATATTTCCAGTAAATATTTTTGAAAAAATATATGTAATTTTTATGACATTTATTACTTGTGGGCTATTTGCTTATTGTCTAAATTGTATAGGTGAAATTTTTAGAGATTTAAAATAAAAATCTTAAGAATTTAAACAAAATCAGTATATACTCAGCAACTATTTAAATCGTATGAATATCTAAAATAATTTAAAAGTTAAGTTTTTAAAATATACTGAGTATATTTATCATGCTACAGATTAACTTCAAACTAAAGGTAATTTTTTAATTATCAGTATTTATTAATTAGCTAACACATTAATTAATTAAAATAGGTTAATGTATATTTGATGGTTGCCCACAAGAAATGAAAGAAGAAGTTTTGAGAGATTACTATGGAAAAAAAATATTAAATTATAAGTACTTAAGGCTTTAATTTAGTAAATAGTTTTTATCTGAATTATCTTTGAAAATGAAAGACTAGAGCTTCGGTCCAGGAGAAAGTTTAGTTGTTAGTGGATAAAAACTATAAAGACTCTATTTTATCGATAAAGGAAACGACTTAGAATATTATTACAGCAATTAACAACTTTACAGATCTTTATCAAATATTTCTTTAAATGTAAAACAAATTCAAATAAGTAAAAAAACAAACAAATAAGTAAATACAATTTTATTTCTAAAGGAACCATATTAGCTATTGGATTTGGGATTATTCTTCACTGAATAACCAGCTGATATATCTGTTAGAACTAAAACACCGATTTATGCTTCCTTTATTTTAATATAGGATTTTATAGAAACTATTTAGCACTTCTAAAATGATTATGTATTTATTTTTTAAATAAAAAAATTGTTTAATTTTTATTAAATAAAAGGAAAAATATTAAATGATGAAGCATTAATTTTTATTTTAAAGCAAATAAATAACTAGCTGCACTTCCTGTGGAGCATTTTCTCATAATATATCTAAATGCCCACAAATCCATTATGTAGTTCAAAAATAACCTTTTGCTCTGAAGTTAAGTAAAAATCAAAGCTAAGTAAGAGATTATAACTATAAAAGAAAATTTTTTAAAAGAGACGAGAAGTTTCACAGTTTAAGTCTTAATTAAACTGTAAGATACGAGTTAAAAAGAATAAGACTACACTACGCTAATTAAATGTCAGATTTTATAAATGATATAGAAATTCTCTAAGAGTTACAGTATAGTTCAAATGATAAGTTTTTTTTTATGAATGTTCCACAAATAGTTTTATAATAAAATAATTTAAATGATGATGAATCTTCGATAAAAGAAATGAATAAATGCCTAAATATATTCAAATATAATCAACCTTCAGAATATTAGTTCTTAACATAAAGTACCTCCTCTAACCATAGCAGTAATGTTAGTGTTGATGAATAGTAAGAAGAAAATGATTAAAAAAATAAAAATTTTCGTTTTATAAATAAAGAAGTATCGATTGAGGAAGAATTAAAATGTAAAAATTTAATTCAGTAATTTGTTCAATAATAAAAAATTTTTAAATTAAAAAAGTTTAAAGTTTTGAAAATTAGAAAAGTAATTTATACAAAGAAGAAGATATCTAAGACATTAGCGATGAAGAGTCTAATATGAAACCAATAGATAAAGTATATGTCCAATAAAAAATCTTAAATACCCCAAATTTAAATTTATTAATGCCTTTTACTAAAAATGGTGTTATTGAGAATATTAATTAAAATTAATTTGATGATAGTCCTTCAAAAATTAACAATTTCAATAAAAGCTCATATATTCTTCATGCAAATCACAAAAGTTGTGATATTGACTTTTCAGAGAACTAGCCAAATAATGAATTAATAAGAGAAAAAAGACTCTCTCATCTTTTTTATGACTAATCTCCATGGAATAATTAATCAACAAGCTTTCAAAACCTGGAAAAAAAATAAGCTAATAATTCAATAAGAAAAAGATTGAAGAGTAAGATTTTTATTTTTAAAAAAGTACAAGGAAATAAAAAGCAATAAATAATATTTATAAATAATTAGCATAATTTTAGGTAGTAAGTGATTTAAAAGTCAAGTCTTAGTCGTAAATTAATGATGGAAAAAGTAAAGATAATGAAATTTAATAGTAACCTTAAATGTAAGAAAGTACCAGAATTTAAAGCTAGAGTTTTTCTAAAAATGTTAAAATACAATAAGAAGTATCAAGGCAAAGAAATACATCAGGTAACAGAGTTAGTAGCCTCTAAAATATAGAGGGTCCAAGATTATCCTTTATGTAAAACAATTTTAAAATTAGTAACCAAAGTATAAAATTTAATGAACCCACCCATTTATAGCGTTTTCAATCAAGCAACGACTAAAAAACTATGTTTAGTAAAAGTGATAAAGAAAACAATTAGTCTGATTTTGGGCATCTCAAAGATTAACACATATTTGGTAAAATGAAATTTAATTTCGATAAGTTGAAAGAATATTAGATATTCTTCCCTCATTATAATTACACTAGGATAGTCAAGCTAGTTAAAAAGAAAAATGTTATTTATAATTTAAAAAACTTAATAAACAACAATAGCTTTATTCTATGTAAAAATAAATTATGAATATTCTTAGCACCAATTATCTACTACTTTTCAATATATTGAAAATTAATTTACTTTATTGCCTATTTTTATCCAATAATTATTAAAAAATTATTAGAAAAACATTGTTTTGTTTTATTTTGCTTTTTACTCTTGTAAAGGCAAACATATTTGTTTTGAAACTCTCTAGCATTTGCAAATTGCAAGTTACGAGATTAGATGGTATTAAATTATTTATTTAAAACATTATAAAATTTAATTTGAAATTAGTTTTTATTTATCATTTTCCTAAAATTAAAAAATTTGTTTGAGAAATATTTTTTTTGTTAAATTTCTTAATTAAAATTAAGATATTAAAAAATTTTAATAAATTTACAAATTTATTTTTTATTTAAAATTATTAATTTTATAATAACAAATTGTTAATTCCAAAGAATTTTAAATATTTTTCCTTAAAATTCTTGCTCACTTATTTAAATTAGTTAAAAGGAAGAATATTATATAAGATAAAAATTTCTTTTAATTGTATGAAAATATAAAAAATGTTAATTTAATTTGTTTTTAGTTTTTAGTTGTACAAAATAATGATAAACAACTAAGCAAAAACTAATTATATATGTTTATTAGATCTAACTTTGTTAAAATATTTCTTAGAAATCTATGTATAGTTTTTTGAATTTAAAATTAATCAAATATAATAATTGCAAATATTTTAATAGAATATATTTTATCTTTCTTTCTTCTATAATATAATTTTAATAACTGTATAAAATTAAATATTTTTAATTGTAAATTTTCAGGATAACAAATTAAAAGTAATCTGAACTTACAGTAATAAAAATGTATCTATATTATTTATTGAATTATATTTTTTGCTTTTTAATAGAATATTAATCATCCATTATATATAATAATATTTACTTAACAATTTAATATAATCATTATTTTTTTTCTAAAGTTGTATGATAACAAATGCAAAATTATTTGCAAAACAGATCTTATTAAAATAGTAATTTAAACAAAATTTTATCAAAGAAGAATAACTAGAGCAACAATATAGATGGAGCTAAGGAAGATCTTTCTTAAAAAGTTTAAAGTGACAGCACTTTTTACTCTCCTGTGAAATATTTTTCTAACAATTTAAAAACTAATAATTCAAAGATTGAATTCGAAGACATTTCGCCTTGGCAAACTAATTGTGAGGATGTTTTAAACAGTACAGATTTAGACTTTCGCAAAAATAAATAAATGAAGAATAGAGATAAAAAATCTAACCTGTAAAATTAAAATTAGGATTGTTGCAACTCAAGCAATAATAAACCGTTTCCTTCTTAAGATAATCTTATAACAAATAATAATGTAGAAAATAGCACATCTTATATTTCTAAGACATTTTATTTATAAGATTTAAAATAAAGCAAACAACCTAAACTTTAATCCCAATAAAAAAAGAAACAAGATGTTAAAGTAAATGATGAGAATATTCAGCTCTAGAATGATAATAAAAGTTTTACTAAATCGATATCTAAACCTGTAAATAAAATAAAAGAAGATTTTAACAGTCAGCTATCACTTAGCTAATTAGAAATAGAATAGTAAAATAAGCTTTTGTAATAGATCAGAAGATAAAGAGAACTATATATTTAATAAATGTAAAAAACTAAACAATTACCTTTGGAAATATCAAAAACAGATGTAACCACTACACCAAAAAGAGAGTTTCTATAAAGTGAAAATCTTAGTTTTGGTCATAGAAAGAAAAATTCATTAAGCAGCTAAAATAAAAGCAATAATATTTAAATTACTCTATCTACTAATAACGAAATATAATAGTAATAGTCTCTCTATAACCACGAACATATTTGCACTGGAGAAAATAAATAAGATTGTGAACAAGATAACAATTTAAATGAGCAAAAATAAATTTTTAAAGATGAAAGCATTACATCTAAAAATAAAAATAAAATTCTTAGCATCCTCGATAATGCTCTAAATAACCAAAAAATGGCTCATTAAAATAAACAATAGTAAGATTGTACTTAAAAAAATATATTTAACTTATCTTAAAAAGCCTCATAAATATAAAAAAATTTAGAATAGCATGGCAATAATAAATTAAAACCAAATTAATAACAGCAATAAGAATCTCATAATGCCAAAAATATATAGAATACTCATTAAATATATAACCTTTAAATACCTCAACAAGATTAAAGTCTTCTCTAAATAAGAAGACAATCGTACACTCAAGATCCAAGTTAATGTTTACATTAGCAAAATTAAAAATTATCTAAAGAAATTGAAGAAACTAGTTATAATAAGCTTGATAATAATGAATGTTAAAATATTACTACAGATGCTAATTAATTGGGACAAAGAAACTATGTTTTTGATGTAAGTCCATAGATGTAAAGCAATATTCTAAAAATGAATAAAAGAGATAATTTACAAAGCTACTTACTAAACCAGCAAAAAACAGGATAAATTTCTAATTTGATTTAATTTTAGCAAGAATCTAGTAACCTAAATAATAGCGAAATTTATAGCAGGTCAACAGTAAACCCATAAAAAAGTATTTATGAAAACGTTATACAATAAATAGAAAATCTTAAATACTCTGCAAAAAAGTAGGATAAGAAATCATTAAGTTTTATCTATAATGATAATTCAAAAAGAATGTCAACTTATGAAGATAAATAGCAAACGCCAGAATAACAAAGCCAAGAATAATAAGTTTAGTCAGATAATAATTAACTCTAAAATAAAAAAAATATGTCTCTTCTTCTTCCACTTTTTAAAGGAACAAAGAATAAAGAGTATAAAAGAATAATAAAGAAATTATATAAGGTTAAGAATGTTTCCCCATCATAAACACGAAGAAATACTGAATTTAACAATGTTACAGAAGACTATTCTTTCAACAGTCATTTTTAGAATATTGATAACAATGTCACTTAATAGTATGAAAACTATGGTTAAACATATACAGAATAGTTTTCCCCTAAGCAAAGCCTATTTCCTCCAATCCAAAAAGAAATAATCCCAAAAGATAGAAAAAGTAATTCCCTTTTGCCTGATTGTTATAACTCATTTGCTCAACCTCGTATGATTCAATATAATAGATAAAACAAAAAAAATAGCATTATACCATATAAAATGATGTCTTCTTATTCAATACTAGATGAAAATCTAGTAAACATGATTAAAACTAATTAAGAAAAATTGATAAATGATCGAGAATCTTTTATGCTAGAAGATAAGTAAAAGATTGACTTTATTGAGGATCACTCAAGAAGCAATATATAAAAAATGTAAGATAAAAGCATACATGATTCTTCAATAACACCAAAAAGAAAAGTCTCAGAAAATTTAAAACCTCTACCATAATAAATAAATTAAAATTAGAATAAACAATAGAATGTATAGTTTTAAAAGCAAACTGAAATATCAACTAAAAAGCAAAAAGAGTTGATTTCTTAATATAAACCATCATAGCTGCTATCATCAATTTCAAATTACTAGACTCAATAAATAAACATAACAAATCTATCTCATTCAAAAATATATTGATTTATAAATTATTTTATTAAAAAAGTAAATAATTATCCAATAATTTTAGAATATTTTAGAAAATATTTTAATTAATTAATTAATTTAATAACTAAATAATTAACTAAATAGAAATTAGCTATTCACATAATAGATTAAATATCAATTCTTCAAACTATTTTATATTTTTTCAATTCTTTATTTCTGTTTCAAATTTCTTGTTTTTTATTTGCTCTAAAATATTATGTGCTAAATAAAGTATTATTTATGCATAATTAATTTTTCTTACCTCAAATAAAATATTTAACTAAAAAATTAGATTAGACCAGTTTTGTAAATATTTTCGAAAAATTTTTAAATAATAAAAATCAATAAAATTAAGTAATTTATATATATTATACAAAGATTTGCAAAATTTTTCACCAAAATAATATTGTATTTTTTAATCTTCTATTAATAAGTAAATAAATATTTCGAATTTTTTTCTTAATCTTGAAAAAATACATTTAATTAATTGTTTAAAATTTGTGACTACTAAGAATATTTTTATCGATAAATCTATTTTTTGTTCTTTTTGCTTATTATCTTTATTTTAGTGCCTTTAAAATTTTGATTAAAGATAATTAATTACTTTATGAAGTATTGATTAAAAATTATTTAGGTTATTTCAGATTTAATAAGATTTAAAAAAAATATCTGATCGAAGTGGTAAATTAAATTAAATTAAAATATATTTATATTTAATATCTAAGATATTTCTAGATATGTAGTAAATACTACTTATTAATGTATAAACTAGAGCTAAAATGGTTATATGATTTTGCTATGTATTTCTAGTTGATTTTTTTTGAACTTATAAATAAATTAAATACAAAATATTTGTATAATTGTAAAATTAAATAAAATTAATTATTTATTTCTAGAGTAATTCATACAATATCATAATCTACAACTTACTCCATTTAATGCTTATCTTGGCTTTAGCTTACGTCCCATTAATTACTTTCATTTGCATCAAAACTTTCTCTAACATCATAAACAAAATCTTTATCACCTGGTTTTTTTCTATTTTATTCAAACTTTTAATCCATTTTTTATTTAACTTTATCTAACTCAGATTTGCTAAGCTTATTTAGGTCATATTCATCATAATCAATCAAATTATCTAAATTTTCCTCCAATTCATTTTCTAATTAATCAAAAAGATTTTTTTAATCCTACATATTAGATTTTTGATTATTATTCTTTTAATATGTTTATCCAGAAATACTATACTTTTAATTTGCTTATTAAACTTAGTATTAATCTTCAATGTCTATATCATCAATTTCATAATCATTTTCATCGTACTCTCCTTCATCACCATAATCTTCCTCTCCATCAATACCATAATCATCTTCTTCTTCTCCATCCTCGCCATTTTCATCCCCAAAATTATCATGATTGTCATTGCTGTTATAATCTTCTTCATCTTCATCTTGTTCAGGTTTTGATTACTATTTATTTTGCTGTTACTATTATTATTGTTACTTCTGTTAATAGTAAGCAATTTCATATTTTTTTTATTATAAATTATTCTTGTAATCAGATCCTTAATTAGTAGTTTCTTTTTGTTACAAGTTACCTAATTTCTTTTTTACTTATTAATATAAATCCTCTTCATCATCTTCATAATCTTCTTCTTCTTATTCTTCATCTTTATTCTTTTAATTTACAAAATCCATCTAAAAATCATCATCTTCATCGTCTAAGTCTATTCCTTCATCTGCATCAACATAATTATTAGTTTTTGGTACAAATTTTCCATAAATTAAATTAGGCTAATTTTATTTCATTTACATTTCTGGCTTTTTAGAGGAAAGTGTTTATTCGAATTTAACTTATTCCTTATTGTTTGATTCGTCAATTAACTTTTTCTTTTCTTTCTCATCAGATTTATCACTTTATAATTACTTTGTAGTTTTATCTTCACTTTACAAAAAGTTATTCTTTTGTGTGTTATTCATTAATTCCTTTTTATCTGATTTTTTTTCATCTATGTGTAGTTTTTCAATATCATCAAGCTCAAATTCATCATCTTAATCGTCATTTTAATTTTCCTATTCTTAATCTGACTCGTTTTAGTTGTTTTTATCCTCATATTATCCTTATTCTTCTTCATCTTCTTCATCACCAAAGTTTTCTTATTCTTCTTCTTCTTCAAAATTTTCTTCTTCTTATTCATCTGTATACTAAGACTCTTCTTAAGTATGAACTTTATGAGAATAGTTATTTTTAGCGAACTAATGCTAATAAATTGCATTAGAATCAACATCGAAATCTCTTTATCCATCACTTTCTTCCAATTCATTTTTATTTGCTTTTATTTAGTTGTCTGATTATACTTCATTTTCTTAATCAGAAAAATCAATTTCATCATCATAATCAACTTTAGCTTATTTTTTAACAACTTTTGAATGAATGTGCTCTTTATTTAGCTTTGAATCTAAGATTTCCTTTTAAGCATCAATTTGCAATTGTTTCTGTGCTACTTTAATATCATATACACCGTTAGAAATTTAAGAAGTATCTTAAGAGAAGGGTTTTGATATATTATTTGAATTATCGTTTTCAGTATATTCATCAAAATCATAATCATAATCATCTATATCGTCAGAATTTTTTTTCTTTTAATCATTATTTTCATTTTCTTCTCCTTCTTCTTCATCCTCTTCTTCGCAGTGATTTTTGGTTTATTTCTATCCTGAATTGCCTTCTTTTTTCTTTTAATTTTGTACCTAATCTTAACTACTATACTATTCATCTTAGGAATCCTCTTCGCCTTCAAATTGATTCTTTAATTTACCAAATAATTCCTTTTCTTCCACTGAAATTTAACTATCTGTAATATTTTATTTCTTGCTAAAAGGATTAATTATACTTTCATTTGCTTTTTTATCACTTTTTTATTCTTTATTTGAGCTTTTTTCAACAGGTTTTTCAGGCTCTCTTTCTTGATCTTATTACTAAACCAAGATATTTTCTTAGAGTATTTCTATCAATCCTATATTTGATTAAATATGAATGCTTTAAATTTTAGTTGCAATCAAAATTTTATTACTTACCTAAGAGCTATCTATCTGGAATTTTTATTAAATATATTTCATGTCTTCTTTTTATTTACTTAAGTACCTTTTCTTTGTTGCTATCTGCTTTTAATTCTCTTATTTTTATTTTATGATGATATAACTTTCCTGTTTTCGGAACTAAATATTCAATAACTATATTTTTATGAAATTATTTTAATATTAATTGCTGTCTTTTCACAAATTAAGTTACTTATTGTAGGTACTTAATAACTAAGAGCTAATCTTTTAGGAAATATACCCATATCAAATACTTTAGATCTAGTAATAGCACCAGTGTGGCCTCCACTGCCACTCTAGCTAGAATTGTTTTATGACTTTTATGTATTCCAAGACGCTGAGCTTGGTCTTGCCTAAGTTGAAGTTTATTAATTATTAATAATTTTTACAGGGCCTGTAGATGTAGTACCTGAAGCAGCTTTATTTGCATAATTTCTATATTAACGATAATCATCATATTCATCATAATCGTCATCAAACTATTCTTAATTTGATGGGCGAAGCCATTTCTATGCACTAGATTTACCGTTTCCTCCTATAAAATTATACATGTCTTAATTTATTTATTTACTTTTTGTTCGTTAATGTATTACTTGCAAATGTAAAATTTTAAAATTTGATAATTTAATTAATTTAAAATATAAATAAATATCTATCTATTGATTGGTTATTTTAGATTTTACTCAAGAAAATGTGATAAATTTTTTAAATAATTAATTAATTAATAAATAAATAATTTGATTTCACAAAAAACTTAATTAATTAACTAATTATTTTAAATAATATTTCATTTAAATATAAAACATTAAATCATGTTATAAAAAATCCTAAATTAAATATTTTTTATTCATTACTTAAATAATTAAATGCTTTATTATATTTATTTAAATTTTTTGTAAGACAGACTAATGAATTTTGAGTATTTTTTATTTACTAATTAAAAATTAAATACAAAAACAAGTATGTATTTGTAAAATTTACATAAAAATAATAAATAAATTCTAATGATTAATAATTTATTAAATATAAGACATAAATAAATACATTATTTCAATCAAATAACTTTCTAAGAATTGAGAGTGCATGAGACATTTCTTCCTACAATTTATATAGAAAATTTTATTCATATTTAAATAACAAATTTAATTACCTCTAATCTAAGTTGCTTTACTCCGAATTTACCCTTTTGCATAGTAAAATTAGCATCAAATTTATTCAAAGCATCTTTTCCTGAGAGTTTAGTATATTCATCACTGTCAATGATACTTTCTAAGTTGTTGTAACCACTGAACACAATTAAAACACTAGAATAGTTTAATAAAATTATTAATTATAAAAAATTTATTTATTTGTTTACTTTTTATCCTCAAGGTCTAATTCTGTTTCAGAAATAGATTCTTCGCTGAATTGTTAATGATCTCCTTAATTAATCAAGAATTTCACATCATACTCTAAATTATTTTCAAAATTAATTTATAATTTATTTGATAATTTTAAATATTATTAAAATATTTTGTTTATAAATTTATTACTTAAATTATCTTCTCCCTTAAAAACTTAACTCAAAGTATCTGCTAATCTAACTTAATATCCCCAATATAGTCCTATTTTATTATTTAGAGTTAAGTTAAATAGTTAATTAAATAATATAATTTACCCATTTTTTCTTTAGGTTCTTTCTATGAAACAACATCTGCAGAATAATCTTTTAATAATTAAATTCTTCACTAAAAAATTTTTAAAAATAATAAATTACATTTTTGCTCTATATCGAGTGTAGGTTCATTTATTCTCAAAGTTACTCTTGTATTAGTAACTAACTTATAAGGGATCTTTGCTTACTTTTTAAGGCCAATTTCTACCCATGAACCCTCATTTTCTTTTGTAGGTCTGTTCATCACTACACCTTCTCTGTAAGGACAGTATTAGTCTGATTTTAAATGGTGATGGCATTCTATTGGATTCATTAAGCCAGCATTTTTCAAATCAGGATGGATTGGGAAAAGTTATTTTCTTAGGTATTGTGGTGTTTCTAAATATTACAAATTTCTAACTATGTAAGGTCCCTATTAAAAGTTTTGAGACTTGGCTATATAAGAATTATCCTTCAAAATGATTATTTCATCTACACAGAAAATAGCTGCAGTTCTGGCTAACTCACTTTTATATATAATTATACATAAATATACTTTAAACATTTTAAATGCTAATAATTTACCTGATGAAGTAACTTCTTAATTCAGAGGATTAAGGTATTGAAATTATAGAGTCAGGAATGCAAATAGCTAAATGTTTTAATTTTATTTTTTCATTTAATTATTTTAATTTAGGTTTATTTTCCTATGCTTTCTATGGCTTCTCTTTTACTTATTGCTTTTTGGTAACTTTTTGTGCTTTTGATTTTTTGCTTTTAAAACCTTCATCATCACTACTTTCTATGTCCTTGAAGTTTTCTTCTTCTGAATCACTATCAAATTTATTTGCTTTTTTTAATTTAATATCATCATCACTATCCTCTTCTTCCTCTTCAGATCCCATCATTTGCTTTTTAACTCTTTTAATTTCTTCTAAATCTGAATCTTCTTCTTCTTCATCATCAAATTATTCTTGTTCACTGTCACTTTCTTTTTTATTTTTGTTTTTTCTACCTGAGTCTTTTTTTTCTACCTCATTTTCAGATTCATCATTTTCTTCAATAATTGTAATTTTTGGCTTTTTTATAATTCTAGGTTCTATTTTTTAAGTAGTTTCTTATTTAACTTATTGCTAATCTTTATTGTTCTGGTTCTTTTTTGAAGATTTTTTGTCATCTTCATTGGATAGCTGCTATATCTAATCTTTCTTTCCATTAGTCTAAACTTAATTTAATTTAAGCTTAGATTTATCAGAAGCTGATTCTACTTATATATCTTCATTAGAATTATTCAAATCAGTCTAATCCTATTGTTGATTTTAACTTTTTTTCAACTTTTTCAATTCTTTTCTAGAGAGTTTCTTTTCACTTTAGCTTATCTCTTTCTCATCATCTTAATTTTCAACATTTTTATTTTTTTTATCTCTCTTTTATACCTATTCAATTTATTAGATGTCATCTTCCTCTTCTGAAACGTCATCAATAGCAGCCTCATTTTCAGCTTTTTTATTTTTTGAGCTTTCTTTGAATTGATTCTTTTAAGCTTTTTTAGAATCCTTGATAAAATTCTTTTTTTTGTTTAAAAAATTCATTTTCTACTTGTTATTTAGTTAATAAGTATTGGCTTTAAATAAAGAGATAGATATATTGTAAAATATTAAAATTAGATATAAAAAATCTCTACTAAATATAAAATTATAAAGCTTTAGATCTAAAAAAATTTATTCATAACAAATTTCTATCTTTATTAATTTCAATCATATTGAACATTAATAACTTTTAACACAATTATTTAATTTATTGAAATTATTTTTTTAATACAAAAGTAGCAAAATTTAATTTTAGTTTTAATTTTCATCAAGTACGAAAGAAAAAAAATTATTTTTAATTTAATCAATTTAATGAATGATTTTTTAATCAAATTAATAATTTTATTTGAGTCTATCATAAATAAGTAATTCTAATTATATAACAAAATAAGGCCCAGCAAATTATAAAAAATAGTATAAATTTGATTGTGGATTTCAAAAAGAAAGGTTAAAAACAAAATAATAATTAATTTATCTTAAAGTTATAAGTTTTTAAATTATTCATTTAAATAGCCAGCTCATAGCTCATGCCAAAATGAGTAATAAAAACAATTAGATCTAAATTTATTAGGTATAATCAACTTTAAAACTAGCAAACCTATATAAATTTTATTTTATTTCTAATAATTAAGAAGTATTTTATAATCTTATCTTAAAAATTGCTTGCAAAAATAAAATTTTATACATTCAATCAAAAAATAATTAAAAGATTAATGAGAACCTTAATTTAAACTATCATTAGATCTCAAAAGAGTCAATTTATTAATAAAATTAACAAAAATAAACCAGTAAATAAAATTTTTTTGTTTGCTAGTAGAATAAAAATTAAACGGTGTAATAGCTATTTAGAAAATTTATTTAAATAACCAGAAGCAATATTTATGAATAGTAAGATGCCTTATATTAAAAATTATTACTTAAATCTTATAAATTGAAGAAGAAATTAACAAATTGTAAGCTAGGTATTAACTTATAAAATTTTTTTATAAAAATGTAATTTAAAATATCTTATATTTATATTATATAAACTATTGTAATATTAAGTTGAAATAAATAATTTCAATTAATATAATATATAAAGAAAAAACTAAGTGCAAATTGTGCGTTATTGATGTTTAAATAAATGAAAACTATGTTTGTATGATGGGAAAATAATAGTTTATAAAAAAAAATATAGAATATAAATAATACTAAGAAACCAAAACAGGTTTTAATAATTTTGATTATTTACCATACAATTTATATATTTTATCAGATAAATGATGATAACAGAGCTGTATACAATTTATTATAGACTTGTATATTCTTTATTTCTACAAATAATTATATAAATAATAATAGTAGTCAGCAAAATAGTAAAATAAAGAACAGCTATTTTTTCTTATTTAAGTGAAAAAAAAACTTTTTATTTTAAAGTTTATTTGATCCATATCCATAAGAACAAAAGTGAATTTAAAAAAATTTACCTTAAATGTTTTTAATCTGATTCTTTAGATAAATAGCTAGAATTTATTAATAAAACATATTTTAGAAATATAATTCCAGTAGATTTTTTTACAAAGTAAAATCTATTTTTTAAAAATTACTAATTACTTTATGTATTTAAAGTAGATTAAGAATTAAGAATAATTGTTTATATATTTTTAGTTTTACATAGAATAGAATTAAATCTAATAAATATTTTTTTAAGTCTATAAGAATTATACAGACACTTGAAACAATTAAATACTGAACCACTTTTAATAATATTGATTGTTTCTTAACAACTATCTATAAGTTAGCAAAAACATGTTTTCTTAAAACACTAATAATTTTAAGAGCAAAATATACATCATATATACAATCACCCATATAAAATAATTTAATCAAACTGAGTAGTGATATTAATTCTATCAATAATAATATATTCTAGTATTTAATCTACAGTTGTTGAAATACTACTTATACATTATTAAAACAATTGAAAATTATCTTCTAAAAATAACTCACTCTATATCACTTATACAGCAATTATTTATACTTTTATATTTCATAGTATGATATTATAAAGTAATAATTAATAAATTTACACTGTAAGTTATAGATGATATATAAAATAGTTCAACACTTCATATGCTTTAACTCTGTAAAACGTAACATAATTAAAAATTTTTTTTATGTATGTATATTAATGAGATTAGAGATGTGGTAAAATTTAAAAATTATTTGATTTTTATTTAATATTCAACCAGCTTCTAAATTTTAAATTTTAACAGACTAGAAATAGTCCAGCGTTGTATGTGTTACGGTTGACATCATAATTAGATAAATAGAATAATCAAGATAATAATTGATAATTATTTAAACAAAAAAAAAAAATAGAAAATTAAACAAATCAATATTAAAAAAATGATCTAAAACTTTGACTTTGTAAAAAAAAATGAAATTGAAATATACAGAGAAAAATGCTGCGTTGCTAACTAGTCTATTGAAAAAATATTAGAAAAACTCTAATATCTTAGAAAAGTAATCTACTAATGCAATTTCAGCAAAGAAAAACCTTTACTAGATAGCAAATTCTAAGAAGATATCAAATTTATTCAAAAACTAATAAAGAAATGCTCAAACCTCGAATAATAAAAAGTTTTCTTAAAAACAATTGATACACTTATAGATTATAAATCTGAATTTCAACTTGTTAGCCAAGTAATTAACAGTAATTTAAAATAAAATGTAGCAGGTAGGATGAGATCCTACTCTACCAACCATAAGATGCTTGAAAATATTTAAACAAAGTAAGACTTGATTTAAAACTATTTCTATTCTCTTGATGACTCTGATTCTCCATGCAAAGTAAGACTTGATGTTTTCACTTTTTGATTTTTAAAAAAGTGATCTTGGCCTTTTTTATAAAAATATATTTATAATTCAAATATCTAACAAATAAAAAAATTCTTTGTAAATATTTTAATCTATTAAATCTATCTTTTTATCTTTTTATATAAAATGTTTAATATAATTTATTCTTAAATTTATTGATAATGCTTTTATTACTCTTCTTTAATAAATTAATAAATTTCATCAATTATTTCTCATTGAATAAGAATTAACAATAATTAATAAATAGCTATCTATGAGTTAAAAAATAAAATAAACAACTAAGATTATGAAGAATGATAAAAATTTCAACATTAAAATATTAAATTAACAGATAAATTGATATTGAAATAAAATTTTTAATGATATATTTTCTAAAAACAACTATAACTTTTTATTACAAATGAATAGATGTTTTAAAAATAAAACAATTAACTCCTTTTTTTGTTGTTGAATTGTATCCAAATTTGAAATATTTAAAATTATTTTAAAAATATTTTTTATGAAAGCTTTAAAATAAAATAAAATACTTTAAAATATATTTATTATTTTGATTAAATTATAATTTCTTTCATTATATTTTTAATCATCATTCTTTGTTTCAGTAGGGAAATGTTTTAGGAGCTATTAGTTTTTTTTGTTTTTATAAGAAAAATAAAACATCTTTGAAATTATACAATAGTAATTAATATTTATGTAATTAATTTAGTGGTATTAAAGATTCATAAAAGAAAATTTGTTAATAATTAACAATCAAATCAACCTAAATAATAACAAAAATATAATTTATATGTTTGATTCTTTTCCTTCAGAAGGATAAAAATTAGTTCCAATAAATACTCTCTCTGTTATGGAGTGGAATGGGCTCCACCCATAAAAATTTTCAGGAAGTAGAAGACATATTAGACCATAGGATTAATTGAATGGTTATGAAGGTGCCCCATTACCTTTATTAGGAAGAAAACATTTTGAATCAAAATTTTCAGCAGTCGGCGAATATAAACCCCATATAAAAGTATTTCCATAAGTTAGCAATAAAACAACAGATTTAAGAAGTTTAACTACTGGAGGACTAAAAAAAATTCCTTACGTTCCTCCTCAGCGTAAAGCAAGACCAGAAAAACTACATTTATATTCAAAAAAATCAGGTCATTTTGAAGATAAATTAAATGGAATTAAAACTTTTGAAATAGCAAATCAACGCACAAACAACTAATATGAATTAGAAAAGCAACTTTAAACAAAAACAAGAGTTGAAGGTCTTCCCTAAATGCGTAATTAGCTTGATGTAATAACTATTTCATAAAATACATTTAATAAATATTAAAAATAAATATTTTTCTTTTTAAAATACATAACCTATTTTATTGAAATCGTAAGTAAAGTAATTTTAATAATATTAAATATAATAAAATGAAGGTAAGAAGTTTAGGTGATAAAGCATATAGACACCCAGAATATGCATCTGATTTCTACAAGCAAGGAGGTTTGATTCCTGGAGCAACAATATAAGATAAAAGATAAAAAGTAGTAAGTGAAAAGTAATTGTAAAGTGCCAGAGTACCTGGAAAACTAACTTGGAAAGAAAGAGAAAAAATTGAGGAAATGAATGAAGATAAAAGGCAAGTTGATGAATTAGATTTTTGGGAATAAAATATTTTGAGAGAAGCCAACCCAAATTGGAAAGACCCTGAAAAATTCTTTGAAAATGAAGATAACTAAAATGCAGCTTTAAATTAAAAAGGAAAAGTAGATAATAAAAAGGCTCCTCCAGCAAAAAAAAAATGAAGGAAAAATAACATACTCTAAATTAAAAAGGAGTTCAATCATTAAAAAATATAAATATAATTGGATGCTGTTTTCATTCAAATTTAAAATCATTAGAATAAAATTTAATAGAAAAATTCTGTAATAACAAGAAATAATTAAATATAAATAAATATACAAATAAATTAAATATTGATTTATTACTATTTTAAAGAGCATTCTATCTATATATACACATCTAGTCTCAAAAATTATAAATTATTTAGCTAGTTATTCAATTTACATATTTTTACAAATTTTCATCAATTACATATATATCGTATTTTCTCCATAATTAAGTAAGAAAATCTTTAATTAATACTCAAAAAAAAAAAATTGCTATCTATAATTTTTAGAAAATGTTATTTAGTGGGTTGGCGGCATTAATTCAAAAGAAACTATAATACATTTATCTACTTTATTTTAAATTTCATTTATATTAAATTTCTATATAAAAAAAAAATTAGAGATAATCTTTTTAATTCCCAACAACAACCTCAATACCAAAACTGTAATATTAACCTTATTATTATTTACAAGGGATGGTTAAATATATACAAATTTTATAAAAATGATAAATTAGTTAAAATTTATCACAAAACTTCATCAATAATAAAATGAACCTTTTTTTTTACTTCATTCTTTTTTTGTAATTTCTATTTTTGCATAAATAAACCTGAAAATCTCTTTTTAAATTCTTCTTCAACACTATAACTCTGAAATTTTAATAAATTAAAATTATACTTATATATCGATTATTAATTAAACAAATTTACCATTAAATTTTATAGCCTTTTTTGTATTGAAACTCTTTTGTTTTCGTCTTTCAAGAATTTAATTTAATGCTTATTTGTGCTTTTATTAAATATATTTAAATTGTTAGTATTTTAACTAGGTTATTCTATCTTTGGTAAAGATTCTTATCTTTCAATTTTTTTAGTAAAATTATTATTTAAATAAGATTAGGTGGTTATTGATCTTTATCTCTCAACAAAAATTTAAGGAGATTTTGAGGATTCCAATCGACTAGTGCTCTTTTTGATTTTATTTTCAAATTAAATCACTTCTTTATAATTGCTGTTTTTTGTATCTTAATTCAATATAGAAAGCTGCTTTTCTTTTTAATTAAGATTATCTCTAATTTGAGGAGTACCTTTCCTCATAGGAGTTTTAGATTTATCTTAACTATCAGCCATTAAATCTTTTACTTAGTTATCTTATAATAAGTTATCATATTTTGGGCTTTCATCATTCTTAAGTTTTTCAGTATCTAATTTTGAAAAATTTTCAAAAAAACTGTCAATTTTATTAATTGGAATTAACAATTCTTTGGTTGAGTAATCACAATTATTATTTACTTTAATATTATTTCTCTAATTATTTTTTGAAACTAAGAAAGAATTCTAAGTTTTTGTTGTATTTGTTTAAGTATTTAATGTAGAAAATTTAGGAGATAAGTCAAAGTTTAATAAATTGCTCATTAAGTTTTCATTTTATTCATTACTTTTTAATTGAAGAGTTTATTAATTATTTTCAAAGAGGGGAAGCTTTTAATCATTTTGTTTAATGTTTGGTAGATTTTCTGTGTTTTATCTATTTGCAACTTTAATTGTTGGAGAATTCTACTTCTATAAATCTCTTCTTTTTATAAAGTCTTTAGTTAATTTGTATACAGAATTCTTGTTTAAGTAATTGTCAAATATTTAATCTTTTATTAAAATTTAAGGAGATTTGCTAATACTTAAATTCGCACTTTGTGTTCCTATTATGCTTTTAGTAAGTATATTTTAAATTGTTTAGCCTCTGTTTTCTATACTTGTTATTTAATTTTTAGTTTAAACTACAGGGGTTATAGAAATAAAAGATTTGAAATGGGTTTTTGGGTTTATTAAATAACTATTCGAAATTTGTGAGATATTTAAATCAGTATTTTATTGTTATTTTATTTTGCTATTAGAAGTGCTTCTATTATAATGCTCCTTTCTAGTCATTTAATTCATATTTAGCAGTTTATATATCTCATTTCTCTTCGTCTATAAATGCATAAATGATTAATCTTTTGAGTAATTTTGAGTTTAATTCAAATTTTCTTTCTAAACATATTAACTAAAGTAAATTAATTATTCATTTTATGATTATTAATCCATTATGCTTAGTACCTCAATAACCACAGCTGGTATTTTTTGAGTATTCTAATATAATTTTAGTTATTTATTGTTGAATTTATATTTTTATGATTTATTGTTTTTACTTTTCTTTTAATTTGAATAATATTTGCAATATAAATAAGATTTTAGTTGAGAAATTATAACCAATATATCATTCAAAAACCAGTAATAAATTATTACTATCACATCAATTTCTCATGTTTAAAATTTAAATGAATAGTTTTCCCAATAATAACAATAACTATTAATGAGTGTAAAACCATACCTTCTTTTGATTAATTATGTTTTCCATAATATTAATCACAAACTAAACAAAAATTGCATTTTTGAGGATAAAAAATAGTCCAGGATTTATAAATTATTGGAGCTTACACTCAAATATTTTTTAAAAGCAGTATTTAAAATTTTATAATTTTCATTAAAATATATCAACTAATTGATATTTTTGCTTTTCTAATATCATTTTTTGATAACTTAAAATATTAATCACTACTGCAAACAATCATAAATGTGTGTCAATAAAAATCTATTTATTTAATAGCTAGTGTCCATTCCTTAAAAATAAAATTTTAATTAAATTTTGGTATTCTAAACATTTACTTTTATTATTGGATAAATAATGGATAAAATAACAAATTTTTTATAATAAATGTGATAACAAAATATATTGTTTTAATGTTTATTATTAATATAAAATTTAAATGAGATATGAATTATTAAAATTTATTTTTATTTAATTATTGATAAAATTATGCTAATCATGCAGTTAGTTAGTTAATTATTTAGTCATTCAGTCAGTCAACCAGTTAGACAGGTAGTAGTAAGAAATATTTATAATTGAATTTAAATTATTTTTACTTGTTAAATATTGAGAATTTAGAATTAATTTATTTGTCTATTGATCAATCATATTAATTAGTCTAGTCAGATTTATTTCTTATGTTTAAAAAGTATTTCTAAAATGATCTTAGGATCACTCTATTTAGTTATTAATAATCATAATTATCAGCCATTCCTTTACAGCATCAAAAATGTATTTTATTTATAAGGATCTATTTATTATTTACATACTTGAATTTTTTTTGTTAGTTTTACTTAATTAATTTTATTAAAAAGTAAGATGGCAAAGTATAAATAGATAAATATTTAGAAATTTGCTATCATTTTCACTAGACCGTGTATATTCTTAAATTGTTTGTTTAATTTGCTAAATTCTCTATATCACCACTAGTAATCACAACGAAGTCTCCAACTTTAAGTAATCCAGTTAATTTTAATTTATCTATTACTCTTTTGATTAAAACTTCAGTACCTATTAAGCTTCCAAATAATATACTATTGACAGCAGATACAGATGAGAGATTTCTTGCCACTTTTTTATGGCACGTAACAGCAATAATAGGACAAGGAGGTCTTAGTTTAGAGAGCTTCAATGCAGTATATCCTCTGGTAGTAAAAACCATAATGACTGAGGCATGAACTTAATAAGCAGCTTCTAAACTGCAATTTATTATACAACATGGAATTGCATTAGATTGAGATTTAATAGAAACTATATCAGAATGAGAAGGATTTTATAGTCTTTTCATAATACGCAAAGCTTCAGCTTCAACACATATACGACTTAAAGTTTTAATTGCTTGAACTGGGTGATTTCCACAAGAAGTTTCAGAAGATAAGACAATATTGTCTACATAATCATTAACTAAATTAGATATTTCACCAACTTCACACATAGTAGGAAGAAGCGAAGAAACCATAGAATCTAAAATATTACATGATACAAGGACAGGCTTCAAATGCTCATGACATTTATGAATCATTTCTTTCTACTTTGCAAATAATTTTTCCACAGGCATATGAACAGTTAAATATCCTCTAGCAATCTACACACCGTCTGAAGCTTTTACAATCTCTTCAAAGTTTTCTACAGCTAAATTTTATAAAAAGCAAATTATAAAATAAATAATTAATTAAAATAAAAATATTTTAGAGTTAAAATTATAGATTATTTATAATATGATTATATTTTTTTTTAAATAGTTTTTGAAATTTGCATGACTTAAGAAAGTGATATTTATTTCTTAATTAAATTTATGATTTAATTTAAGTTCGTCATAAATATTAAATAAAAATTTAGAGATTAAAATTTCATTTGAGTAATAATTTATTGTGTTTAAGTTGCTTATTAATACATAAATAATTAAAGTAGAAGAAAATATTATTTTTACATTCAGGTGTTTGAATTTTAGCCATAATCCTGACTCCTCTATCCTCTCCAATTAAATTTCTTACAGCCTTAATATCTCTTGCTGAGCGGACATTTGAAACGCAAATACAATCAATATCATTATTTATGCAGTGATTTATGTCAGTAATATCTTTTGGTGTTATGCATTCTATAAATTAAAATAATTAATTTTTATTATTTTATTGAGTTTTAGATAAATTTATTTTGTAGATTTTGGTGAAAAACAAATTCAAAATATTTAAATTTAATAACAAATTGTTTATTTTCCAAAAAAAACTTTTTAAATTTTTAATGAAAAGTATTTGCTTTTTTGTTTGTTTATTTATTTACCTTCACCTTCATAGTCTTCAGCACGTTCGTCGTCTTCTGAAAGCTATTCGCCAATAGAATCTATTAAACCCATATCATTATTTAAGTTCTTATGTCTATACTTACGGAGTTAGTCTTTCTTTTAATTATAATCCTTCTCATATATAAAAATTGGCTTGTAAGATTTGATAAGGCAATCGCTATCTACTTCACAAACTATAACATCATAAATTTTCTTTTTACCTTGCTTTTTTTATCTTAGTTGTTCAGCAAATTTATTCTAAAATTAATTGCTATTTCCATTATTTTGATTTTGCTAAATAGAATTTAAATATTTTGGAGTATCTTTGCTAGGTGAATTCGCGTTTTACATAAACCTTTCAGATATAATTTGATTTTCAGTTATTTATATATTCTTTCTACTACCTAAACTGATGAACTAACCCTATTTATTGTTATTACCTTAACAGTCTAAATGCTAAGTTGAATGGCAAAGGTTCTTAAAATTTGTTTTGTTTTAACTTGTTTATGATATCTAAGAGCTGCTGAATGAATCATCTATATTATCTTAGCTGTTAAAAGCACGTATATCATCTTCAGAGAAAATGCTACCATTATTTGGATTTTCTTGATCACTCGAGCTCTCTCTTCCAAAATACAGGTTTGGATAAAACCTTTTTTTCTTTTCAGTGAAGGTTTCTAGGAAATCTTCATGCTAATAGCCATTTTACTCTCGAAGCAGCTTTAAACTTTAATCGGATTTTTCAATTCTTTTAATCGTCATAGAAATTTAGCCATAATCTATTAGAATTTAATTACCTACTTTTACTCTTCTTATAATCTCCTTATCATCGACTGCACAATAAAGGCTATTACCTAAAACCTTATGATTTAAGACTATCCTATACTCCTAGCCCTTTCTTAAGAATATTTCAGGCTACATCAATGTACCTATTCTTACTAAGGTTCCTTTAAGAACACAAGTAATTGGTAATTATATATCAAATTCTTTTTCAAGAGCATCTCTGTGCTTCCTTAAAGTAACCAGCAAGTCTGGTGTACAATAAGCCATATTAACCATAAACGAGTTTAATCCAGCTTCTACCATTGATTTTAAATTTTCGTATGAACTATAAAAACTTGATATTGTACCTACGATCTTAGTTCTGCGAGTTTTCACATACTTTTTCCTTAAACTTTCAAAATGTTAATTTTCTTCTTCAAGTAGCTCATCTCTAGATCTTACATAGTGCATGGATGGCTTCCTTATAACCTTGTTAGATACTTTTTTAGGTGAAACTTTTAAATGATTGCTTATTTCTTCATTGTTGTCTTCACCTCCAACAATCTTAAATTCTTCGCTCATTTTCTTTCTTTCAGCTTATATTCAAAATGCACTTTTATCTATCTTTAAGTGATTCCCTTTATATATATATATGTATATAAAACTATATGTGTATGTATATATTGTAGTTTATCTTTTTCAATATTTAATTAACTAATTCACTAATATCAATAACCTTTATAAAAAATAAAAAGTTAATAAGACAAACACTTTAAACAAGTACTTTTTTTGTATGAATCATTTCGATTCCTCTCATATATATTTAATTGGCTTTTAGTTTTATTTAATATTAATAAAGTATAAGCACAAATACAAAGAAAAATGTAAAATTGTACGCACACTTAAAAATACTTCGTCAATAAACACTTCTATATTCGCTAAAATGAGGTTACCTATAAAGGTACAAAATCTAATTAATATTAAGTTAAATTAAAAGATAAATCTATAAGTCTATTAGATATTATGTTAATAGTTATGCTCCGTTCAATATTTATAAGTGACATTTTATCTTATTAGTAGATTTTCATCTAATTTTTCAAAAGAGTAATTAATTGATAGTCAATATTTACCTTTTAAAAAATTCTTTCTCCTAACGTAATTTTTGTATTATTTATTAAAAATATTGGTTGGTAATTGATAGAATTTGTCCAGTTGAGTTGCTTTATTTAATGATTAAATACAAATTCATAATATAAATATGAATTTGTATGATAGCACACTTTTTAATAAAAAATGTTTGAATAGCTTCTCTAATCTTTGAATTTATGATTTAAAAAATTGAAATACCTATTAAAAAATATATTTATAATCCAAAATAAAATAAAAAAAGGTTTTTTTTTGTTCTTCGATTCTCCATAAGAAGAGAAAAACTATAAATTATTCATAAAGTTTTATTTTAGAAATGTGAGTAAGAAATATTATTATTGAAATACAAACACTTAAACACTTTAGAAATTGCTTTTAATTATAATTAATTATTTTTTATAGATACTATTATTGTAAAACTCATCATATTTGTGAGAAATTTTAGCCAGAAATCTATTTAGATTTCAATAAATTCAATAAGAATAATAAAAATTAGCTTTAACTTTATAACAAAGAAGTTCAAATAATTCAATGAATATTTTCAGAAACATCAAGCTTTGACTGATAGAAATTTCTTAATTTAAATAATTCATATTCTTAACTTTTATATGAATAAAGAAATTAAAATTATTAAATTACCTTGTGAAGTATATAAACGATATCCTTTTTTTTTAGAAAACTTAATATGCAATCAAAAAATGTTTGTTTGTTAACTAAAAGATTAACTTTTATAATAGCTTTATCTCATAAAATAAAAACTATTTTTAAATATATTTTTAAATCGAGGTAACAAAAACACTTACTTACTTATATCTAAATTAAAAGATAAATGTCAAGATATTTATTATTTTTATAAATAAGTTATTTGCTATTTATGTATGAATGTAGAATACAAGAAGGTTAAAAACAAATTAATAATTCAGATAATCTAAAGCCAAATAAAAATAATAAAATCAAAGCAAAAAAAATATTGCATACAAAAAAAACTAATTATATATAGACTTATAAATCTAAAAATTTTAGCCACTTAAAGTTAATAGCTAAATTATAAGAAGAAAAGCAAAAAAGTATAGCCATACTTGTATACAAACAATAGTAGTTTTAAGGAATATACAATACAATAAAAATGGAAATAGATATCAAAAATTTAAATACTGCCAGTGAATTCTGCCCCTAGTGCGGTAACATGATAGAAATGCCTCTTTATTCTGATAAAGTAGAATGTTCAAAGTGTGAATTCTTATGTTCAGTCCTAGAATATAAGTGCGCTCCTATTGTTTCTAGAATTGAATTTAACTAGAAAAAGTAATGGCTTGAGTAATATAGAGCCTCATAAAACAAAAAAATACATGGTATAGAAGAAGAAGATTTGGAAGACAAGCACAAACACAAAAAGGCAACTTTAAAGCAAGAATGTCCTGATTGCGGTCATGATACTCTTTACTTCTGGACAGTATAAACTCGTTCTGCTGATGAAGGTTCAACAGTTTTCTACGAATGCTAAGATTGCAAGTTTAAGTTCACTGCAAACAACTGATTTTCAATAAAAAAAAATAAAAACTCAAATAAAATAAAAAAATTCATTTTATCAATTAAAAAAATTAGGAAGTAATTATAATTAGTTCAAAACCAGAAAAGAAAATAAATACTTGGAAATTTTCATTCACTATTAATAATATAAAATCTAGTTAGCTTTATAATTTAGATTAAGGAGTACATAAATTCCATGCATATATACATTTATATTTTGTTTAAATATTTTATAGCTTTTAAGTCTATTCATACCATTACTTTTATTTAAAGTTTTGTTCTACTTTATTAATTTGTACCAGCAATAATTGCAATAAAAAAGATAAGATTAAATTAATTTGTTCAAAAATCAAATTATCAAATTAAATGACTGACTGATATACATACAGTGAGGCTAATTTAAAATAAAAAATTTTTAAATGTTGAACTTTATTTAAACAATGTCTGTTTAATATTTTAAATACTTTTTCATCAAACTTCTGACATTTGAATGTTTTATTTGCTTTCTGCTGTATCTCTAAATGGACAATCTAAATCCTAATTGTTATTTATTTTAGAAGTGTTATATTCTTCAAGACAATCTAAATGAGCAGAGTGATTATTGCAAACAAATTTTCCAATAGGACGGGCAGATAATGTATCCATGCAAATAGGACATATATCTTCGTTTTAATTATTAAGTTAGTCTGATTTTGATTTGAATATTCTATGAAAAATATTTTTTACTTTTATTTTAAATTTTCTACATTTAATTTTTGCTGCCTTAGTAAACTTTTTTATTAGATTGCATAAAATAATAGGAAAATGGCAAAAAATTAGTACAATAAACTAAATTGTTAATTTCAAGCATTCTTTAATTAACTTTGGTAACTATTTTAATATAAGCCCTACTAATGCTATTAAAGCTAATATTAACAAAGCCAGAAATGTATTGAATCTAAAAAACATCTAATTTATTAAAAATTTCAATTTATTAAATTCAATTGTTTAAATGATAAATATTTTTTTATCAAAATTTTCTTTAAAATACTTTTTGATGTGATCATCCTTAAGAAAAATTATATTTTTTAAAAGGCTTGTTGGGAGTTATAATAAAAACGATTTATGAATGAATGAATTAAAGAATAAGTAAGTAAGTAAGTAAATAAATAAATAATTGAATGGATAATGGATGAAGATTAAAAGTTAGAATATATAGTTTATTTTGTTTAAGAATTAAAATATTTACAAATTAACCACCGCAATATTCTAAATTATAGCTTGCACAAGAATTGCTGCATTACGAGCATAAATTACATTCAATAGATTCTTTTAAATTGAAGAAGCTACATTTGTCTATTAATTAACCTAAAATCTCAGTATATTTTTTATCAGTTTTACTTAATATAATAGTAACTTTATTATCTTAGTCATTATATAAAACATGTGAGAAAGTCATAGAAGGAATTTGATTCTTTAAGCAAATGTGATAGTTTGGTGTTTTTTTATTTTCTGAGGCTGTGAGATTCGTTGTATTTTAATTTTCATTATTTAAAAACTTTGATTTTGTGCTCGATTCATATTTTGAATAAAAGCAAGCTAGAGAATCATTATAAAAACCATAAATATGCTAATTAGAATAATCGTAAAGTAGTACTGAATTAACAGATTTATCCATATTTTAGTTCAAATTTTAATCATCAATCATTTCTATTGATTCTTTTTTTATTTTAAGAAGCTTAATTCTTTAGTTACATCTTATTATAACAAAATATCCTTTGTCTATTTTTGGACCCTTTTACTCATAAGTCATGTCAAAATCAAAATTATTTTCACAGCCTTCAATTTAAGCAAATAATTCTGAGGTCAAATTATAGGGCAGAATGATTTAGTTTCTTAGTGATGAATTTTATTTTAATATGACATATTGTTAATTTTTTATAAAAAATTAAACTCCTTAAATACAATCTTGACAATATTTGTCTGAAATCTAAAATTTTTCATAAGAAATCAGGCTCTATAAAAGTGGTTCTTGTTAAATAATAGAAATCTTTTAATTTGCAAGCTATAATTTTTAAATATAATTAAGTAACTCATCTATATTAAGAATAAATTAGTTGTTTTTTGTTGAAATAAAAATAACGTTAAAGTATGCATGAAGGTAGGTTATATAATCCTCCTATATATTTTAGGAACAGTAATTAGGATCATCAAATTAAATTTGCTTTTGTTAATTATCTTCGCATAGTAGTTTTAAATCTAAAGTAAAAGCAAGATCAAGAGTCATTCTACTATAATTTATTTTATGCGCAAATATCTACATATCTTTTGAAACTAAAGAAAATTGATCATAAATAATTCCATAAGCAGGAGTTTTTATATTATCATTTTTAGAATAAAGCGAGAAGTTATTCTGCTTGTATTAAACGTGCTTATGTGTTCTCTAATCGAGTCTTTCTACAAACAAAGTATTATTCAAGTAAACAAGAGTTTTTTCCATATCGCTAGATGCAAAAAACTAACCTATGTATTTGTTACATTATGCTAAAGACACTATGTATAAAATAAATACTAAAGTACTTATAACTCCTATTTTAATCATTTTTGTTTGAAAATTTATTGAAAATTATCAAATTCAATTTTTTAATTAATTAATGAATCTAAAAAATCACGTAAATTTTTTATCATTTAAAATTCTTAATAAATTTCAAAAACAAATATTTGATGGTAATATAAACAAAAAAGGTAAAATTGTAAATACTTTTTTTCTTTATTTGCAATTAATAAAATGTTTTTAAGTAAATAAACAAAATTTTCAAATTAACAAAATCATTTATTGCCGCCATATAAAAGCCTCTATTGAACACTTTCATTTATATTAATATCATAGAATTAAAATATCAACATTTGTTTCAATATAAATTAACTTATATTAAACATTAACATTTTATTTTTTATTTTTGTATAAGAATTTAAAAGTAGTAAAGTGAATGAATGAATTAATTTAATCTAATTATATTTTTAAATGGTTATTTTAATTTAATTTCTCACCACAATCTTGGTCCTTTTGGTCCTTCTTTTCTAAATTTGTTAGGTATTCTTTTGAAAAAAGGCCACAAATCACCCCATGAAAGTTTTTTGATAGTTTTATATTCTTCATCTCCATGTGATTTAGCAGTTACTCTTCTTTCGAAATCTCCATCTCGTGTACATAAATCATATACGAAATGTTTGGATCTCCTCATTATAGGGAAAAGAATTCTATCCCAGAAGAAAGATTTTTCTGCAAAAGTTTGTGAATTATCTTCATCTCTTTCTTCTTATTTAACTCCTTTCTGTATCACCATAAAGCAGAATTTTTCATTGTCAAATTATTTTTCAGTAGGCAACTTTGAGAAAACAGACTTTGGGTATTTTCCTACTTTTTATTCAAAATGGCACCAAGTGTCAGCTTTAGCAGCCAAAGGACATGGTCCTTAGTGAGGACAAGGAGCAACAATATAGGGATCATCACTTTTTTTATTTTCTAATATATATCTTCTAAAATCATGAGCAAATCTAAAACCCTTAGGAGTTCCATTTTCTACAAAAATCATAATACCTCCTTTTTTGACCTTATTCCACAAACTATCGATAATGAGCTTACGAGCTAAATTTTATTATGAAAAATAAGAAAAAAGAGTCAAAAATTGTAAAATTTTACCTTCAACTGATGGAACTTCTTGTAAAACGTGTGATATAAATACAATATCGAACTCTACTGCATAAGGTAAAGATATTGTTTAAGCTAAATTTTCAACATAAACTAAATTTGGAATATCTTATGTCATATGTTTTCCAAGCTTTCTCATATTCTTTGAAGGTTCACATGCAACTATATTCTTACATTCTGGGAAAATATCTTAAAAAGCCAAACTTCCACTGCCTTTATTTTAAAATGAATTTATTAGATAAAAGTAAGAGTCTCAAAAGTTAATCCCTTTATTCCAAAAATTTAAAAAACTTTACTCTGACAATAAGTGGATTATATATTTTATTTAAAATCATTTAATTTGAATAAGTCTTCATATTAAATCATAAAATTCAATTTAATTCATTTTAAACATTTTAAAAATAATTTAATTTTAACAAGATAAAGAAATTATTTTAGATAAATTTTACCTAAACCAGCACCAAAATCTAAAAAAGTTTGAGGATTAAAATTAGGCATCCTGTATCTAATTTCAGTTAATATTCTACAAGCAACAGAAAAAGTGTGAGGGGCTTTTCTCAACAAGTAAGCAACAGAAGAATTTTAACTGTATTCAAATAAACTCAGTTTGATATTGTTATTTGCATTACTTTTAAATTTAGGCTCGTCTTTTGTTAAATCTACCAAATCATCGCTTTCTTATTCAGTAGAATTTTAATCTTTCTCTTGCTGAGTTTCTTCATCTTTGTTATTTTAAGCTTTTTCAGCTTTTAATTTTCTTTTTAATTTCACCTTTTCATCCATTTCTTCTTAAGTTTCTTCGCTTCTTCTTAAGTAAATGATTTATTCAGGATTATCGCTTGATTATAGCAATTGATCTGTATTTGCAAATAACTCAGTTTAACTAATATCGCTTGGTTTTTCTACAGCATGCATTTATTAATACATTTTCATAAAATTAACTCCCATTTCTCTCAGTTCTTTATGAGGATACTTAGAAAATACTTGCTAAGCTCTTTTTAAAGCTTTTTCTGGGAATCTTTAAACATCTAAATGACATTTTGCCATAAATAACTAATCTATTTCTTCAGAATCCTTTTCTTTTCTACTTTCCTTATCATGTAAAATGGCTCCTTCTATCTTCTTCTACTCTTCAGTTTTCTTCTTTTTTTCATTCAACTTCTAGCTGATGTCTTTTTAAACCTGCCCTTTATTAAATGCTCTTGCAAAATAATATTTGACTTAATTTCCCTATAACAAAATATTAATCCTTTATTTCATTTCTGCTAATATATATAAACAACTGTAAAATAGCAAGTAGAGTATAATCTTTATATTTACTATAAATTTAATTTAATTTAGATTCACTTGTTTCAATTTATAATCATCTACTTAGAATCTAATATCCTTAAATATTAATCAAAGAAATTTCTTCAGAAAAACATAGAATCACATCATAATTTGAAATAATCTTAAATAAAATGCATTGCTTTAAATACTATCAACAATATAAATAATCAATTACTTAAATAAATTATTTTATCATTTTTACATTTGAGTTAGTTAAAATATCCCATTAAAAAATTTTTAAATAAATTCAACTTATCTTGAATTCATTCTTGAATTTTAAATTAAAATATTTTTGGATAAAGGTTTTTAACTTAAACATATAAATTTATTTAAAATTCAATTGGTAACTTAATGAATAATTTTTTGATTGATATATTTAGAAATTTGGAAAATTCAAATAAAATCTTAGAGTAATCAGGACAACATTTATGTATGGAAAAGTGAGTGCAATTAAATTATAAAAAGTATAATATAAACTTCTAATATCTAATTTATTGTAGTATCAGTAGAAAGTAAATTCATTTTATAAAATTAAGAAAATTTTAATTTAGGTTTATAGATAGAATTACTACTTAGGTTGAATTGATAGACAGAGAGATAGGTAGGTCTATATATCGAAGACCATGTTAGTATCATTGCTATTGCAAATATTAAATTTTTGATAGATATCTAAGAACCTAAATATACGTATTATTTCTATATTGGCAGTTTTTATTAGTCTGATTACACAGATAGGATAAGATAGATGGACTCAAATAATTTTATTTAATTTTGTAAGTAAAGTATTATTGTAAATAAATTAAAGAAGATCGATTGTATTGGATTAATGTTTATTTTATTATGAATGAGCTTTATTTTAATATTATTTGATAGAAATTATTTTTTATATTATTACTAGTTAGTTAGTCAGTTAATTAATTAATTAATTTGTTAATGAAATTAATTGATTGATTCTAAAGTTTTAAATTTTGCCGAGTATTTATTCTTTCATTCATGAGAGTTATTACTATTAGATGGTTTTATAGTTGTTTTTATTCCACTATTTTATTACTTTAGTTCCATACTACCTTTTCCATTATGATTCTCTTTCCATCTTGCAAGCCATGTTTTCTTAAAATAAAATTTGATTTAAATTAATATTTATTATATATTTAAAAAATTACTATTTTCACTACTGTAGATATTTATACAGCATTTTCAACATCCTATTCATTAACTTAAGCTAGTACATTACCTTCTTCACTATTTTTTTATAAAAATGTTTAGCTTTATTTCTAAATATTAATAATATTTTTACATTTCCTCTTTAAGATTTTTCTTGGCATTTAAGTTTAACCACGGATCTTCACTAAGCTAGGTTAAAGAAATTCTTTTAGTTGGATCTTTTTCAATCATCTTTGTAAATAAAGCTTTTAATCCATCGCTACATTCTCTATGAGAAGGAAAAGCTAAACTTTATATTAAAATTTAATTATAATTTTGTAAAAAATGGAAAAATATTAAAATACTCTTTCTATTTAATAACTTCAAATATTTCTTAAAGATTAGAACCTTAGAAAGGAATTTCTAGGAATGTAAAACAAAAGAAAGTAACACCTAATGACCACACATCTGCCTTCTTTCCATTATATCCTTCTTTGCTATTTTCCTTACTCAAAGCTTCTGGAGGCATGAAATAGTAAGTTCCTTCATTGCCAGATACAGTTTCTGTTTCACTTACAGTAGAGACACCAAAATCTGCTAATTTTGGTCTTCCTTCTGAGTCAAGAAGAATATTTTGAGGTTTTATATCTCTATGAATGATACCATTATTATGTACTATTTTACAAGTTAATTATATTATTATTTTATAATCTGATATAAATTTACAATAGCTTAGACCCTTAATGCATCCTCTAAATAACTCCCTTAAATAATCTTCAGTATAAGCTTCATTTTAGCTTTAATTGCAAAAGAAAAATTTCTCTTCGTCATCATCCCATTCTATCAGTTAGCCACCTTATGCATAATCAATTACTAAAAAAAAAATTAAAATATTTTTTAGTATTAAAAAAAATAAAAATTCATTTGAATTTTGTAGTTTTTGTGTTTTTCAAATAACCAATTAATCAAGAAAGTACTTCAATTATTTTTCAAACTTTTAGATTAAATTAAACATTATTTGTAATGATGATATTAATGTGTTGGAATAAATAAACTAGTTTTGTTTACTGGATATAAAAAATAAATTTTAAGCCGTTTTTTAATTTAATGTATTGGCTTTTTAAATGAAATTTCAAGCTTTTAACTGATTAATTAATAAATTGATTGATGCTGATAATTATTTTTTAAGTAAAACAACAAAATTATAATTACTCTAAAACCTTGATAAAAAAACCTTTGAATTAAGATTTTTAAAAGAGGGTAAAAATTGTTAAAATATGTAGGAGATATTGGCATTACTTTTAAAAATAGAAGATATTTATTGAGGTTTTAGATTATCAATTAATGAATAAAATGAATATAAAATAATTAAATACCCATATAAAGCTTATCATTATCTGGGTTTTCAATAACCTCATATAGCCTAACAACATTAGCATGACGTAGCTTTTTCATGATGGCAATTTCTTTTTTTACATTGTCAAGAGCATCTTTATACTTCATAGCTATTTATGATTTAATAATTTATGTTAAATTAAAGTGATATTAAATAATTAAAAGAATTCAAATTATTATTTTTTAAAATTAAACAAATAAATAAAACAATTTAAATTTAATATTATTTTTGAATTTAATTAAATTGAAAATTTTAACTAAATATAATTTTAAATTCCAAATAATCTACTGATGCTTTAATTTTTTTCAGTATTTTATGTGAATACTCGTTTTTATTAAAGTCATATTTATTAAATTGAAAATATAAAATAATTGAAATTACCTCCGCCACTATCACGGTAATATTCACGTTTTCTCTTAAGAAAACTCTTTTTAAAAATCTTAATAGCAAACTTAGTTTATTTAGTATCACCTCTATTAACTGCTAGCTTAACTTTACCAAAAGATCCTCTACCCAAAGTATCAAGGAAAACATAATTATTAATCATTTTATTTCCCTTTTAATTATTTTAATAATTGAATTATATATATTACTAACTATTATTATAAATCTTTATTTTTGTTAGTCAATTTACTTTAAGGATAAAGTATGGAAAATATCTATATTGTAATATTAAAACTATACACAAAATATTGAGGTTTAAAGTTCAATTAAACATATTGATTGATAAAACTGTGAATAGAACTTCTTTAAAAAAGCCATTTAAATTAAATGAAACAAAATTTAAAAATAAAATACCTCTTCATCTGTAGCCTGTTTCATAGTAACAGTTTCTTTTACTCTTTTTTTCTTTTATTGAAAATAGAAATTAATATTCTTTTTGTCTTTTCATATTTAAAATAATGCTTTGTTTTTTTTTTTTCATTTATTACTTGGTTTGGTATGTAATGCTTCTTCTAATCATCTTACTACTCTTTTTTGATTTCTTGATTATGAGTATTCTGTGTAACATTATTATTACAATTGGTTTAAGGATCTTCCTTTGAGACTGAAATAGCAGGCTTTTCATCTAAAGGAACGACTTTATTACCTTATTTTGAAGGACTTTAAACACCTCTCACATTAGCACAACCCATTTGAATTATGATTATTTATTTAATTGATTCGTTAAAATTAAAATTCTCCTAGTCTTATCAGTTAGGTAATGTTAAATATGTTGGTTTAATTTGATTTGCCTTAGTAGCTTTTTAATGTTTGTTGCTGTATTCTAAGGTTTTTATTGTGATAAAAATGATGATAAGTCCCCTTTATTCTAAAAATTGAATGCTTATATAACTATTATTTACTTTATTATTAAATATCTAAAAGCTATTAATTTTTTATAATTTTCACAAAAAAGAGCTTATTTTATGCTTGGATTTCAGTAGTGGAGAAATAAATATCAATATCCAGAAAATATTAATTAATGTGTATATAATATGCGCTTATTAATAGAAATATATGAATTCTATCAAGTAATTTTAATTTTTTTGAAGGTGGTTTTATTGAATTCATTAATTTATTAATAATATTTTTTGATAATTGCATCACTATCATTAAAAGATTATGATTGATTGCATATTCTTTTAATTATCTATTTTATGTTTCATTTTAATAAGCTTGAAGATCATATAAAACAAGCTAGCAAACAAACAAACAAACAAACAAACCCTTGTTAAAAAAGTTTAAAACAAAATTTTACCAATAATAAATTATTTATTCATTAATATAAGTTCTGTAAAGATTATTAATTCCTTTTTCCCTAAGTTTTTTTACTTTACGACTATTTAAAAATCACTGTAAAAAGTAGTAAATCTCTATCTTTACATTTTTTATTAAATATTTTATTATTATTAATAAAAAAATTCTATTTCAGCAACTACTTGTAACTGCTTGATTTTTAAAACGCTATTAGAACAAAAGTTATTCTTTAAATGGAAGCTAAATCCTTAAATTAAATGCTAATGCTAAAAAAAATGAAGCAGTTTTAAAAATAAAAACTTTCATATAAAATAGAATTTTATTTGCTTCAACATTTTAAATATTATGAATGTTTATATTCCTTAATTTATTTTTTTTGAAATAACTTAATTAGAAATTAATTAAATAGCAAATATTTATTTAATTGTTTGCAAAGCAAAATTTCCTTGATGGTTGATATAAATTTGAGTATTAAGGAAGATTACATTAGATATTTGTGTAGTAACTCAGGTGAATAATTAATTTTTCTTTTATAAGATAAAAAGTTAAGTTTATTTTTTGTCAATTATTACTAATTAAATATTTAAATTTGGATTATGTTAAAATTATTATTATAAAAAAACGAAACATCAAATACTTCTTTTATTATAACTTGAAATTAATAATGCTATTAACATGTGTGCAATATTAAGCATTTCCATTATTAATCAAAAATAAGGTTAAATCATTAAGCTCTTTGCTTCTACATAAAAGCAAAGAAGTCAGTTAACATATAAAGCAAATTAATTGATTAGCATAAGTTTTTATAATTATTTTTGCAATTCTCTTTACCTTTAAAAAAGTGAAAATCAAAGCTTTTATATATTTTTTCTTCTACTTTTAATTTGATAATTAAGTTAAGAAAGTAAACTACAGGCTTTCTTAAAATTAAATTTGGTACGATGATTGAATCGCAAAGTTTGTTTAGCAATGGTAATATCTTAAAGAGAATTGATTGATTACACATATCTATGCTACCCAAAATTTAATCATTCTCATTTTTGTATAAAAAAGGAATCAAATATTTACAATTAGAGGGACAACACGATTAACTACACATTAACATAAAGCAATCAGATAATCTATTCAAAAATGTTAACCTGTATAAAGTTAATAAAAAATTTACCTAATAAAACCTCCAAAATAAAGATAAAAAATCCTAAAATAACTAACATTAAATGAAGATAAATAATATTGATTGTCAAGATTTTTAAGAATAAGCTCCATAAAAACCAATCGTGAGATAAAAAAAAGCTTAAATCTAGCCAGCTGATTAATAGAATAGTTTTTTTCAAGATAAAAAAATAGAGTAATGTAATTAGAACCAATAAAAAATGGAAAACATTGTACATTATAACCAAGTAAATATAAAATACATCATTAAAAATCATTATAAATTTCTTATTAAAATTATAGAACTAGTAAAAAATGGCAAATAAATAATTTTAGGACCAAGAACATTTTTAAGTACTATCAATTTAACCTCAAAAAAAAGATAAGTTAATTAAGTTTCAATTAAGATTTGTTATCATATATTGATTTACTTATTTTTTTTAGTTAGTTTTAGCTACTTTTATTAAAATAATTTATTTAATTATACTAGCAAAGAAATATACTTTAATACTCCATATCTAAAAGAAAATAAAGGTGCACTTGTTAACAATACTATTTACAACAGAAATATTAATATAAATCCTCTAATTAAAAGTAGAAGCAGCAGCCTAATAAAAAGTAGAAATAATCCTAATTAATAATATCAATAAATAAAACTTAATAATGCCTATAATTATACCTACGAAAATTATGTTGATGAACTAAAATTTTGCAAAAATTAAAATGAATATGAGAATACCCATAAATATAAAAACTAGCTCTTTGCAGATATATTAAAAGATGACATGCGTAATAAATATTGTTTTCATTTAAAAAGCATTTTGTTTCAATTTTTAAAAATTAATCAATTTGAAATTCTTTAAGAACTAATTTAATTTTTTTAATTTTTTTATAGAGCAAATATTTAACGAAACTGCTAAATTTGGATAAAAATTTAATTAATAAGACTCAAATAATATCACTGCGAACTTTTTATCTATTCGTAATCAACACTCAAGCGAAAATACAGTTAGAAGTAATTTTAGTTAAAATCTAACAGAACAAGTATAATAGTAAACTAAAAGAAAATATTCTGAAACAGAAAAATACAAATATAAACAGTTTATAAATAAACAAGGTAATTAGACTACCCTAAAAGAAGAAAATGAAAACAAACTTAGTTAGCTTGTTAATATAAATAACAGTCCTACTTGCTAAAGAGTAAAATATTCAAGTTCTTCTCCCAACTCTATAAGGATAAAATAAAATAACAGCTTTAAATTCCCTAAAGCAATTGAATACAATAACTATAACATATCTTAGTTAAATAATAGCTTAAAAAGTAGTTAAAATGTCAGTATAAATTAAAGAGATAGTTCTAAGAAATTGAATAATAATCATATATAATAACCAAATTAAAATTTCAATATGTAAAACAACAGTTAAAATAATGTTTTAAGTAACAGTTCCATAAATAAACAAATGTAAGCTTTCTATAATACACAAAATATAAATACTTTTGATAGTGACTCATATTATATACCTGATCAATAAATGAATGGTATTAATTTATTATATAATTTTTTTTATTAATAATTAATTATTAAAAAGGCGATAGCAGAGCTTCTCTTAAGTCAAAGGGAAGTAGAGCAGGGAGTCCAGGAGGATGTAGGATAAAAGTTTTACCAATAAAAACAAACAAAGGAGTCATAAGTGAATTTTAAACTGTTAATAGTAGAGAAGGAAGTCCAAACTCAATCAGGATTAAAAAATACAAATACACTGAAAATATTGATCTAAGCGATAACTTTCAACAAAACAGCAAATAACTTTGAAACTTATTAAAAGAAAAATTTTAACCTTTATAAAAATTAATTTAAATCGAGGTAGTTATATAATTGCATAATATATTCATATTTATTTATTTATCAAAAAAATAATTTTATGTATTTATTATAAAAGTAATATTTAAAATATTACCTTCCTTGTATTGAATAAATATAAAAACTTTAAAAAAAAAACATTATTAATAATTTAAGTGATTCTATCATTTTAAATAAAAATATATATCAATTTATTTAAATGTCAATGTCTTTAGGATAATCAATCAAATAAGAAATACTTTGCATCAATAATGGTTTAAAATAATTAAATTTTTTTAGTATTTTTAAAGAATTATTTAATATTCAACAAGTTTATATTTATACCCAAATAATTATTTTTTAAGTCTTTATTTTGAAATCGAAGTATACATACTTAAATTATATACATGCATTATTATATGTTGTATAACAGAGAATAAATATAATCGAATTTACTAACAATTTACTATTAATGAGGAATAAACTTAAATTAGAAAATATAAATTTTATATTTCAAGCAGGAATGATGATTTGACTTTTATTTCTAATATGGAATATAGAAGTATCTCTATGGATTCTATTTTTAGATTAAAACTTATCGTTGTATTCGCTTTTAGCTAAATAAAAAAAATAAATATTTTAAAATATAGTTTTTATTTGTCTTTGAATAGTTAATTACAGTCCTTTAATTGAAGTTAGGAATCAAGACACTCTTTAAATCCAACTATTGAATTATTTTTCATAAATCCTGATAGAATTGTTTTTTTAGAGAGGTTATTATTGCCATTCAAGTCATCAGCATTAAAATCTTAATTGTTTTCATTGCTAAAAACTGGTTTTGAAAATTATTATTTGTAAAGAGACTATTTTAGATTGCTCTATTTTTATTATTATTGTATGATTAATTTTGCAAAGTTTTATTAAATTAAAATATAAATACCTCCAAAGAAGGGTGATTCTTCTAGATTGTAGTTGCTCCAAATTTATGAGTAAAAGCATTGAGGCTTTAATCTGCATAGTCTATATAATATAAAAATATTTTGGTATAATACTTAATTTAGCATTTTGAATTTAAATTATTAAGATATGCTATTTTCTATAAATTTTGATTTATTAGATAAGTTAATAAGATACTGTGGCGAAGACTATTGTGTCCAGTAGAACTTAGTTTAAAAGGATTGTTGGATACATTAGAAGCTAGCACTTATCTAGCAGATCTACTGAAGGTTTGACCAAACATATTGTTAGATTATATTTAAGGAATGAATCCTTTGTACCCTTAAATTGCATCGCTTCTAAGCTCATTAGGTTTCTATGTAATTAATATATTATTGTTGATGCTAAATTAAATAAAATAAACAATAAAATGCTAATCAAATACATCTGAGCTGTTAGATTAATAAGAGGAAATATACTAGAATTGCTTAGACCATTCGTAAAATTTACTATGATCGATGCCTTGTTTAGTTGTATTTTGCTTTTTATCAAGGATGTTTTCAGTTTGTGACATTTTATTTGACCTATTTTTATTTATTTATTTATATACTTACTGTACTAAGTGTTATAATATTTATTAATTAATTAGCTAATTAATATAATTGTTGGCCTTTAGAAATTTATGTGAGTTACCTTCTACTATTTTTATTTTTGATGAATTTTATTTATTAATTTTTATTCGTTTTAATTTTATAGGTCACAAAATTTCCAAATTATTGCAAGAAATTAAGCAATGAAATAAATAAATAAATAAAAAAAAATAAATTTTTGTTCATAAGTCTTAAAAGTAATTCCAAAATTAACCAATAAATATAATAAATTATAATGATTTTGGCAAGCATTTTATTTAATTTTATCAAATCTAATTCTTTTTTTCAAAGCATATTTTTTATCTTTTTATTTTTGATTTACTTTTATTAAGGTTGAGTTTTTAAAATTTTAAAATTATTTTTTTAGTTTTGTATTTTTAGATTTATTTAGAAAATACTTATTCTTTTATGAAGAAGAAAACAGTAGCCCGATTAAGCTGAGCTAGCTTTTATGCTTGTAAATTTCTCTTATTAAAAAATAAAATTTGTAAATTTTTTGAAATATAAAAATAATTAGAATATTATTGAAATCTATTAATTTTTTGATAAGGAAATAAATAAGTTTAAAGATAGATAGATAGATCACATTTCAATAAATAGGATAAAATCATTAATAGTTAAGGAACATACAAAGAATAGCCATTTTTTATACTTTTAGAATTAAAATAGAAAGGTTAAGCTAGTATTCAAATAGAAGCTAAGTAGAATGAGTAAAACAAAGACTATTAAAGAGTATACTTACTTTAAAAATCAGTTAAGGTACTCAAATTAGATTATTTCTGTTTACAATATGACAGATGAAAAATTGCTCATGATTAAAATTAAAAAAGAAAATAATCATTTTTAAGATTATATGAATTATATATTTCAAGTAAAGTAGTTATTAGATTAGAGACCCGATTTGAATCTTTTGTAAGTAGAAAAAATTTATTAAACAGGTAAATTTTGCTATATTGCTACTCATAGATATGAATGTAATCTTTTAGAAGCATTGCAAAACAAAAGATTTTAATCTGTTTGTAATGTTATGCAGCTATTGTTAAAAATTGTTGAAGCTTATCTTAATACCTTCAGCCAAAATATTATATTTAAATCTCACAACTGTCTAAATTATGAAAATATCCTACTTATGAATTCTATAGACAGCCAAGATATTAAAATTTGCTTTAGAGATAATTGGGAATCTCCAGATTTAAACAAATGTTATCTACAAATAGTTGATCAACATAACAATTAATTAAATAACTAAAATCCAAATTAACAACTTGCGCTACCTTATTTTGTTGCACCCGAAATTTATAACTCTCAATAAATCGATTTAAATGCCTCAGATATGTTTAGCTTAGGCCGCTTTTTGTATGAATTTAGAAATTATAATTAAGCATTAAAGGAAGATATTTTCTTAGGTTAATTATTTAATGAAATGCAAAATAAGTTTCCTCGTGATAGAATTACTTGGCAAGTATTAAGAAAATAGCTTCAAACTAAACTTCAGTATGAACAAAATAATTAAATTTAATTCAATTAAAATCCATTAGTAAACAATTAAAGCTAATAATTCCTTTCCTAAAATAACTTCAATTTTATAAACGAAATGAATAATTAATTAATTAATCCTCAATAATAATAAACAATCAGTTCGTAATAAACGATCTCAAGCAATGCTTACCAAAATGTATAGACTAATTAATCTTAATAGTATATTTAGTATTAGACTTATCCTAATAATTCTAAATCAGGATAATAAATGATTATTCCATCTTAGTAAAATATTTTGCAAGATAACATGTAAATGTAACGAACTCAAAACTATATCCCTTAAATGCAATAAAAATAAAATTAAGCACCTCTTAACAGCTAAAATTTTTATTAGTTTTAAGTGATACAGAATTAAGCATAACCATAAAGTTAATAGGGAATAGTAACTTAACCTTAGTAAATAACTTAACAAGTAGCTTAATAAAGAATTGTTGACTAATATTAGTAATAGTAATAGCAGACATAATATAATTAACAACAAAGCAATTTTTAAAATAAGGTAATATAAAGCTAAGCATAAAACTAGATTAATGTGGTGCAGTAATAACAGAATTAGATTCAAAATACCTAAAATTTGTTGAATTGGTAATCTGAATAAAATGAATTTTTGAATTTGTAAAAAGTGAAAGACCAAATCAAATAATAGTTGTAGCTATAAGGGTATGAGCATTTAGCTGATAGTTTTATCATTGGTGAAGAGGCTATTTAGTACAGAAATTTATCAATAGCTTTGAAGGAATTATTTTTGGAATTTACAAAAGATGATATTTACTTGCAATATAACCTTGAAAATGCAAAAATTATAGAATTCTTAGTTTGCGTCTTACAATTTTCATTTTTAAATATTAAAAGAAGTAAAGAGCTAGCAAATTTAAGGAGTATTGAATTAAATGTGTTAAAAATCTTTGATCGTATAGCATAAGACTTTAAAGAAATAGAATATATTAAGAAAAAGTATATTGATGATTTAAGGAAAGATTTTCCTGAACACATATTTAATGGTGACCCAGATTATAAATTATTATTTAACACTCTTATTTCTGATAGCAGTAAACTTTTTGAAGAAACACTTAAATCTAAGATGACTGAAAATTTTAAATTAATGGAAGCAGAGTTAATTTCTTTAAAAGTAAAATATAAATATAAAAATAACAATCATATAAATGGTATTTGTTTTAGAATAGAAAAATTGAAAGATTTTAATACATTAATTTGGAATGAGTAAAAACAAACTACGTTTAACTTCAAATAATACTTTCAAAAATTAAATAAATTTGAATAAAATAATTAATGATTTATTTAGCTATTCTAGTGCAAATTTATATATATGTATTCATTCATTCCTTCTTTTATTTATTTTTAAACATGAATTCATATTATCAAGAAAATTTTTTAGAGTTACATTATTAACCTAACAGAAGGTGCAGTTTTAAGCTGTTAAAAAATTTTTATATTTTGAGCATAAACAAAACCTAAATTGTCTGCTGAAGAAAAAAATATTAATTCTACCCTCCACAATGGGCAAATATATGCTTTAATTAATTAAACCAGTTAAAAAAATAATAAAATACTTAAGAGGGTTTATCAAAATTTGAGTATCTTTTTAAAAGTAAATTGTAAACATAAAAACAAAAACTATGTAAATTGCTTTTGCTTAAGGATATAGATTTTAAATGATTTTAATAAATTTTTTAAATAAAAATAATAAAATGTGTATTATTTAAATTATTTTTTGTAAATTTAAAGAATTTGAAATAAAATAATGATTTCACTTACTTTTTTAATATAGCTAATATAATTAGATAATTTTATTTTAAAATCAATTTTAATTAAATTTATTAGACATGGTTCTTCAAAGTTTCACTTTTTTAATTTAGGACTCACCAAGTATCTTTTTAATTATTTTAATATAAATTAACTCAATACATTTTATCAAATTTTATTTAATTATTTCATACTTGAATATTTTTTTTAAAAATAAATATCTATGAAAAAGATAATTTAACTTTAGTGAGTAAATTAAATTAAATTATTTAATTTTATTAAATATGCATAGAGCAATTATTTAAGCATAATTAAAATCATTTAACTCATAATTTAAAGAAAATTTTTTAATGTAAAAATAATTATTTTAAATATAATTAATAGAATTCAATTTAATATTTTTATTCAAAATATTTTTGTTTAGTATTTGTACCTCATTAGATTGGTCTTTTTTTTATGAGAACTACTAAGATTTAGGATCTATTGCTTGATCTCCTTGATTTTATTTAACAAAGCTAGGCTAGTATGAGTTATTATTTTTAACATCTCCAATAATCTACTCATTTTCCTTAATTATTATTAAATAAAATTACATTAAAATTTAATTAAATTTTTTAATACTTCTTAAAGTTGTTAGGAAAACAAATGATAAGATTGAAAAAAAAAAAATTGCTACTCTAAAAAAACTCTAATAAAAGTAAATAATAAATTTATAATTCTTACTTCTTATTCAAGGTTTTCATTTTTTTATTCTTGATTTTCATTTTTGTCTTCCTTTTAAATTTCACTATGTTTATCTTTGCATTCTTTTGTTTCTTAATCCTTAATTTGATATTTAATTTTTTTATTCAAAATATTTTTGTTTAGTATTTGTACCTCATTAGATTGGTCTTTTATTTATGAGAACTACTAAGATTAAGCATCTACTGCTTGATCTCCATCATTTTATTTAACATGGCTATGCTTGTATGAGTTATTATTTTTAACATCTCCAATAATCTACTCATTTTCCTTAATTATTATTAAATAAATTTACATTAAAATTTAATTAAATTTTTAAAACTTCTTAAAGTTGTTAGGAAAACAAATGATAAGATTGAAAAAAAAATAATTGCTACTCTAAAAAAACTCTAATAAAAGTAAATAATAAATTTATAATTCTTACTTCTTATTCAAGGTTTTCATTTTTTTATTCTTGATTTTCATTTTAGTCTTCCTTTTAAATTTCACTATGTTTATCTTTGCATTCTTTTGTTTCGTTATCCTTAATTTCATATTTAATTTTTTTATTCAAATTTTTTTGTATAGTATTTGTACCTTATTCTATTGGCCTTTTACTTATGAGGACTACTAAGATTAAGCATCTATTGCTTGATCTCCTTCATTTTATTTAACATAGCTAGGGTTTTATGAGATATTATTTTTAGCATCTTTAATAATCCACTCTTTTTGCTTAATAATTATAAAATAAAATTATGTTAAAATATAGTTAAACTTTCTTAATGCTTCTTAAAGTTGTTAAGAAAACAAATAATAAAATTGAAAAAAATAATTTTTACTCTAAAAAAAACTCTATTAAAATTAAATAGAAAATTTATATTTCTTACTTTTGATAATTTTTCAAGGTTTTCATTTTTTTGTTCCTTTTAAATTTCACTATGTTTATCTTTGTATTCTTTTATTTCTTATTTCTTAATTTCATTTTCTTCCTATGATTTCTAAGCTTGCTTTTCCTTATTATTCGAAAGATCTTGGTCTTAGATTTTTGGTTTCTCTAAGTTTTTCAAATTATCTTTCTGTTCTTCCTAAAAATCTTCGTTTAGGCCTTCATTTTAATTATTTTCTTTTTTTTTTTTGCTTTGCTATTCAATCTACTAGGGTTCTTTATTCTAAAATTGCTTTTAAAACTCTTCAGCAAATACCTAAACCTTATTATTTATTTAAAATCAGTCATATTGATATACTAAAATCTTATACTGTTTCGTTATCAAAGTTGCAGAATCTTATTTCTTCAAATTAATTAGAGTAATCATACTTCAATAGCCTATTTGACAAATAATTAATTAAAAGCTATAAAAAAATGAATTGAATATCTATAATACTTTTAAGTTTCTTCTAGCAAAATTTTGGCGCACAAATATTTAGGGAATCCAAATATACCAGAAGATATGGCTGGTATAGATATAGATTTTAATTTATAAAATTTAGCCTCTCTTAAACTTTTGTTACAAAAATAAATATTTAAATATAATTAAATTAGAAGTACATTTATTTACATTGTTTCCATACATTTAGCTAGCTCTTCTTTTTCATTACTGTCTCCCTTAATTTTTAAAAATAATCCATTTGTAAAATTACTTCAAAATTTATTAAATACATCTTCCCAAATAGGTCCTACTGTATGAATAACTTTTTTACAAGGAAGTTGTCCAGCTTCAGTAGTGACTGATTCTCCATTTTCAACTTGTAAATTAAATTTTAGTATTAGTACATTAAGTAAGTTAAATAAATTAGATATTCAATAAATTTCAAATTACTTCTATTTCTTATTTTTATTATGTCATAACTCTAATTTTGTATAATTCTATTTATTAATTATTTAGAAATGAACTTAGGGTTTTTAAAAAGTATTGTTATTTAATTAATTACCTTCCTCCCTTTCTGCAAATTGCTCCTGCAACTCCTCCTCCATGTGCTAAAAAGTTATTAGCAGCGTTTACTTTATTTATATTTTAATTAAATCATTTAATTCTGAATCATGTTTCATATATTTTAAATACCAATCGCATCAACATTTTCCATTGTTAGATCATTTTTAACAATAGATATCTAAGTTTCCCCAATCTTTTATTACAAAATCGGTTATGAAGATAAGTTTCCAATAGTATAAGTAGGTTTTTAGGTAGTTTTAAAATAACTTTTAAGTTAAAATAAATTCATCATTTTTGGCAATTTTTATATTTTACTAAAAATATTATTCATATATTTTATGCAATATTTTATTATTACTTTACTTATAAACTATTAGAATATTAAATGAGAGCTGCTTATGAATTATGATGATTTTAAATTGAAATAATTCATATAATAGTAAAAGTCAATAAATGATAAAAAGAGAAATATTAATAAAATCTAAAATTAGTAAGAATTCAATCCCAAAGGCTTTCTTCTTCTTCTTCTTCTTCTTCAAATAATTTCAACAAAAAAATTTATAATAATTTTACAAAAATTAATAGTAAAAGTAATTGATTTTATTTATTTCTAGTCTTTAAATTATCTTTTTAAAAATAATTTAAATTACAAAAGCAAATTAAATAGTTAAGGATTAACTAATTATTTTATAAAGGAACCATTTTAAGATTTTTAATAATACATATCAAAAAATTATTACCTTTTTCTGATCTTAAATGTATAAAGAGTCTCAAACTAAAATTAAGATCAGATAATTAATTATTGCAAAATAGCTAAAATACAAAAATTAAAATAATTCAAAATTAAAAACAAACTTGCAAAATAATAATTTGCTTTAATTTTTTGAAAAATAAAAATTTATGAACTATTTTGTTTAAATTTTAGGCAAAAGCAAATATCCATTTAATATTTTATTCATTCATATTATTTTTATTTATTTATTTTCATTTTATTTTAATTTTTAATTATTTATTTATTTATTCATTTTTATTTAATTTTTTATTCAATTATTTATTTTTATTTATTCATTTTTATTTATTATTTATTTTTGTATTTTTTTTTTGCTCATGCTCATCTAGGATTCGATCTTTGCTCATCTATTCAGTTGCTATTTTTATTTTAAAAATACTAATTATATTTTATAAATATATGATTTATTTAAATTTGATGAATTTTCATCTTAAAAAGAGGTGGTAAAACTGAAGTTTGATATAACTAATATGATGGTTAATCAAATAATATCCATCTAATCCATTCATGATAAGATAAGTAAAGTATAAATATTTAATGCTTTTGTTGATTAAAAATTTATTGTAAGGAATGATACTTTTATTCTATTAGCTGACGACACAATAAGTAATTTATTGAGCTAATAGAAACATTTTATCATATCGCGGTTTTAAAAACTTTTTATTTATACTTTACTTTTCTTTTCAAGAGGAAATTAATATTTTTTAATTTTTTTTGAATTATTTTGTTTATATTTATTTATAATGAAAATTCAAAGCTAATCTTAGCAAATAATTAAAGAAATAAATAAAACTAGAGTAAGAAGTTTAAGAGGTTTTATCATAAATCTAATATAGTAAATTTCACTTATAAAATTTATCTAAAATCTATTTTTTTAATTGTTTTGTTTTACTTCTGAAATTTGCCATTTATTTTCCGATTAATTATGAGATTGAAAATATTTTCCTCCAATTCAGTTTTTTTTTAAAATTAAAAATTTAAAAATGGTGGAAAATTTAAATTTCAAATTAGGCAAACAATTTTGATTTATAATGTTTGCTTTTCTACAAAAAAATTTTGACAAATTTCAGTATAATACAATTAATAATTAATTTATTTGCTAAGGCTTGTTTGCAAGTAGCAAAAAATAATTCCCTCAAATTTAATTTATTATATACAAAGAGACAAAGACTTTTGCATAATTATTAAATTATAAAAACAAATAATTAATTATAGAAGTATTCCCATTACTAAAGTTAGATAAAATGATTCCTTTACCCAATTATGAAATAAAAAGAGTTATAGGTTCAGGTTCTTTTGGTAATAAATATTTTAAAGCTGTAGCAAGCATCATTAATGTTTGTATTTATTTACAATTTTAAAAATTTCATTATGCTTCTTTATATAATTATTATCATTATCAAACCTTGCTACTTAATGAGTATTATGATAAAGAAACAATAAATAAATTAACAAACTTATTCATTAAAATTATGTTTATAGGATATGTATTTGAAGCATATGATAACAACAACCAAAGGACTGTTGCTCTAAAGCGTATTTAGAAAGTTGGCAAAAAGCTAAGTAGAGAATACGAAATTCTTTTAGACATTAAGGACTGCGATTATGTAGTGAAAATGATTGTAAAATAGATTTGAATTAATTTATTTATGCTTAAAATAGACAGTTTTGGTTGAAATATCATACATACTTAAATATTTTATTTTTATAAAAGGATTTGTATTATTCTAAAACAGATGATAATAAGCTAATCCAAAATATTGTTTTTGAATATATGGAAAATAATTTGGAAGATCACATTTCTAAATTCAATAAAAGCAAAAAAGTAATACCAGAGCAGACTGTAAAAGTATGAAGTTTATTAAATTTGAATTGTTGAATGAAATAGTGAATTATAATTAAATCAATAGGAATATGCCTACCAAATACTTAAAGGTCTGTAATATATTCACTCAAAAGGCATTGCTCATCGTGACTTAAAACCGTAAGAACATTTATTTATTTATACCTTTTAAGTGATGCTTTTAATATATAAAATATAGAGATAATATACTTTTGAATGATGACGGCAAAGTGAAAATATGCGATTTTGGTATATTAAATTTATAAAATAAATAGACATTAAAAAATTGTTTTAATGATTAAAGGTGGTTCTAAGTATATAGATGAAAAAGGAAAAAATACTCCCTATATAGTTTCTCGTTATTATAGAGCTCCTGAATTGATTCTTTGTATAACAAAATATAATTAGAAAATTGATATGTGGTGTAATTAAATAAATTCATTAGCATTATAATTGATTTTTACTTATTTTTCTTTTAAAAAGCTTTTGGGTGCATTTTAGGAGAACTTGTCACTACATTCCCTTTGTTCCAAGGTAAAACTGAAGGAGATTAGCTTTTCTCTATATTCAAGGTTCTAGGATCTCCCACTAAGGAAGAATTTTAAAAATTCTCTGAAAGAGTACCATTTGATAAGAAAATATTTGATGAATTTTAGACATACGAACCTTAAAATCTTAGAAAAATGTTCTTTTACATAAAGGATATTGACAACTTAATGGATTTAATAACTAAGTGTTTACAATATCTTCCCGAAAATAGAATAACTGCTGACGAAGCATTATAACATCCTTTTTTTAAGGGTCTTGAAGAAAAGTATCCATGATTAATTGAATAATTAGGTTAGCATACAAAAAAAATAAATAAATCAAACAACTAAAAAATAAAACATTTACTTAAAACATGAATTATAAAACACAAATAATTATACTCAATAATTAAATAAATAAATAAATAAATAAATAAAAAAAATACTTTATAAAGCAAAATATTTATAATTTAATATTAAACACAAATAAATAAATAATGCATTCAAACAATTAATTTTATTATAGTATTATAACTTAGAGTCACTTCATTTTTTTATGTTAAGCAAGCAGAGTTAAATTTGGTTATTCTTATATTAAAATATTCAAATCGATCTTTATTTAATTATTCTTTTATTTGTTGTTAAGTAAATCATAATGAATTACCAAAATGTTTATTAAAAGCTAATATAATTAAAATGCATTTGAATTTTCATGGAAAACTTAAATAAATCTGGTAAAATTAATTTAAGAAAATAAATTTTCAATCAATTAGTGAATAATTTAAATTGTATAGAAGAATAAGATGAATAAGAGAATACATTTCCCTTGAAATTAAGATTGTAGGATTTTTGAATAAGAATAACATTAAAATAAATGGATTTCAATATATAACAATAGTCATTTGTCAATTAATAAGATATATTTATATATATATATTTGCATATATACTAAATTGCTTTTTAAAAAATATCCCCTTAGCGCTAATAAAGAGATTAATTATTGAAACACAGAAAATTAAATAATGAAGAAAAAGGTTTCAAATAATTCACCAAGTAAAGCTAAGAAAATAAATATTTTAAAACAAAAGGTTTTAAAATAGAAAGCAAGTCTTAAAAATAAGATAAAAGCTAATTAGAAAGAGCAGCAGCAGGATAAAAAGATGCCTAGAAAAAAAATTTAAAAAAAAAAATCAGCCAAACAGAATGGAAATAATTCCGAAGAATACTATCCTTCAGAGCATGACTAAGAAATATCGGATTCTTAGTAAATTGATAAATATGATAATTCAGAAAATAGTAATGCATCTGAGACTAATCAGTCAGTCTCTTAAGAAGCAGAAAGCGCTTAGCAATCAGAAGTTTCCTCTTAGTTAGAATAAAACGAAGAAAATTCAAGCCCTGAAATGAATAGCAATAGTAGTGATTAGACTGATAATGATGAAAGTGAATAAGAAGATTCTGAATAATTATCTTCAAATAATTCTGTTTCAGAAGCAGAGAGCAGTAATAGCGCTGATAAGGAAGATGGATAATCTATTGAATAAAGTCAAATACAAACAGATTCAGAAAATTCAGGCTAAATGCAGAGCGGAGGTTCAGATGATGATTAAGAAGGGTCAGAGCAAGTAGAAGATTCATAAAATGAAAATTCTGTTAACTTAGAAAACTCTAATTAAAGTAGTAATCAAACAGAAGATGAAAATGGCGTTGAAGAAGACAATTAGAGTGAAACAGAAAGAGATGAGAATGGTAGGAAAAAAATATATAGAAGAAAAGCGATAGATATCCTGAAGGAATATAAATGCAAAGTACCCAAATGTGGAAGACTCTATGGGTCATATTAAGCTTTATACACTCATTTAAAAACAAAACATGAAAATTTAGGATAGGATAAGTTGTATGTATTAGCTGACAAGGAAAGAAAAAGACTTTTAAAATTGCAAGGTATGTATATATTTTAGTTTATAAAAAAACAGTGTTTATATTTGATTGATAGCTTTTATTAAGTTTTGCTAATATTATTATAGAGGCCAAAAGTAAGAATGAAAAGTAAGATGGGTAATCTGAATAGTCAGAAAGTGAAGCAAGATCAGATTAACAAATAAAAGATGAGGAAGGATAAGAAATCAATTCATAGTGTGATGATGAATAGTCAGTATCAGGATCAACAAGTTCTAAATAAAAATTATAAAATAAATAGAAAGTATAAGATGAAAAGAGAAAGAGAACTTCAAAAAATAAGATTTAAATAGAATCTAAGAGCAAAGATGGTAAAATATAAACTAAACAAAATAAGTCGGATTTAAAAAACTTAGCATAAAATTCCTCATAATCATATATTGATGATGAAGAAGAAGAAGATGTTGAAGAAAATTAAAGTGATCAAGAAAGCATAAATACAATTTCAGATAACTAATAAGAAGAGTTGTATAAATAAAAAAGAAATAGCTCTAAAAGGGTGAAAGAAATTTATGTAGAAAAGTATATGCATCTAATTAAGCCTGGATTAGTGAACTAGAATCAAATAAAGAAACTATTGAAAAACAAACAACAGCAGAAGAAATTTGAAAGAACAAAAGATTAATAGGCAGATGAAGAAGAAGAAGAATAAGAAATCGAAATAGGCAAATTATAAAGTAAAAAGCACAACAACAAGGAAAAAACAAAAACAGGGTCTAAAGTTAATGCTAATGTAAAAATTAATGGAGCTGAAGAAGAAATATAAAACGAAGATGCACTTTAAATGTACAATTAAGAAGAGAATAGTGAAGAAGTGCAACAAAAGAAAGGGCCTGGAAGACCAAAAAAGAAAAAAAATGTAGTGGCAATAAGGAGAACGTATGGAAGTGTGGAATAAATGATTTAGAAGAGTATTAATAAACAGCTTGCTTTGGCAGAGATTAAAAAATAATAAAGGAACCTCAAATTGTAAAAAGTTGATAAGAAAAAAGTTAGCGAATTAAATGTGTTTTAGCCAACATATCTATACGATTTAGTTAAGGAAATATAATTAAGCTCAGAGGAACTAGGAGAGGAATTAAGTAACTAAATAGTGTTAGAAAACTTAGAGGATTCTATAATTTAAATAGGTTCTAACAAAAACGATGACAATAATAGTCTATCATAAAATAATAAAAAAAAATAAAGTAAAAAGAAAAAAGGCAAGTAGGAAGTAGAAAAAGTGAAGGATTATGTAGATGATTATCCAGATGTTAATCAAAATAGTTCCTTTTTATTGGAACCTCTTAAAAAACAATTACATTATGTGAAAAACCTTGATTAAGAATTAAAAAATGAAGAAATTTAGGGAATCGGACTGAGATTAGCTTATTGCTTAAAAATCCTTTCAAAATATGTAAGTAGGGATTTCTATTAGGAGATGGTATACTTTATGAGCTATTTGCTTCGTATTCTTTCAATAAAAAAATCTGGATAGTATTTTGATATGCTCTAAGACTTTTTGTCTATTTATGAATATATGATGAACTCAATATAATATGGGGGATTTGTTAAATGTTTTCCTATTTTTTCTTAATTTACTGATACAAGTAAAGTATATAACTTTCCTAAAAATATAATCCTATAAATTTTAAAGGTTCTATTTAAAAATAATAATGCTTATTCCTAAAACCTATACTAACAATATTATTATTACAACTAAGCACAAACATCATAATTTTGAAAGATTTTAATTACCACACACATCCACATTATTTATATCTTAATCAATAAATTAACTAACTAACTATCTATCTAACAAAAAAACAATTATTAGCTTTTCCTTCCTTCAAAATAGTTCTTATCAGTATATTAATTAATTAATAAATTACGAATTCATGAAACAATATTTTCAAGTAACTTTTGCAAAGCTAAAATGTAAATAAAAAAATAATTAATTAATTTAATAATATATTTGTCATTCTTCTTATTTTAATTAATTGAGTTCAATTTATATTATTTTTTCTTCTTCTCCTTCCTTCTTCTTCAAGTAATTATCTTAATAATAATTTAAAAATTTATGATTTTACTTTATTTAAATACTCACATTTATGAAATGAAATATTTGTAATTTAAATTGTATTCAAAATGATTGATTATAAGTATATTAACGGATGGTAAAAATTGTTTGGTTGTAATAATTTTCTCTTAATAAAAATATATATTAGGATTTTATAGCTAATAAATGAATAAATATCCTCACTTTTGAGTAATGAAATAATACTCTTTTTACTTCAGCATATCTATACTTAATATATTATCTACTTTTTTTGTAATGTATTAAAAACCTGTCTTCAAATACTAATTAAATTTTTTCATAATCAGTTGTAATAAATTATAAAATAGAAAATCAAACGCATAAGTTAACTTTTCAAGCCACTATCGCCAACTTAACATAAATATAAATAAATACATCTAATCAGAAAACATTATAAATATTATTTAAACGTTATATAAAGTGTTATTCTCATGGGAAATTGCGTGAGATAAGGATCTATAAAAGTAGGTGCAATTCATAAAAAAAGATCAACAATTAAAAAGTTGTAAGAATAAGCTGATAAAGAAGAATATGAAGATATAACACAATAAACTAAGAAAGTAAAAATAAACTTTTGAAACTTTTAATTTACCATAGCAGATACTGCTAAATAATTTTTTTAAGTAATTTATTTGTGTCATTCATTAGAAAATATTATGTAAATCGTATGAAATCATACATAAATAATGATTCAAGTAAAGCATTAAAATTTCTATTTAAAATAGGCTAATGATTAAGATGCAGAAGATACTATTCCATAGCAAAGGAAAAAATCAAAATTAATGGAATTAAAAAAAAATAAAACAAAAAATGAAGCAAACTAATTTATAAGTTAATCAAACAACGAAATAAATGAAATCAAATAAAGCACTGAGTATCTATAAAATTAATTTGTTAATTTTTGAAAGGAAAGTAAATTTATTTAAATCTAGAAATAGGCTTGACTTTTAGAATTAAAATATATCCACACATATACTAATACAAATTGAGGAGTAGAGGACGAAATAAGAAACAGTTATCAAGCAATAATTGAGTGAGTTGAACTTAGAAAAAAATGTAGTCAATAGCATATTTTAGCTTTTAAGAGATTTTTTATCCCATATAAAAGACACGAAAAAATATTGGGTGAAGTAAAATTACATATTTTATTCATTTATTCGCTTTATTCTTTCTTAATTTTTGAAAATTTTTAAAGAAATTTTTATCTATTTCATCGATTTTATTAAAAACTAAATTACCACTTTAAAATTAATAAAAGCAAAAAAATAAATAAAAATTATTATTTAACATGTTTTAAAGATAAATAAAATTTTTATCATAATTTAAATAACATTTTTAATAAAAATAAAATAAATTTATTTCTATTTTTTTAATTATTTTTAAATGAAACTTGTTTTTTATTATAAATTTATTTAATTTAAATTATGATGAAAAAATAGACTTAAATTTATTGGGTACAGCAAAAGTTAGTTCAATAGCAATTAAGTGGGAGGAAGCATAAACATCATAGTAGAATACAATACTGGAGAAATGACTAAACTGAAAATTATTTTTTCTAAAGATATGGAGAAATCGAATTTTGATTTAGATACTTTTGTATTTTACTCGAAATTGGAAAATACTAATCTTGTAAAGGTCTAAGATTTTAATTTTAGGATAAGTCCAAAGTATATGAGGTATTATATCTTTAGTGAGTTTAACTATCACGAGATGTCAATTTAATAGATGATAGCTAATCAAATTAAAACTGATTAGCCTTAAATGAATTAATCTAGTTTTAAATAGATGTTTACAGATATCTTAAATTTGTTGTATTATTTTTCAGAAATTAAATTTACTCATGGTGGTATCAATCCCTCTAATATTTATATCAACAAGTAAATGGAAAAGGATGGCCATTATATTTAAAAAGCTTTACTCGATATCAGCTTATCAAATAATTCTTACAATAGAAGAAACACTAAATACAAAGAATTTGCTTTTAGAAAAAGTAGTGATTTATAATAATTTGCCATTACAATTTTATCTCTGATGTCTTCTATGGACATAAATTCAATAGAAGAAGCAAATAAAAAATCTATTATTTCTTCTAAGCTTTCTGCTCCTTCAATTATATAAGTTGATAATGATATAAGGTATTATTTCTTTTTAAATTCTTTAATTTAAATAATTTAACTATTTTTGTCTTAGATATATGCTTTATTGTATTTTAAAGGGCTCTGATATGATTCTTGAATTTGGAGCTTAGGAAATTAAAAAATAATATGATAATTCAATAAGCTATGATAATAAATTGGGGTTGATAAGACCGAATCAATAAAAAAATTAAATTTCTTTTTGCTATTATATTAACAATGGATGTGAAATTATTGTTTATTCTTTCTACACTAAATGGGCATTTGGCTATAGAATTTATGAAAGTATTAATTTAGACAATAAAGTCTCTATTAAATAATCCTACTGTTCTGGAGATTACCTATATTTTATATTTGAAATAACTGATACATCTGACCTCTTTATTTCTAAAATTAACTTGAGAAAGAAGTGTTTAGATAATAAAAGTTTAAGCATAATCAAATCTATATCAGATGCTCTTTGTAAAATGTAAGGTGTAAAAAACGAAGAAGAACTAGATATTATGGAAGCTTTTGAAGTTCTCGATAAAAAAGGGGAAGAGTTTATAAGTGCAGATGATTTTTTGCATTTTTCATTTGAAAATAAAATAAAAGAAGCTGCAAATAACTAAGCATTAGATTTCTCTACAATAATAAGCTGCTTTGATGAGAATGATAATGGAAAATTGAATTTTTACGAGTTTAAAAATATGATTTAGTATGTTATGAGTTCGAGGCCTTTTATTTCAATTGAAATCCAAGAGTTAATTGAACTTCCACGCCACTATATCCCTTCAAATATGTTTAAAAAAGGTAACTACATATATTTAATTGGTGGTCAGTATAATGGTTTGCCTACAAATAAATGCTTCAAGTATTTCCTTAAAGATTTGAAAGTAAATTAAGAGATTAAAGAACTTGATTACATTAGTCAAAAAGTAAGCTTTAGTTTGTAAAATTATCATTTAATTAATTAATTTATTTAAAACAATAATTTAGGGATTCTTAACAGATTCTAATGATCAAAAAAAATTTATTTTTTGGAGTTGGAATTAGAGTGAGGAATTTTTTGATAAAAAGAAAGAAGAATAGATGCATAAAAATGTAGTTAATATCAATATCAATCAAGTATTAGCTAACCAAAAATATAATGATGCCTTTATAAATAAAAATAGCAGTATTCTAGAATTTGAAAATGTAGAAGAAATGAAAAATGCTATGATGAGCTAAAAAAGCTTTTTAGAATTTAAGCCTATTTCTTCAACTAAGAGTCTAGGTTAAATCATAAAAATTACAAGGACTAACAGCATACCTATTAATTTATCTTTCGTTGCAGAGAAAGGAGAAGAAAAAAACATAAAAAACATTATTATGAATGTGTATAACACAGATAAAAATGTATGGTCCTCTTGCTAAATGGAAGAGGAAACCTTTAGCAAGTAGAATTTTTACTTGCCTCTAAAAGAATCTGGGTAGGTTATTATTTTTTCTAAAGAAAATTGCTAAAATGCTGAGTTAGTTGGAATAAATCTGGTATAAGTAGATTTACGTTAGATTACATTATTTTTTACAAATAAAACTGCTGTTGAATAAATGATTAAAGGAGTCATTGAAAAAAATATAAATGTCGCCTTCTACGAAAACTCGCTTCTTTATATGAGAAAACATGCTGATACTAATTAATTTTATTATTGCACATTTATTATAAATGAAGAAACGGGCATAGTTACCTATCAAGAGTATGAAATCGTTTCATACTTAGGAAAGTATGATAGAATATCTAAAATTCCTATAAGGTATGTTAAGGCCAAGAAGAATCAGAATTTGCTAAACTATTCCTCTCAATCATTTGTTCAGTTAAATAGCTTAAGTCTTTCTTCGAAAACTAACCTAAGTATGAGCTAAAAATAAAAACTCAAAATAAATAGATATACAATTGATTAAATTGTTACTCAATTTGGAGATACAATCATATATTCAGCAACAAGATCTTCTTTTCCTAATATAGAATTTAAGATATTATCAAGAGCTATCAACAATTCCACTGAAAAAATTGATGATATTTATGAATCTCTAAAATTTCTTTCATCAAACTAGCTGCAAGGAAGGATAGCTACAGTTAAAGAAGCCTTTTTTGCTTTTGAGCCCAGTACTTCTTCTATAAAACTGAATTTGATTTACTCAAATGAAGACGTAGGTCTAAGTATGGCTGAAGTTATTGCAAATTTACAATCACAGAAAAGTAAGGTAAAGCAGAAATTGCTCCAGTCAATAAACTTAAGCCATAAAAAGAAGAAAAAATTAATCGAATAATCTACTTAAAACAATTCGAGGAGATCTTCGGTATAAAAGCCTGAAAATTAAGAAAATTAAGATAAAACTCCTTCAAGAAAGAGTAGTTTAACCTAAAGACTCTCAAAAAGATTAAGTAAAAAATTATTAGTCCAAGATACTCCGAAAGCAAAAAAGAAGACTACTTTTTTAACTGCTAGAGTCTATGATCTTATTAACAGTATAAAAAATGTATTAATTTGCTTGCATCAGTTGCATTAAAATAAATTTTACCTGAAAGAAGTATCTCCTCACACATTAATTATTGTTAAAGAAGGAAAATTTTTTTCACCTTTAAACTTTTATCATGAGAACACTTTTACTACAATTAATAGTGAAATAAAGGAGTAAATTGTGAAAGAAAATGCCATCTACGCAGATTACTTGCCTCCTTAGCTACTTAAAGCGCATGAGGATGGATTATGTTTTAATGATATTAACTACAATATCCATAAGGCTAACATATTTTCAATTGGTTTGATATTTTTATAATATGCTAGCTTAAAGAAAATAAAAGGATTTAATAAAATTGATAGTGGATCTTAAGTAAAGCTTTCAATGGCAATCAGCAATCTTCCTTATCCTAAATATGTACAAGATATTTTCATAAAAATGCTTAAATTTAATGAAGATGAAAGATTTAGTGCAACATAACTACTTGATTTAATTCATCAAATCATGCTAAAGAATAAAATGGACATATATTTCCCACAATTGTAATATTTCTCTCCTTTGTAATCAGAGCAATTTTCTGAAAGCTAAAAATAGAATAAATATGATAAATCTCCATAACAAAATAAGCAAGAGTTTTACTACACTTATGACAACCCAGGCTCTACGTTGTATCTTGGTGGTAAGTCTTTGCTTTTGGAATTCAAAAAGACATTCAAGGTAAATGAAAAAGTTACAATGGAGATGAGTTCAGTGGTGGGTTTAACTAAATATCAAGGAGGATTCTACTCTGTTGTTAAGTATCCTACTTAGCCTTCTGAGGCCTTACCTTAATCTATACTCAAATATATATTTGTTAAGCTTGTAGGAAACCCAACTAATCCTAAATAAATACAAGGTAACTTAATTTGCAGCTTACCTTAATTTACAGGAAGAGATATAAATTACTTAAATCTCTCTTATTTAGAATAATCTACCATACTTATTTATGGAGGTGCAGAAAATACTTCTGTAGGATAATTAGATATGAAGGAGATGTACTTATTATTTGATAGTTAAAACGAAAATAATGTTGGAAATAGTCAAAAATTTCAATTTTTTTCTAGTTTAGAAGCTGGAGAAAGTATTAACAACAACAACGATGATTAAAAAAAGTACGTCAGGATAGATGATTTGAAAAATAGTGTTGGAAAGGCATAAATATTTAGTTATGATATTTCATCCAATGATTATAAATAGTTTGATTACGATAGTATTTCTGATGATGAATATGATGACCTTAACATTCCTGAATGTTCTGAATAAGATGAAGATGATCAAGAAAATTTAAATAAATAAAAAGCAAATTCAAATGTAGAATCTGAAGAAGAAGAAGAAAAAAAGGAAAGTGCCACAAAAGAGCAGCCCAAGTATGAGTTTTTGTAAGAAAGAACTACTGAATATTTTATCATAGATTAAAGGCTTAAGTATATCTCTTATTTTAAGAGACAGATATCTGTTTAAATTGTAAAATCTGATTTTTCGATCCAGCAAAGGTACATTAGTATAAAAGTGTAGTAGGGACAGAATAACAAAAATATTAAACAAAATAAAAAGAAGAATAATAATTAATTTTATGAAAATATATAAGAAGAAATTCTTTAGTTTATACCAATATCTGATTCATTAGTAATTGGTTTGGACATTGAAAAGCAGGAAGCTGTTTTGCTCTCTCTTGTATCATTTAAGAGTATAGGCCTAAGATTTATCAATGAAGTACCATAGGCTTAATAAATTTAACCTAGTCATGTAAAAAAGTTATCTTAAAAATTTTATTCTATTACAGGTGAAAAGAGCTTTGTTTATATTTATCAAAATCATTACGATTTAATCTGTAACACATTTTCTCTTGACACAGAAAGAATGATGCTTATTCTAAGTCAACAAATGATAATTCTTCCAAAATATGGCTACGTTTAAACAGGAAACAGCAATATCAGTTTAAAAACAATGAATGAATTTGATGATGTAAAAAATAAAATTACATTACCATAATTAACTCTAATAGTGAAAAGATCTTCAGAAGAAGATTTAATGCAGAAATAATTAAATGTTTTTCAATAGTATAACTATGCAAAAAATAGTCCATAATCTCCTGTTGAAGATAAAGAAAAAAATTTATCCGCAATCTCTATAAAATCAAGAACTTCTATCATAGATAGAATATAAGAAGAACCTGATGATGATGAATAATAAGATGAAATTCAATTTCAAAAATAAAATCAATATAAAAATAATAGTAGCAATTTGAAAAATAAAGATTAAATGATGAAAACACAAAAATCAAAGCTAGGTTTTATTAAATAAAAAGACACTATTGTAGATTCAAGTTAAAGTATCAATATAGAAAATTAAATTAAAAATGACAACAAAACTATTCTCATAGAAGAAATAAATGAAAGTAAAATAAACGATGAAGATTCTAATGTAACAGAAAGTGAAGATGAAGATGAGGAAGAAAAATAAGAATTAGAGGACTAAAATATGGATATTTAGCAAATAATTTAAAATTAAATAGATTAAAATAAAAAATTATTGTTGCAATAGTCTCTTGTAGTATCCCCAGAAAAAAAAAATAACAAATTTAGATTTAACTCATCAAATGAGGCCTCTCCAAACTAAATAGATTCAGTAGAAAATCCTAATTAAAATAATTTAGAAATATCTAAGAGAATTCTAAATAAAAAAAATTACTTGAATGATAGCGATATCAAAAAACTCAGTCCAATCAAAAATGATGAAAATGATTAATAAAAATAATTTGATTAATAAAATGTTGAATTTCTAGGTGAGTAAATTGTAAAAGATCAAAGCGAGTAAAACAATATAAAAAATACTTTTTATAGCAACTCTAAAGAAGATTATTAGAATTCTTAGGCTTAAACAAAAGCAAGTTTTCAGTCTTAAGATCAGCATACTATTAATAAACTAAATACAGATTATATTGTTGAAAATACCTGTAATTTTTAAACTACTAACACTTAAACTAAAGAATTAGATATCAATAATTAAACATAAACATAAGATATTTAGTCTACTCAAAAGTTATTTCCTTAATTTTAGTAAAGTGAAGAAAAACTAAATTTTTAAAATGAATAGCTCTAAATGATAGATGACTTTAACATAGATAAAGGGTTTGGTATAAATACAAGCCAAGCTAATCTCTTTTAAGATGAAAATGATTGCAATATTCTAATGATAGAATAAAATTTTTGATTAATTTATTTTATGAAATCTTTTTATTATATATTAATTTATAAATAAAAAACATTTTAACTAATTAATTATTTTTTATTAAAAATATGTCTTTTTTAAATATACTATTATTAAGATGAAAACGATTTTTATAATCTAATAATATAATTTTTTATTTATTTATTTATTTTTGCTAAATAAATCATTTTATTAAAAATTAATTTATTTTTTAATAAAAAAAGAATTATTAATTAATTAATTACTTTTTATAAAAAATATCTCTTTTTTTAAAATCTTTGCTAATATCTTTAAAAATGAAAATTATAAATAATATTTTTATTAAATTATTTTTAGTAGCTCTTTTTGTTTTATTTTAATTTTTAAATAAAAAACTCTCAGCATGATATTTATTTTTTATAAATAGTATTTTTTTTTATTTTAAAAGAATAACCAATATCTTATTTGATGAAAACAATTTACTATATCCTAATAATAGTAGAAAAGTTTGAATAAATTGTTTTATGAAACTCTTTTTGTCATATTTTAATTTTTAAAAATATCATAGTTGATATTCAAAAAAAATAGAAAAAAATTTGGATTTAATTATTTTACAAAACTCTTTTTGTTAAATTTCAAATTATAATTTAAAAATATTTTAAATAATTAAATATTTTTTTTGTTAATTTCTATTATTTTAAAAACCAATATTTGATATTTAAAACAATTTTTAAAACAAAAAATAAATATTAATGGCAGCAATTAAATACCATTGCCATTTATTATAAAAATAATAAACTCAGAAATTTCAATTACTGCTAAACAACTTCTATTTTTATTTATCAGTATAATTTTTAGTTTGCGTTATAAGGATTAAAAGAATTTTAATATGCTGAAGAACTAATAGGTCTATTTTGTAAATCATATCTTTATGGTTGATTGTATGAATTATTTGAATAACCTGACTATGGTCTAGAGCGTGAAGAGAAAGTACTTTAAGGAGTAATTGGTTACTAAGCAGTTTAATATTATAATTGGGGTCTTTCATAAAGGTTTGATCTGTATCCACTCCTTGATATTTAATCTGGATTTTAATAGGCTATTTAGGGTATTTAATATTGATTTTATTAATTGCTTTGTCTGACAGGTTCATTCTGAATCTACATATACCTAGATGGTTGATTTGATTGTAGGGTTCTCATATTATTACTTTAATTATTCCATCTTTAATGGAAGTCCTAAGCTTATTCTAAATATTAATATAAATTTTAGATTATACATTTTATATTGATATCAATTTTACCTTCTGTGATGTTATGATATAAATTTTAATCTTCGATCTAACCTAAGTGGTTTCTCTCTTTAATGTACTTATGACCTTAGTCATTAAGCATTCTTTCATGAGCCATTATAGATCTACCATTTGCTTAATTATGATAAGCCTACTTTTTTTCACTGATCTATAGAATTTTTATATCAAAATTATTAGAATATATAGAAAAAATTTATTAAAAATTACAGTGTTTCCATCATTTCCTCTCTATATCATATTATCGTTGTAATACTTTTCTACTTTTGGCTAACCATCAGGTCCAATAATTTACTTTTATACCATACTTCTGCTAAATACTTAAAATTAGCCACCACTATTCTGCTATCCATTTGAGTTGCTGTAAATTTAATTATGTACTTATTTTCAAAAAATATTTATTAACAGCCAATATAAAGTTTAAAATTATTTTACAGTCAGAGAATCCAAATACATCTCTTTCATCAAATTCTTAAGCCATTAATGATTAAGAGGGAAATCCTGAAAACGGACTACCTCTAAGCATGATTTAAGTCATATTTTAAAAATTTTGAATCATTCTATTATGCATATGTTCAAAATCTCTCATAAATGGATCATTGTTAAATGGATTAGTCATAAGCTATCTGTTCATTTCATCTTAATAGGGGGATATCTGATTCATTTATCTTTGAGGTTATTATGGAGATTATATATATCTGCTTTAACTTTAGAAAGGTTGAATCATAAAAAATATGTTTTTTTTTAATGGGAATTTATTTAATTTTTAAGAATTTGCAAAGATTTATAAAGCTAATAATTAAAAATCGATTTCTAGAAATACATTAAACTGTTTTTATTATAAATATTATCAAATAAAAACTAATAATTAACACCACAAATTGCGCATATTATTTGAATGTAAGATGAATAATCAACACAAATACTTTTGATTAACTAAAAAATTAAATAACTAGATAGATTGATATTATTTAAATGCATTATCAATTTGTTAATTTTGATATATTTTTTATTTATTCTAATAAGTTTTTATAATCAACTATCGAAAGAATATTTCTATTCTACTCTAGGAATCTCTTCTACCTTAGACTGATCTTAGATTTCTTCCCTTTTAGTAAATTTGCAAACTAGAAGATAATCTCTTATTTTATTTCTCTAAGTAGAAAAATGCTCTATTCTAGATTTCTCATTTTCTGTAACTATCTTAATATGATTTTCGATTTATTGAAGTAATTATTCAATTTATTTAGGTTCTATTTAAAGCATTTTTTCATTTAAATAAGTAAGCATTAAATCTAGTATAATTTCTCCTTCTTACCCTTTAAGCAAATCCCTTTGTATTAAAAATTAATGCATATCAAGTAAATCTGCAGGTTAACTTCCAGGAATTAAATTTATGATATACTGATAAAGCTATCTTTGAATGTGAAGGGGAGTATTTTCAAATTTACCACATGCTTTGTAGTTTAAAAATTCTATAGCATATTAAATATCTTTAAAGTAAACTTATCCTTCAATTTTAGGAATTTAATTCATCAAATGATTTTCTATTTCATCTTGAGTGTCAAATTAAAAGTGACTCAAATATTTCATCGTATCAATCAAATTCTATTTTTTTTATTAAACTAAGAAAATTAATTTATTCTATGATTAATGCTTACAACAAGATTGTATTTTGTGTTATTGCTCATTAACATCTTGTACATATAAACAACAAAGTTAGGATTCAATTCAAACTCCTTTAATTTTTTAGCATTTGTAAATATTTTTAGCAGCTTAGATGTTGTTTCTCCATTATATGGAAGCTCCACCGTTTTAAGCAAAGGGTTTCTGTTGAAAAGATGGCCTTTATATATTGTTATTTAAACTGCATCATAAAATTCCTTTTAGCCTATTTCTCCCTTTCCTTAAATTTTTTTTCAAGATAAAAAACATTTAATAAATTTAAGTTTCTAATGAGTAATTTTTAAAGATGTTTATATAGATTTTTTAATGTTAACACATAATTAATGGATGAAATTAGCTGGCTATATTACAAAATATATAAATGAATCTTTTTTTACCAAATGCGTAGAGAATATCAACGATAGTTTTAATGTCGTAATCTAATGACATATTTCTGAGAATGTACATCTCTATTTTAGCAAAAATAGCAGGTTCAAATCTATTTACTTCGGCTAAAGCTTCTACAACTCTTTTATAATCTGTCATTTGTTAATCCCAAACAGTCAAATCTATTATTCTTTCTAACTTCTCATACAAATAATCAATTCTAACTTAGTCATTAGTTCCTTTTAAAATTGTGAAACCTTCGAGAGCAAATAAACTCTCTTTGAAATTGGTATACCACTAATCTTCATTCACTTTGTACTCTAATAATTCCCATAATCTTTTATCATAGACTCCAAGATCTTTAAAACATTTTGCATAACTCCCTATTAAGGGATACTGTTCGTGTCTGTCATTTTCTAATCTATCTTTAATTTCTTCGACTAAAGCTTTAAATTCTCTCTTATCTTTAAATTACTTTTAGTCTTTGTGTAGCTGAACTAACTTTCTTAAGAAATATACTAAATCATTCATGCTATAACTGAACTAGCACTCTTACAAATGGCCAAGAATAACGTTAGGATCAGTGATTTTTGCTAACCCAAATTTATCATCAAAATCTTTAATGACACCAGCATCTGATGTTTATGCCATAGCTTTTCCTTTTTGAGCATTTAAAGTATTATCATCCTTTTAAAAAACTACCCATTTTTAATTCCAGAAATTTTGCTTAGGAACACATAGGAGCGACTTTGCTGAAAGTCTTTACTAAATCTAACTTTTTAAATTATGTTTAAGAATGTTTGTTGTTTATTGGAAACTTCTACGCATATCTTTTAATTTAATTAAATATTAAATTTAATATTTCTAAAACAAAAATAATTAAAGCTGTTATAATTAACTAATATTTTCTTAAATGAAATAATTTTATATTTTAGTATTAATCAATATTTAAATATAAATTGGACAATTCAATTAAATATTTTAATTGAAATAATAAAATTAATATAAAGTTAAGCAAGCAATAATAATTTCTTGATTTAATGCTTATAATATTTTTTTATATAAAAAATTTGAGAAGTAAATTTTATCTATTTATTTTTTTTGTAGAACTTTATTGAATTATTTTATGTATTAAATACATACAATCAATTTTTATAATTTTGAAATAGATATCAAAAGGATTTTTAATATTTGACTTAGTTTCAAATTATTTTTTTTTTTAAGTTAATTCAAACATATACAGTCAATCCATCAGATTCATCCTGTAAAATATCATCAGCTGTCATGCTATCTCTTTACTATTGAAATCTAAATAAAAAAGGTAAATAATTTTAAATTTTGCTTAATTTTTTTACCTTAATTGAATAGAATCTGCTTCACTTTATAAGGGCAGTGGATTAAATTAGTTATTGATTATCTGATAAACGGTGTCTCTTTTTAAATTATTTTAGCTATAGTAATAAAAATATAATTAGAATGTAATTATTATTCGAAAATTCGAACCTTATATCAAAATAAATTTTTGTTGATTAGTAAACAATTGCAGTCTTTTCAAGTAAATATTAAAAGCCATCAACTTCAAGCCCTGTTTTTCTATTAATTAAAGATTATAGTTTATTTATACGTTGAATAAATTTTTTACCTTATACTAAGAGAGTATTCTTTTAAATGACTTGGAATCCTTAATTCTTTGTACACTATTGGCATGATCATAATTTTACTTTTTGTATTTTGGAAAGTTTAAATTAATCTAGTTGTCAAATTTAAAATTATTACTCGAAAGTTAGCTTTATTTTAACTAGATAATTAAACTAATCATATATATCCCTTAAGACTTTTATTAATTCTGAGCAAGTCATTTCACATGAGCTAATTTTATAAAAATATGATGAATTTTATTTAGTGTAAATCAAAAAAATATTTCTTTAATTAAAATTACGTAAAATTTAACTCAAGTGTATTCAAATAGTTAAAATATTTGATATAATTGATAAGTGTGTCTAGTTTAGTGTCATCTATAAAGTTACCACTAATTTAATTGATAATATTAATATTTTATTTTTAATTAATATAAATCATACTTAATATTAAGTTTAAAAATTTTTCCATTAGAACTATGCTTATCGTTTACCCCATTTTTATCAAAATCGTATCTATCTATACTTGAATCGCTTTTTAAAATAAATAAATAAATTCTTTACTCTTCAAGAAGTTAGTAAAAAGTGATATTTACGCTAAATCGAGCACAAATTCTTTTGCATTTACTGAAAAATCTATGAAAAAAAGAAAGAATTTAGATTTGTCACAATATCTTGAGGATTTTCTTTTTATAGAAAAAAAATTGTATAAATTTATAATAAAAAGATTAATTACCTATAATTAAGAACAACCTTTCTCATATTTTTGTTTGGTTTTTTTTTCTAAAAGTAACTAGGACAGATAACATCAGTAAAACTTTTTAAAAAATAATTAGATTTTACTATATTTTTTTTTATTTTTGTAATTTACCTAAAATCTAAGTACAACTCACAAAGGTTATGTTATTCAAATATGGTTTTCAACATTTCGTTTTACTTACCAATGAAAAAGTAATGTCTATTTCAAAATTATTTTAATTGGGTTTTCTAAACTGTAAAAAAATTTACTTAAAATCTAAATCAAGCAACTGCAGCTTCTTATTCTTGAAAATATAATAAGTAATCATAAAGAAAGTAGGAGAAGATAGATTAATGTTCCTGTTGATAAAATAATAATAAATTTAATTTTTATATAATAATTTAATTTTTTTATTTTACCCAACTTTGAATCTAAATGCTAAGCAATAGGGTTAGTATTTTATTAGTGAATCAAAAAAATCAAACATTTATTCTTACTCAAAAGTAGAGTTCCTTATACATAAAAAATAAGGTGAATAATTAATTATTTAAACTAATTTATACCTAAAATCTAGAATCAACTCTGACACTTGAGGTAATTAGTTAACTATTTTAATCATTCTATCAAACTACTCATTTGTTATTCTTTAATTTCTTTTATTTATGAAATATAGCTTAAAAATTTAAATAATTAAAAAATTTTTTTAATTTACTAAAATGCAAATTATAATAAATATGATTCCATATTTAGAGATGATATGTTAAGATGATTTTAGGAATCAAAAATATTTTGTTAGGAGAGAACTGCTTAATTATACTTTTAAAGTACTATATTAAAGCTATGTCTATCTGAAGGATTTTCGTTTAATAAAGGCTATATAGCCTAAATGATAGGAGACTAATATAAAAAATTATTTTAGTAATCATTGGACGAGTCTAGCATTTCATAATCTTAAATATGGTATTATACTTTATCAAAATAAGCATCTAATAAAATTTCATTAATAAGCATTCCTACAGAGTAATAATCAAACTATAAATTAAATATAAAATAATTATTTATGATTTAAAACAATCATTAAAAATTACTCTAAAATTTAGCTAAGATTATTTTTTTATCTCTGGACCATCATATTTTAGAGGCTAGAATATTTTAAAATATTAAATTGTTTTTACTTAAAATGTGTATAATTATTATAAATTTACTTAGTAGTTAATTTATAACTTAGAGTTTTATTTGTTGAATGCTCTACCAAATCTACCTAAAAAAGGATTTTAATATAAATTTAATTCCTTATTTATATATTTAAATAGAAAATTACAAAAAACCACTTCTTCGAATTCATTTACATAAACAGTAAATGGATTAATGTCATAATGAATGATGTTGAATTTATGCATATAAATTATTCCTTCTAAAAGCTAATTGATTAATCTGTTAACCAAATATTTGTATTCGTTCTTTTAATCTTGCTTCAGCTACTTTTAATATTTGCAATATTCTAAAATAGTACCTAAAAATGTAAATTAAAAAACTCTTTTTAAAATATTTTAATGCATATTTAAAAACTAAACCTTCAAAGTTAGGATATTCAAATCCAATAAATTTGTAAGATTATATTAATGGTGAATCAGAGAGACATGGTAAACAAGAGTGATATGGAATATTTTGTATGTATTTATATTCTTAAATAATTTACTATTTCTCCTATTCATTTTAGAAGAAGTAGAGCTATGCCATTGTAATGTCGGAAATTTCTTTTAAATCATTTTTCTAATTGTAAAAAATCGTAAACAAATTTTTATCATCATTCATATCTTGATAGCATATAAATTTCTTTTTTAAGAAGTAAGGTTCGCTCCTAATAGCATTGTAAATTTGAGGCTTTGCTGCAAAATAAATCAAATTACAATCTTCCTAATAACTACTATCTTACTATTCAAAGGTATAGATTACATTTTGGTCTTATCTCAATTTAATATCTTATTGCAAATTAAGTAGTGTTTCTTTTAACTTTCTAACCTAAAACTAATTCATATTGATTAATATCTTTTTAGAATATCTTTAATTATTTGTTAATTAATTCAAACTTTACTAAATTATTATTACTTAATATAAAAAATTATCAGAATCTTAATTATTTGTTATTTGAAACAAATTGCAGAATTATTTTAAAGAATTTTTGATGAAAAATTGATACTATCTATATAAATATAAAAAACAAATGCATTTATCAAATTTTCGATAATAAAGATTTAATTAATTTAAAAAAAAATATTATTAAAAATTCTATTTTGAAGTCTCTATTCCTTTTATGATATGACAGATAGATATCTAGTCAAATAAATTTTTGTTCAGAATTAGTTTTAATATTCTAATAAAATTAATTACTGAAAATTATATCTGTTTCATTAAACTCCAAGATTAATATTTTAAGGTTTTACAATTTGCTCTAGTAATTTCAATTTATATTTTATTTCTCAAAAGTTTTGATTGATTGATGATTACATAAATTGATAAAAATGATTAAAATTTAAAAAGTACAATATTTATTTAAAATTGTATAAATTAAATGATACTTTAATTTCTGGAATAGCTATATGTTAAAACTTATTTTATTTATTTATATTCTCCACTTTTAATTTGGAATTATGAAATAAAAATTAACATAGAATTAAGGGATTGAAAGTATTAATTTTTGAGAAAGTTCATAAAACTTAAAAAACTAGCCACCCTCGAATAGTGTAATGAAATTCGGAATTGCAAAATAGAGGTTCAGAGGATTTTTTAGTTGACTTTTATTCGACTAATATTTTATTTTTATTTATTTTAAATAAACTACTTATTAACATCAATAAATAGATTTCCTTAATCTTGAAAGTTCATTTATTCAGCAAATAAAATTGATGAATATGAAAGAGTAATTTGGTATTATAGATAACTTATTAAATAATTTTAAAAACTTCTCGAAAGAAAACTTACAGTAGGTATAGAATTTTGGAAGATAAAGGATATTAATCAAATAGAATTTATTGCTTAATAATAGCTTTAGATTTAAATTCTATTAATTTTTTTTAAGTTATCAAAAAATATTATTGACTATCATATAAAAAGCTCAAAAAAATTAAGAAATAAATGGATAAATTTGGTTTAAGACCTGTTTCAAGACAAAAAGGATTCAGCTAAAGCATAGGAAATAATTAAAGCTAAGTCATATCACCAGCTTCCTCTAATATCTTTCGTATTAAAAATGTTACCACGCCTTATGACTCTACACTTTAAGTTTCAGGATAGTAAATTAAAAGCGATAGCACAATATTTGATCATCATAACAATTAAAATCTTAATTACATGCTTCACATGATTGATATATGTTCACCTGAGCAGTAGATAACCACATTCATAAAGGGAGAAATTTCTATGATTTAGCAAGAAATCAACGAATACGATAAAGATGCTAAAATAAGAAATAACAGCTAGAAATAAGAATTTAATAAAGGCCATGTAAATATCTTTAAGAGGTGGCTCTTATAAAATTCAAGACCAATATTGAAGTATTAAGATGTTATGAGTTAGGAGTTTCTAAAGTTCATAAATCCAGATATTCTGACTGAATAAATGAAAGTAGAAAGTAAAGAATAATGCATATAAAAGCTATACAGAATAGTTTAAGGATTAGACTTGTTTCTACTAAAACTTACTGAGTATTTAACTATCACTTTTATAAAGTATGAAGATTTTATAAGTAAAAATTTACCACTCGAATCTTAATTATAAAATAGAGTGAATAACTTAATTAAAGGAACATAAATATTTCCTAGTAGTATTTCTTTTATTCATTAAGACAGATTTAACCAATTACAAAAACATTGTCAATCTAAAATGCAAGAATAGCTTTAAAATAAAATTTAACATAATAAAAACTCAGGGATTCCTTTTAATATTAATAATGATTGTCCAAAATCTGAAATCAAAACCACGGCAGACTTAGTCAAGTATTTAGAATCTTTGAAACCTAATACGCTTCTAAATTCTGACTACATGAAACAAATCAAAAATATTCTGGGTCATATAGAATAAATTAGTTAATAAATTTAGGAAGAAAAAACACAAAAGTATTAAGCTAGTCATCAACAATTTAAAGTTTAAATAGATTAGTTAGAAAAACAAGTGACATTTTTACAAAATGACAATGAAAAAATTAAATTAAATAATTAAAAACAATTAGAAGACTAAGAAGCTAAGCATATTAAAGAAGTAGAAATAATGCAAAATGATATTTAATAATAAATTTAACTTTAAATTTAAGAAAAAGTTAATTCTTTAAATTAAAAAATTAAAGATTAAGAAACCTAAATGAACAAATTGTAAGCTCAATACTATGATATGTTACACAAAAAATAAGATAAATCAATTTAAAATTAAAATAATTTAAAAGAAATTAAAGAAGTGAATAAAGAAAATCAATAAAATTAACAAAACCATCATGAACACCATGAAGATTAGCAAAAAGCAATAAATTTGATTGATGAATTAAAATTAGAATACACTAAGTTAATTGAAAATTTAAGAAAAGAATCAGCAGATTTTAAATAGAAATATACAGATATGAAAATAAATTGTGAAACAACATATTAAGAACTCCTTAATGTTAAGTAGTTGCTTATGTAAGCTCAAAAAGAAAAGGAAGAAATTTAATTTAAGTTTTCATAAAAATTTATGTCAAAGCAAGAGTTCACTGACACCTTTGAGTAAGCACTAAAGGAAGAAGTAATTAATTTAAAATTTAAATATTTTTTTTTAAACCATATATTAAATTAGTTTAAAAGAATGAAAAAATCATTTGAAGATAGGATAGAGAGATTAAATTAAGATATTATAACATTAAAGAGAGACAAACATAAATCAATAAACGATATGAAATAACAATTAGATAGAGAAATAGAAACAAAAAACTTACTAATGAAAAAATTAAGTATATATCTTAAATTTTGATGAATAAAAAATAAAAATTAATTAGATGTATGATAAAATTTACCAACTAAACTTATATTAATCTTTTTAATTATGAATAAATAAACATTTTATTCATTTATGAATCATTTTAACATGTAAAACATGCAAATTATTTCCATCAAGATAAAAAAAATACAAATTCTAACAAAATATATTAAATTTTCTTTAAAATAACTTTTATTCCATTAAATATTCAACATTAAAATGTATAAAATTTTGAACTATCTGATCTAACTTATTTTGCTTAATGCTTAAATATTAAATAATATGGTATTTCTAATTTAATGACTAAATCTTAAATGCAATATTTTAAATAAAATGAATTATCTCAATAAAAAATAGTTATTTATTTAATTTTAAAATTTTTGAATGATGCTTATTTCAAAAAAAAATTAATTTAAATTATAAACCATTTTAAGCTAGCTAGCTAAGTTGATAATTTTATAAATAATGTTTAAAATTAGTTAATAAATGAATAATGGAGCAATTTACGAAAATATCATAAATTCATTAATGTTTATCAAATTAAAAAAAATATTCAAATCAAAAAAATACTCTTAAAACTGCACATAAAATTATAAGCAGTTGATTAATTTGGCGTATTTATAATAATTAATATTTTTATAACTAACTAACTAACTAACTATCTAACTAAATAATTATCTTCTATATAATATTTTAAATAATTTATTAAATTATAAATAAATTAATAATGAATTTATTATTCATTGTACATTTACAGAATTCTGAATTGTTGGTATTTTTCTAAAGTGATCTAAATTTGTGTAATAATAATCAACTGTGCTCTTGCATTTTTACCAATTAATATTTGAATTAGCTCTTAAGATATTAACTTAAGGGTCTTCATTGCTATCCCCTTCATTATTATCATTTACGTTTTTTTCCTCCCATCTTTCTAATGCAACGTTCGGCTCAAGATAGAAATCGTGTTGATGAATATCTAGCAAAGTATTTCCTGAGTAGAATTTAAATTCTGCAACATATTTTAAATCCACAAGATTAGAGTGGTGTGAGAGGGCTAAAGCTATTGGTAAATTACATTCAAAGACTTGGTTGGCCTTTTAGTTTACAAATTTTATTGAGGATTCACCTGTTTTTAACTCTTTGGAGCACTAGTAACCATTTTTAAAAATTAATAGTCTCTTAAATTCATATGCTACTTTGTTAATTGGCTTGCTATTTCCAGCACCGTCTATTTCAAGGTTTACGCTAATCTTTTGCTAAGATTAATAACACATTTTTTCAGATAAAGTTCTTATTATATATGAATCTGATGAAAAACAAAAGCAGCCACTACTGCTTGATATGCTACTTTCTTTCTTATAAGATTTATTATCTGACTTTTACCTATGAATGACATCGTTTCCAATAATCGTTATGTTAAATTTATCACTGATAGGAGTACAAGTTGTGTCTTTAGTTGGCAAAAATACTTCTATAAAATACTTAACATGAAAATCATAATGATCAGAAACATCTTTTGAGATACCGTATGCTCCTTTACAAGCAGTTGATGAGTACTCTAGAGAGTCCGGTAATTAAAAGTGAAAACTTATTTGATATTATCCAGGATTGATCATTAAATCTCCTTCGTTTTCAACACTTGTAATAGGATTGCTTCCATCAGAATTTAAGTTTTTTTTGAATGAAAAAAGTTCATATCTTTAACAGATAAAACTCTTTGAATCCTCTTTGACATTGATATCATCCCATTTTTATGTTTTCTCATTTAACTGATGGCGATAAGTTTTTGCAAACACTTTCCCGAGTAACAATAAATAAATGACCTCTCCATTATACTTTTCATTTAAAATAAGCTTAAGTGTACCTTGCACCTTTTCTCCTTACTTAAAAGTATTTTTTTCTAACTAAATAGACAATTCTCCTAATTCTCTTTTCCCTTCCTAAGTTATCATTACTGAATAAAAAATTACGAATTTATAATTATTTAATAAATGATATTTTTTTTATTATTCTTGTTTTAAAATATTAATGGTTTAACAATCTCTATATTTTTTAAATTCAGCAAATTTATAAAATTTAAATTAAAGATAAAAAATAGGCAGTAAGAATACTTGTATAGTATTAAACATAGAGCATTCAAAGATCTTTTAGCTTCAACAATTAAAAAGCAGTAAATTTTATGAAAAAATTATATAATATTTGACAAGAAAAATTTATTTTCATTGAATATTTTTACAAAAAAATAAATAATTAATCACAATAATAAAAAATTAATAGATTCATTAATTTTCTTATTTTCTATTATTTTTCGAAGTGCTCGACTTAATTGAAGCACTACTTGCTCTACTCAAAGACTGTCTACTAGAAGCACCTTTTAGTTTTTATAAGATACTATTTTCTTTTTTATCACCATAAATATATTTTTAGAATTTTTCTACTTACTCTTCTAATTTTATTTTTTCTTCTTCAAGTTTCTACTTTTGTTCTTCTAACAATTCATTTTCTCTTCTCGCTAGTTCTAATTCCTTTTCTTAATCGGTTGCAATGTGTTTAAATTATTCTGTATTTTCTTTGACTTTGTTCAATTCATTTTTTAGTTGATTGATTTGCCTTTCCAATTCCTAGTTTTCTTTTTTTAACAACCTTTCTTTTTCGTGTTATTGTGAGCTATCTGTTACAAGCTACTGTTCTAATTTAGCTATTTATTCACTCTTTTCCTTAATTTAATCTTTTAAATCTTCTATACTGCTTTCATAATCAATTTTTATCTTTTAAAGGGCTAATTCGTTGTCTTAAACCATTTTTACTCTTACATCTTCTATCTTTTCTTCCATCTCATCTATATATTCTTAGAGCTTCACTCTTTCCGATTCCTAAGAATAAAAAAGTGATATAAAAAACTCTAAAATTAAAATTGAAAAAAGTTTACTGCATCTAATTTTGATTTTTTAGAAAGATCTGACATTTCTCTTAATTTCATCTAATAGTGCTGTTGGTATTCGCTCATTTTTTTCTCTAATTGTATGCTTTTTGCCTTTTCTGTTTCTAGTGCCAATGATAAATGATTTATTTCTTCTTAGTACTGCAATCTAAGTTCATTCAATCCAAATTTAGAGTCTCTTTCTTGTTCAATTACAGCTCTCTACTATTTCATAAGATCTTATTGGATTTAAGCTATATTTTCTTTATTTCTGTCTTCCATTAAATCCATGTGTTATCTCATATAGCTGATAGTATTTTCTAGCTCCTAAATCTTTATTTTGTGTTTGATTTCCAAGTTTTTTATTTCTTATTAATAAATATTTTTTAAACCTTCAATATAACTCTTTTCTTCATTTGGTCCGACCTATCCAATCAAATTTTCAAAGTTATTTTTTAACTTTTTAGCAGAATTTGCTTATTCAACTGAAGTTAGTTTTTCTCTATTTTATACACTGTTGAATGTTTAGTTTTTTCCATTTTTTTCTATATTATTTTATTACAAATCCTTAACTGCTTACTCTTTACTTTCATGAGATTCTCTGTGATTATAATTTAGTTTATTTTTTTTATCAAAATCTTCACTTTAAATATTTTCTTGTTCTTGAACAGGTTTAATTCTTTTTTTTATTTCGTTTATTCTCTTTAAGACTTCATTTTCTCTCTCATCCAAATCTTTTTACCCACAGTATTATTTTAAATCATTCTTTATTGATTTATATTGCTCTTCTGCAGATCTATCTTTGTATTCAAATTCTTGTTAAGCAGGTTCTTGATTAGTGAAATTGCTTTAAACAGCTTACTCCTAACTAGATTATATACTATTTACTCTATTGTTGTTACTGTAGTGCATATTTTAGTATTTTTTTAAGTCGTTTATTTCCTGTTCTAGTTATTACTTGAACTGTTCACTATTTTTCGTATAATGGTAGTTAGGTATTGAATTATTTTTTTGCTAAAAAGTTAATCCTTAATTTTATTTAATTAATCCTCTTGTATCTCCCTCTTCATCACTTAGTCCTTATTAAAGGGGATTTGAATTGGGTCTTAATCTATCTTCTTCGTTAGAAACAAAACTATCATTATTATTACTTGCATTTGAAAGCAATTAATTATCTAAAAATTAGTTTCTTTAATATTTTTTGACATTTAATTTATGCTAATAGCGTTATTCAAAATTCTCAGCAAAATTATGTTCATTCTATAATGAATTATTGTGCTAATAGTGGTAATTATTGATGTTAGAATGCTAATTAGAAAGGCCTCTATTCGCGTTATGCTATTGATAATCTTATCTCAAATTAAAATTATTTATTTAGTTTTAATTCTATTAGTTTTTATTAGAATAAAAAGGGTCAGAAACCACATTTTTGAAACGATCTGCAATATTACTTTTTACGCTTTAGTGATTTGAAGTATACTTTAAATCTCTAAAAAACTACAAATTCTCTCTTGAATTATCAGTCACTTCTATCTGCTAAGGATTTATTTACCTAAAATTATTTACTTCACTCCTCTAATCTATATTTCTAGAGGGCAATCTTCTTTCTTACTAAAACTGGTAATTTTGTCCTTACTATTCTGTGTTGTATTAATTGCCTAAATCTAATTATTAGTTAAATGAGATCTTTTCCTTTTGGTGTTATCTTTCAATCTATTTATGTATTTAATTATCACAAACGAAGCAAAATGTTTTGGGTTCTTCAAATTCATTTAAGCATTCATAGCATTTAATGGTAGCCAATTTTTAGCACTCAAAGCATTTAGGAATTCCTCTTCTAATCATATCTTATTTAAATTTTTAGTTTATTTATTCACTGGTTATTACTTTAAAATAATTAAGAGAAATTTTATTGTATATCTTAAACAATAAAATTTATTAACTACACAATCAAACTTTAGAATTTCATTAATAATTAAATAGATAGAAAGACAGATTTCTAAAATCAACTCAGTTTTCATTTCAAATGAGTTAAAATTCAAATATTTCTTAAGACTCAATAACTAAAATTAATTGTTAATTTTTTAATGGATTTTACAAAATTTGTTTCAATCAAACAAATATACATTGTTTTAAAATAACCATCAAATAAAATTTTTAAAATATGATTTTTTTTAGATAAAAGTTTTAATTATTTTAATTAAAAATCTAGCGTGTCAGTCAGGAGTTAAAATAATTTCAATATATTTTGAATTAAGTAATAAAAAAATTAAAAAATAGATAGATAAATAAATAAATGAGTAGAAATAATAAAATATCTGAAAAGTAGATATAAATGAATTAGATTTAAATTTTTTAAAAGTTTTTAAATAATTTTAATGGATGAATCTAATAAAAGATATTAAGATATATATGTAGATTTGATTTATTAATATAACCAATTATAAACTCCTCTAATAGAAATATATACTTTATCTTTGAAGAAAAAAATTATTATCTCTTTCACTTTTTGTCTATTTATAATTATGCTTGCTTGCTTATTTGAAAACATAATTATTTCAAGATAGATTTAGATATAAAATCAAATAGATTTAGAACAAAAAAATAGTAAAAATAGAAATCAACACCTAGAAAATGGCTTGTAAAATTATTTATGCTTATTATATCAATCATTAAATATTCATCTTTTTTTATATTATAGAAAAGGAAAAGCAAAGTAATACATTTTAATTAGGTTTAATTCTTATTAATAAAATGCGCTGATGAGTCCAAAAGCAATTCATATTTATTAGAATTTCATGATAGATAGAAGAAATTCTTAAATAAGTTTTTATACTTGTTAGCATATTGCTGTGAAGTTTAATATAACATGGATTCATTTATGAAATAGAATTAGATAAATAACAAATATAATTTCGATTTTAAAAAAATAGAATGGTAAGATATTGAGGACGATGAAGATTATAGTAATTCTCCTCAAATCAATTAAGATACTCAAATGATGACAGTAGAATATAAATTATAACCTACTGGAGAATAAGTTAATGTCGGAGGAAACAAATTCCAAAAGAAGTTTGCTCCCAAGAAACCTCTTCTAACTGGTACATTTCTAATTCTATTTGAAAATAAAAATGTACTCATTAATGATTGATCTATTAATATCAATATAGCTGAAGAAATGATCGAATAGATTAAAGTTGATAAGTACTAGAATGTCTTTTTACATTGCTTCTTGGTTAATGGCTCAGCTGAAAACTTTGAAGAGGCTTTCAAAGAAAAAGTAAGATATGCTCAATTGACTGAAGCTAAGAACCAAGATAGAGACAACTCTATTGATTTGAAGTTTGACGATAAACAAGAAGCTATCAAGTTCATTTAGTTATCTTAAACTACCGTAAAATTTTAACCATTAATACTAATTTAATTATTTTTTCTTCTATTTTTTTATACTTTTGTATCTTATTTTTTCAATTATCACTTGATAGAATAATATTAATCGTTTCTAAAATATTTTAATTATAGGCTATAAATGGCAAGACTTTCAGAGTTAAGTTTGGTAATTAGTCTAGTTTATAATATTTGTTACTCAAAAAGCAATATCGTCATTATTATATTAGGAAAGTTTACAAAGTAGGGAGATGGATTTAAAAAGGGAGATTATAAAGATAGACCAAGATATTCTCAAAACGAAAGAAGAGATTATAAGGGTGGTGAAAGAGTTCATAGAAATGATGATCGTGAACATCATCACAGAAATAACGATAAGCGTGAACCCTATCATCACAATCGCGAAAATAGAGAACACTTCCAAAATCGCGAAAATAGAGAGCACCATCAAAATCGTGAAAATAGAGAACATCACCAAAATCGTGAAAATAGAGAATTTAAACCTTACTACAAGAAAGATTACCATAATGAAAAGAAATAAGAAGAAAAGCCTATCTAAAAGCAAGAAGAATAGACTGTTCAAAACTCTGAAGCTCAATAATAAGCTCCAGTTGAAGAATTTAAACCCCGTGGTTTTATTAATACTAAGAAAAATCTAAACCATAGTGACAAAGAAAGTGCTGAATAGATTCGTTGTGTTGATACTAATGCCAAGGTTCTTGAAAAGGTAAAATAAATTGCAGTTTGCTTAAAATAAATTAGTTACTGATTTGCTTTATATTTTTTAGCAAAAAAGAGACGAATAGGAAAGATTAGCTAGATTAGAAGAAGAAAAGAAGTTACAAGGTGAAAATTAAGAAAAAGTTGAATAAAAGGAACATCACCATAGTAAAGATAAGCATGCTCATCATCATGGCCATGGTAAAGATGGTAAAGGAAAAAGAGAAGATAGATCAAAGGGAAAGCAATAAAAGAGTACTGGTGAAACATAAAAATCTGAAAAAGTTGTATATGAAAAGAAAGAACAACAACCTTCTCAACCTTAACCTCAAGCTGTAGAAGCCTAGGAGAAAACAGCTAGCAATGAAGAAAAATCATAAGCTAAGAAGAAGTTGAAACTTCCTGAAAACACTAAAGTCGAAGACGAATGGAATGTTGTTCCTGTAACCAAAATTATTTGTTAATAAAAAGTTAATAATTTTTAAAAATTTAATTAGGGAAAGGTTGCTGATAAGAAAAAGAGCGATGGAAAGGTATATTTATTTATTTATATTTATCATTTTAACTTAAAAATTGAAATATTTTGATAAAATATTAGGGAAAGAATGGAAATAATGATTCTAGAAGAAATAATAACAATAACTAGAAACCTAAAGTTACTTATACTCGTAAAGACGAATAGAAATGAAAATATTTTATAAGCAAATTAGCAAGCAAGCAAACTCAATAAAATAAATCTTAAATATATTGTTTAAACTAAATAATATAATAACTCTTATTTGTGTATCTGACTAAATAAATAAATAAATGATTGTAGCTCAAAAATTATATGAAAATACATTATAAATTCTAAATTTATTCAATAGTTTTTTTTCAACAAAATACAAAAATTAATTAATTATTTTATAAATTTTTTTTAAAAATCTTTTGAAATAAAATTGGTGATTGTTCATTCTCTTATTCATTCTTTTTTCTTTGAGTGCTTTCCTGTTAATTTTTAGGCCACTTAACCTAAAAAGTGAATACTTAAATAATCAATCACTGCAGTAGGTAGAGCACGAAGGAAGAGAGCTCCCTACTTCCAGCTTTAAGGAATGAATACTTCTTCTCTTTATTCTAAAATTGCATTATAAATTTCATCAGCAACATAGTTTTCATCTAAAATTGGAAATAGACTTTTTAATTTTGTTTCTAATCCTTGAAGTACACCTGTATTAACAGCATAGGGACATATTAAAGTTGTGTTTATATTCTTTTTTTACTGCTTCAATTCTAACCTTAAAGCATTATGAAAACCTGAAAGAGCTGCCTTGCTTGCACAATAATCAGTCCTAAGTATTATTTAAAATTTTTTTATTTAAAAAACAAAGTTTAAAAAAATAATCACATTTTAGCACTTGGCATAAGTGAAGCAACTGAAGAAACATTAACTATATGTCCTTAATTTCTTTCTATCATAACAGGCAGTATTTTTTTAATAATTGAGACAGGAGCAAGAAAATTGACAGAAAAAGCTTTTTAAACTTCATCAAAGCTTACATCAGTAAATAATTTTAAGTTTGCAATACCTACATTATTTATTAATATGTCAATTTTTTAAAACTTTTAGAGAGTTGATTCTACTGTTCTCTAAAGCTCTTATTCATCACTAACATCACATTTGTAGAAGTATCCTTTTGCACCTGCTTTTTATATTTCTTCAATAACCTATCCCATCAAATCCTCTCTGATGTCATATATGATTATATTACAGTTATTTTTTTTTGCAAAATTCATAGCTAAAAATTTGCCCTGTTTTTATTTAAATAATTTAACTTCATTTCACACACTTTTTCACTTTTTCTAAGAAATAAAGCTTCATATTTTAAAATAAATTGAATGTTAATTACAGCTCCCATAGCAGCGCCAGTTAAAAGAACATTAGTTTCATTGGTAATTTTATATCTATTTCTCCTAATAGTTCCAACAATGTATATTTCTATAAGTCTATAAACTATTATAATGGCAATTACCTCAATTGCTCCTAACAATAAAAAGAAAAACATTTTTCTTTTTTTATTCTAAAATTTAACTAAAGATAATTATTAAGAAGATTTGATTTGAAAATAATAAATAATTAGATTAAAATTAAATTAATTGATTAAAAAGACTGCTTTTCAAAATACTGCTTAAATAAATAATTCCTTGTCTAATAAATAATGCGCACATTTCTGATAAGTGTCCAAATAAATATTTTTTACTCAATCAAAAAAATATAAAAATTATTTTAATGAGTAAGCTAAATTTAAGTTAAAATAGTAAATAAAAAAAATTTAATCGCTTTATTTAAAAGTTCAAATTCGTAAAACATTATTAGACATAAACTTAAAAGAATTTTAAATAAAATTGAATAATTTTTTATACGAATTTAGATAAATAATATTAATCACATTAAGCTTCTTAACAATATTCATAAAAGATATAAAACTTTTTAACAATATTCATTTTAGAAATTTATCATAAGATTATAAATAATCTCTAAAAAATTTTTATAAAATAAAATTAATTAGAATTATTTTTAAAAGTCTAAATTAGTAAATATTTATTTTATTAAATATAAATTAAAATGGCTTTTATTTTTAAATAAAAATTAAAGATTTTTTTATATTTAAATAAATAATCGAAATCATTTAAAGCTTTTAAAAATATTAAATTATGAAAAAACTCTAATAAATAAAATTTTATCAAGAAGTTCGAAAAAATAAAAACTTTACTAAAATTTTATAAAAAGGATTGTCTCTATAAAAAAAAATGTAATAGTTTTTTATTGCAAATAAAATTATTACAAATACATTGACATAAATAATATTAATTCTGCAAATCTTTTAAGAATATTTATTTAAGATGATAAAACTCTAAATGAACTCTTAAAAATTTGAATTAAATTGAATATATAAAAATGATTTTTTAAAATCAAAGAGTATCTATTAGCTTCTAAATAAACTCATTATCTTTCTAATATTTTAAATAAATAATATATTTATTCAAGTGCAAATATTTAAAATTTACTTTAGCAGAGGGATCAAAATGCTATTTATTTTAAACAAGTACTCCTAAAATTTCATCTCTTAACTGATGAACCTTGATATTTTTCTTTACCTTGGCAGAGACCTAGTTAGATTATATAAAATTAATATTTAATTAACTAAGTAAACTATGAAAAATTTACCAATTCATCTTTGCATTAGTTTAAAAATGCTATTATGAAATCAACGTTTTCAAGAATAGATAAACCTTCATCTAATTTCTATCTGTAAATTGTTTCCTCAACATTTTATGCTTCAAACTCTTCGAGAGTTTTAAGGTAGGCAGGGTCTTGCATTTTATATTCTATTAATTTCATAACTTTTTAGTATTACTCATGAAGCTCAAATAGCCTATCAACCTTTATAATATCTTCTCTAAATTTGTTGATAACTCTGTCTTGCTAAATAGCAGTAGTTTCTTTAATAATATTTTTTATAATACTTGTTATTTACTCTTCTATTTTTTGGGCATCTTCTGGCTTTTTTGCTTTTATTCCTTTTTTCATCAAGATTGGGAAAGCAAATTTAAGTCCTTGTAAATCTACAAACTTTAAGCAATTTTACTCGTTATTAACTAAGGCATAGCTCAAAATTCTAAGAGCACTCTTCGATGAGTAATTTTTAGCTGTAATTAATTTGATCATAAGCTAAATGCCATCAGAATTTCTGAATACTTCTTAATAATTTCTTTAAACCAAAAATAAACACAAACAATCTACGACATTTAAAAAGGTTTCCTTTTCCTCTTCACATGTAGGATCTTTCTTTTCATATGACTATTATTTTTAGGCATAAAATAATTATTAATTAAAACTTATAAAATTACTTACTTATAAATATTGAAGTAAGCTTTCTATTCCTTTCAATTTTTAAAATCTAATTTAATTTTCTTCATCTGACAAAATAATAGGCAATATTTCTGTAAGATATAATTTATTGTCATCAATCACTTTTGTAACTAATTAAAATTCAGGGCTTATTCTCTTAAGGACCCACTTTAGGAATTATGTTTCGCTACATAGTTAACCAGAATACTCAGGATTAACTTCAAGCAAACTTTCAATGATACCTTTTTTTTTTATTATTACAAAAATTAATTAAGAAATTTAACCAATTTTATATTTAAAATACCTAATAACTTATGCACTGCATCATATTCATCTTATACCTTCTCATCTAGTCTTTATAAATTTGCTACGATTGATTCAAAGAATTTATTTTTGACAATCTTAAAATACAGTTTAAGAAGGTTGTCATAAAATTTCTTTTCTAATTCCATAGTAATTACTTCATGAAAGAAGTTAATTACATCTACAACTATGTCAGTGTTTTCGTGGTATAGTAATTGAAGTAAATTTACAACTGCTGATGATTCTGTAAATTTAGGTAAAAGCTCTGGATATGCGCTTAGGGAATTGAATTTTTAAATGATTTCATCTAAATCAATTTCCGAATCTTAGAATTTTTCAGGCTTGTTTGCAAATTATGATCTTAATTCTTCATTTTTAGTCTTTCTGACTGCTAATTAGTTAATAATCTTTGTAAGTACTTCTTCATCAAAAGCAGCTTCCTAATTTTGTGCTTGCTAATTTAATAATATCATTTAATATTTAGTAGTTTAATTCAATTAAATTCATACTTAATTTATCAAGGCCTCAAGCTACTCTGCATCTAAATCTTCAAGATTAACATCATTTTAATCGTAATTTTCATCATCATCCTCTTCATATTTATCTGATGACATTTGCATCATTTTTTACTATTTGTAAGGCTACTTTTCATATGGATCATAGCTCATTTTTTTCAATTATTTAATTATAAATGTTTTTGTCTAATAAGATAAAAGATATTATTTATTTAATAACTAATTGATTAATTATTTAATTAAATCAATATTTAATTTTCTAATATCTACTAGCAGAATTGCTTGCTTGCTTGTTTATATATTACTAATCAATAAAATAATTAATTTAAAATTATATTTACTTCTTTATTAGATTAAAATAGAGAAATATAAAGAATACATCAATTAATAATTTAATTTAATCGATTATAAAATTTATTAGATAAATGATTTACATTCTGTGCTAAGTAAGTATAAATATACATCCAAGAAAAGTATTTTTTTTTATTTAAAATTATATTTTTAATTACGTTTTTTATGAAATTTAATATAAAACATAAATAAATTATTTACATTTACAAGCCTAAAACGAAATATAAATTGTTTTACATAAAAAGTAATCATAAAAATACTTTCATCAATCATTTTAAAATGCAATAAATATTTTTAGGAGGAGGTGGAATATTATATGTTTAGACATGATTTTCACAGAGTAAGTATGTTTCTGCAATAACTTTATATACACAAGTCGAAGGCTCTGTTACACTTTGAATTGAGAAAAAAGATTCACCACATACAAATTTAGCTTAAAATCTACGAGGCCCATTAATAACTGAACAAAACTCCCCATTATAGTAATTTTGACTAATCGATTGACCTCTATATTGCATAATATCAGGGTTTAGAACAGAAAAGTCAATAGGTCTACTAATAATATCTAAATAAGGATATTTTATATTATAGTTTACTGTATGTTTAGTTAAGATCCTAAAGTGTCTAAGATTAGTGTAATTTGTTTATAACTAAAGAACCTAGCTAGAAGGACTAATAACCTAAGAAAATCCGAGTCGTAGAGTGTTATCTGTGTCTAATAAAATCCAAACAGTTGTGTCATACAATGTTGAGTTTTCATATCTTTTATTTTTTGAGACTATATTTTTTTTATTGAAGACATCATAAGCAAGGATTAAGTTTTCATTTGAGAGAACAACCTCAACACCTTCATTAATTTATTCTAAACTATCTGTAATAAGTAATTTAAACTAAGAAAAGTCCTCTCTTATCAATAATTTAGGGATAAAAAAGCTGAAAAAGCGCTGATATTTTAAGTCACTTTCAGAAAAAGAAAAGCCTTCTAAATCTGTAAATGGTAAAAATTGAGAATCAGAGGATATTTCATCTTGAATGCTTTTAAATGAAAGGGTGAGTGGGAATTATTTTTTTTTGCAATTTATTGGTGGTGTCTTTGGTAAATAATTTTTGCTTTAATCTAGCAAAATTGATTGTGTTTTAATATTTTTGTTAGATGGGAAATAGTCAAAGTAGGTTTGCTTACTTTTAATAGAATTTGCCTTGATTATAAATCCATTGAAATAATCTAAAGATTGATCTAACTCAATTATCCCTGCAATAATATTTTTGATCTTTATCACTTAATAGCTGTTTTTGCTTATGAACATTAAATTGTCTCCTATTTTAGCATTCAAGTATTAATAATTTAATAGAAATCTACCAGAAATAAATCTTTCTTTTTTGGGAAAATTTGTAAATTCAAAATAAACATCACTATGTCCCTTAAATAAATGATCGATGTTACCAGTCTTTTATATCTCATAAATCTTAAATCTGTTGAATATTTATATTGACTAGATAAAGAAGTCGTTTGATTTCAAGTTTTTACCCTAGCTGTCTTCATATAATTCTATTAGATTATGGTACCATACCTTTTTTATTTTTTTAATAAATACTTGATTATACAAATGCACAATAATAAGATCATTGCTGCTGAAGTGCTTTAGAGCATTAAGCTTTTTCCCATAAATATACTGTCCATTAAATATTCTGAGAAGTTCTAAATTTGTCTACAGTTTATTATCCTATAGACGTCTAATTATAAATGAAGATATTTAAATATCAGATGGAAATTCTGTTTCTGCTAAGGCAAAATTTTTGTCTACGAAGAAATGCAGTAAATACTCATATTAGTAATAATATTTATTGCCGTTAGAAGCTAATTCATTTTTGTTTTTAAATAAGGAGCTTGATAGTTTGTTTTGTGGGATTTCACTGGTTGTGTTAAAAGATATCGACCACTTATGAGAATTGCTGATTTAACTGGTATTAATACCATTAAGCTGTATCACATGCCCCTAAATTTTAACAAAGAAATCGTCACTAATATTAGATGCAGGTATGTGAGGAAAGTTAATATATGTTTTGTTAACATATTTGAATTTTTTTTCATACTAGTGATTATCAATTTCAAAGTAATTTTAGCTATTCCAAGTTTTATTGTAATCTTAAGTTGTTAAATTTGTAATGTTATTATAAAAAGTGTGGTATCCAGCATATATATCTTCAAATGCTTATTTTTAAGCTTCCTGTATTGTAGATATGTCGTCAAATTATCTTAAATATTTTTTATAGCAAAATTGCCATAAAAATTAGCTTGTTCTATATTCTGCGCATTAATTTTAAAGGCTTTGTAATATCTTGTCTCCTTCTTCTTCTGATATTGGTTTACTTGATTGTTGAGATATTGATATTGTAGCATTTGTTTAACTATTTTGAAACTCTTCTTCTAAAGTGGGTAAAAAATTTTGGTTCATAGTTGAAAATATTGGTATTTAGCACTGAACTCGATTTCCATTTGACAATCTAAAAGTCCTAGATGTAAAATCATAAAATTCGCTCTTATAATGCAAAGGATGAGTTTTTTCTTTCATTTCAACTGCTTGGCTTGTGTAAGTAAAAATATTAAAAGCAAAGCAAAATGAAATAAAGAGCGCAAAAAAAATAAATCTCTAAATATCCTTTGATCTATTAAACATATTTAACTTTTTTTTGTTTATTGGAATGAAAGTAGCTATTAGGAATAAATAGTAAATAAATTCTAAAAATATTATCAGAATTAAAACACTATTAATTTCAAAACAAATTTTAAAGATTGAAAATTAGGATATTAAATTTTAGGAGGATTCAACACGTAAACTGCTTTCCAACAAAAATAAAAATACAAATAAATCATTTTAAAGCTTTTTATTCAGTTTGATAACTTTTTTTAAATGAAAAGTTTACTTTTATAAAAAATAAGGTATCACATTACTATTTAGTTTTAATTGAAAAATATTTTAATAAAAAATTCAAAGTTTTTTACTCAATATTTTCTATCTGCATTTATACATATTGTAACATTAATTAATTAAATGTAGATTCAAATGAGTATAGACAGACTTTTGATTTGACTTATTGTACAATCAAAAACAACTCTAAATTTTTAATAATAATTATAATTAGTAAAGCATTAAACATTTAAAAGCAAGGATAAAATTTTTAATTTGAACGCAACTAGCCATTATAAAAAAGCAAAAAAACTAAAATCTTTTTGAATAAAAATGATCCAATTAACATATATATTTTTTGGCCTAGCTATGATATTTGTTTCTCTGTATGTTGGAATGTCTTTGACAGGAAAGGCAGGCAAGTTTTTTAAAAAAGGTAAAAAGTTAGGTGAAATAGAAGAAGAGTATGAGCGTTTAAGAGATTAATTGAGAAATTTAAAGGTAAAATAAATCGATAATTATGTTTTAAAATATTTTTCCAAAATAATTTTTTTAAAAACATCCTTATCAATTGATAAATCTGTTTTCTAATTTGATTGATTTTATCATTTTAGATTATTTATTTTAAATAAAAATATGAATAATATAGCATCATTATTACTGGGCCTAATCAAATGGTGAAAAGACAAAAGAAAAGCAAATGGAAAAATAAATATTTGAAGTTGAAGATAAACTTGAATAATTGTATGAAGAGTATTAAATTTTAAAGAAAGGTGGAAGTGTTCCCCTTAAAAATATTCCAAAGAATTAATGATTATATATAATAGTTAATTAGTTCGTTTCTTAAACATTATTAAGAATAGAACATATAATAAATATATATTGTTAATTACTTTGCTTATATCATTTAATGTATTGATTTCATACACTCAGAATGCATAAATCAATTTTATGTGGTATTAGTAAATAAATTACTTTTTTTGATTCAACTTATTTCAGTTAATAACTTCTAATTCAATAAGCTATTTAAAATGTTTTTGCACAAAATTGTATTAAAATCAAACAATTCAAAAAATATCTAAAAAAATAAAAAATAAAAGTAATTTTCTTTTCAAAATTATTTATTGGTTTGTCTAAAAAATCAAAAATATCAATTTAACAGCATTAAAACACTAAAAGAAACTAATGGTAGAAAACAAATTTAATTAAGATAATTAATAAGAATGTATTATTATTTTGTTTTATGATTTTGGTTTGACAATTAATTTTTGTCTCTACTTCATAGAAATTGAGTTTTAAAATTTAACACAAAATATTATTTGTGAAAAAAATTGAGTCAATTTAATTTCAGTAATAATTTTAAATTTCGTTGTATAAATCAATTTACAAACAATCACTTATTAACTTGATTATGATTGGCTTATTTTACTGTATAAAGATTTAAAAACTCTAATAAGGTAGAATAATTATAACCTATCTGTACATATATTAATTTGGTAAATAGTGTTAAAAATTTATTATATACTTATTTATATTTTACTGAAAAATAAATATTTTCAGAGAATTATATTTATTGATTTAAATTTAAAGTATAGATAAAATTTCATAGACTTCTTGTCTAAAAATAATTTATTTAAATTTTTTCACTTCAAATTAACTAACTTATATTTTTCGTCATCCTAAAAAATTATCCAGAATTTCTTTTTACACTTTTTTATTCAAGAGGGAGCTACTAGCTAGTTTGCTAGCTAACTATTTATTCAATAATATATAAATCAATTCATTAAAAAATAAATCAATCAATGAAAGGATCAATAAAACAAGCAAATAAATAAATATCGTTATTTTAATTAAGAAAATATCAAAATATACAAAAGTAAAATACAAATAAATAAATAAATTGAAATTAAAACTGGAATAAAATTTCTTAATTTATTTATTAATTTTTAAACAAAGAGAATAAATATTGGTTTTTTTAACTTTTTTTGCAAACAAAATAAAAGCAATCTCCAATAATTGTTTAATTAATCTAAGAATCATTATTTATACTAAATCATTTATTACGATCATATTTAAGAGTAATATTAAAAAAACAAAGTGAAAGATATAAAAAGTTCAAAATGGGGTGCACAACTAGTAAATCTTCAAAAAGCAATAGTAACGGAGAAAAGGGATAGTCAAACTAGAATCCCTCTGCAGCCAAGTACCAAGACAACAAAATTGAAACGTCTGAAATTAAAAGTACATTGCCCTTTAAGATCAATATTTTGAGGACGGGTAACATCTCTTCAGAATATAAATTTGCTAATGTTATATTAGGAGAAGGTATTTCCTTATTTTTATTTTGTATTACAAGTATTTATTTCAATGAACATGGTCCCTATCTATTCCACATAGCATATTGCTTGCCCTTTTAGAATAAGCACTAACACATATTTATCAAATAAATAATAAAAAATGATTGTTTCATACTTAAGATGGCAAGATATTAATTTATATTTTTTTCCTTAAATACAAAGTAGATTTGTATAATATATTTGAAAAATATTATTTTAAAAAATAGGAGCTTTTGGTGTTGTTAGACTAGTTGAATAGAGATAAACAGGTATTTTTATTTATTACAATTTATAAAAAATATAATATAAGGATCAACAAAACATTACCTGCAAATTGCTAAATTGAAAATAAAATCTTTTTGCAAACAATCATTTATTAAGTTTACATTTCAGACAATAAATATTTCTTTTTCTTTGAAAAAAGGTCTAAGAAGAGCTATGAAATCTATTAAAAAAAGCAATATAATAAAGGAAGAAGAAGAAAAAATGTTTGCTGAAGTTAATATTTTATCTACCCTAACTCACCCAAATATTATTCAACTTTTCGAGCTTTATCAAGATGAATAAAATTACTACCTTATTACAGAGTAAATAACTATTAATATTTTTTTTTGCCTTTGTTAAGCTAACAATTTTTTTGAACAGATATTGTAGTGGAGGAGAACTTTTCGAAAAAATTAGATAGATGGAATAATTCTCTGAGAGGGAAGGTAAACAAAATATACATCATTTATTTTGATTAGTAATATTAAAAAATTTTAAAATAAGCTGCTGATTATATGAAATAGATTCTATCTGCTATAGTTTACTGTCATTCTTTAGGAATAGTTCATCGGTAATTTTTTTTTTGTACTATTTTGATAATTAAGCATTTTTATTTTAATAATAAATTAGTGATCTAAAGCCTGAAAATCTTTTATTCGACTCAAACAAACCAAATGCAAACTTGAAAGTTATAGATTTCGGTACCTCCCGTAGATTTGATTCCTCAAAAAAAATGACTAAAAGATTAGGAACAGTAAGAAAATAAATAAATAAGCTGTTGCGTTATTGAAAATATTTTATAAAAAAATAGCCATATTATATAGCTCCCGAAGTTTTACAAAGATCATATGATTAAAAGTGTGATGTTTGGTCATGCGGTGTTATCTTATATATTCTATTATGTGGATATCCACCATTTAACGGAAGAACAGAAGAATAGATTCTCAAGAGTGTTGCTGAGGATGATTTTACTTTTGAAGGTAATTTATTTTTTAGTTAACTAACTCAATAATAAGTTATGAAAAATTTTTTAAACTTACTTAAAAATTATACAAATTTTTCTAACTCTCTGTTATTATTTTATATGAAAAAATCCAATAAATGAAAAGAAAAATTTAAGTTTAATAAATTTTATTTTTTTTAAATTGTAGATACTGAATGGAGTTGTATCAGCAAAGAAGCAAAAGATTTGATTTCAAGAATGTTGAAGAAAAATCCTGAAGAAAGAATTACTGCTTAATAGGCTTATGATGATGTGTGGGTTTAAAAAAATGCTTCAAAGAACCCTCTTAATACCAAAGTCCTTACTAATTTAGGAAGTTTCCATTCTAAAAATAAATTAAGAGCATCTATTCTTACTTTCATAGCTACACATATAGTTAGCTAGTAAGAAAAAGAAGAACTGCTCAAAACTTTCAAAGGTTTGGATCAAAATGGAGATGGACTGCTAGAAAAGCACGAATTAGTTGAAGGTATAAATAATTAAATGATGTATTTATTATATGAGTTAATTAATTATTCAATTTTAATCAAAAGGTTATTTGTAGGTTATGAAAGACAGAGCCTAAGCAGAAGAGTTTGTTAATAAAATATTCGATGAAATCGATGTAAATTCTTCTGGAAAAGTAGATTGCACAGGTAAGTTTTACTTAAATTAAATATAAAATAATAATTAATTTATAAAAAAAAGAATTTGTTGTAGCAGCCATGCAAAGAGAAAAGCTTTTATCAAAGAATAAAATTGAAAAAGCATTTAAAATGTTTGACACTGTAAAATATAAAAATATCTACTTTAAAAAATAATTCTTGTTAAAAATAAAAAAAGGATGGAAATGGATTTATTGATAGACATGAGCTATAAAATATTTTAGGTGGTGGAAGCAATATTGATGATGCTACTTGGAATTCAATTTTGGTGGAATGCGATTAAAATGGAGATGGAAAGGTAAAATACTAATTTTGCTTTCAATATATTTAAATTAATTAAAATAATAAATAAAAGATTTCACAAAATGAATTTATTGATTTGCTTGTTAAAAAGATCGACAATGGTGGAACAGTTTAATTAGGATTTTGAACAAACAAAAATACCTTTAAAATGATTTTAAGAGATTAATACACACTCAATATTTTAACATTAAAAAATAAAAATAAAATCTATTTATGTATTGATTACAATGAATTAGTAGGTTTCAATATATAAGTAAGCAAATAAGTAAGTAAAATACTAACTAAATTAGTGAATTGAGATGAGATTAGAGAGTGGCATATAAACCTTAAAATTATTTCAAAAAGTAAATAAATACTATATTTTAAAGAGAATATTATTATATATCAAATTTTAGCTAATTTTTGAGTTATTCAATTATAATGTCTGTACTTTTATATTTCATAAACAAAAGTATTTTACTGATTTACTTTGTTTAAAAAATTCTTTTTTTTAAAGAAAATTAATGAAAACTATATTTAATGCTTTAATAGATAATATATGTAATTGATTCGTAAAAATTATTACAAATTGTAAATTTTGAATGAAAAAAGAAAAATAATTTTATCATTTTATATTTAAAAAAACTAAAAATTTATTGAAAATAATATTTTTTTTATTTTATATAAAAGTAAAAGTAAAATAAAAATAAAGAAAAAAAAAATTAGTATTTGCATTGATAAAATAAATAAATAAATAAATAAATAAATAAATAAATAAATAAATAAATAAAATAAATAAACAGTTAGTTACTCAATTAGTTTTTTTCCCTTAATTTTCAATTACTTACTATAAACTCGAGGGTAATTTTTTTAACAATTTATGAATTACTTTCAATGAAATATTGATCACAATCTAGACATTAATCACAAAATTTATGAGAATTATTGACCATTATACTCAATATTGAACTATTTGAATAAAATCTTAAGCTCTTGTATTTCAATATTAAAAAATTTTCTTTTTCAAAATTGTAACTCATGTAAAATAACTTCAGAAACAACTTATTACAAAAAATTAGTTTTCAAAAAATTGTAAAATCTTTATTTTTCTAATTATTTAATTTTATTTCTCATATAATTTATTAAAGTCAAGTTAAATTCAAAATTATTTTTTAAAAAAGCTTGGGATTAAAAATAAAATGTTTAATAAAATTTTTCGATTAAAAGTTAATAGTTTAAAAAAAAATAAATATTACTATACTTTTAAAAAGCTCATTAAGTTAAATAATTTTGAACACTCTAATCATCATCTTTTGTTCAAGAGAATTTACATAAATTTGTACATCAAGATAATTTTAATTAATTTGCTGATAATTTTTTTTTTCTCAATAAATACTTTAAAATTCTTAGAATTACTTTTTATTTAAAAATAATAGTTATATTTTTGTGACTTAAGAAAGCTTAAAGCTACAAAATTAAATCCAACAAAAGCCAAAATACCAAGAATGATAATTTTTATTACATTTTTTATATATAATTATTATTTAATTTATTTGAGTTTATTGTAAAGTTTTATTTTTAATAGATAATTCTAATATAAACCAAAGTAATATAATATTTTTTGATTCATACTTTTTACTGGGTAAATTACACATTTTTTTAAAAATGTATCCTTTTTTTATATGCTATACCATAGTAAGTATCTTTGTTTTCAGGACTTGAGTCATGAATTCTTCTTGATTTAGCAGATGACATTCTTAAATTAAAATCAACATCATAGAAATTCTAATTGTCTTTTCTTGATAAAACTAATCCCTTTTTAATCCTCTCTTATTTTTATGAAAAAGGTAAGAAAATTTAACTTTCTGACAAATTTTAGCAATTCAAAGGATTATTGAAATTATTTTGCTTTTCTAAAGAAAATGATTTGCTGATATTAAATAAATTATATGCCGTATTACTGAGGATAGGTATTTATTTAGTTGTACTTATTGGGTTAATATTTTAAGAATATTCAATTTGTTATTAAGTTTTGTTGTTTTGATCAATATTTAAGCTTTAGCTTAATAGTTTTAGCTTATTATCATTTTAATTAGAAAATACATTTAAATCATTTTGATTGTTTTTGTTGTTTTCAGAGTAATAATTATTTATTTAAGTTGTTATCATTTATATTTCATTTTACTTATTTAATTATTTATTTTCAATAGTTTCTTCTTTTGAAACTTTGGTTTACAGTCCTTACAATTTTTAATTTTATATATCACCTTACTAGAAAATTTCTTTCTAGGTATTTTTATTTCTCATCAAATTGGGTAATGTTTTAGCTTGAATATTGATATTTTCTTGTTAATAAAACTGCATTTATGAAGAGAAATTTAATGCTTTTTTCGAGTCATTATAGCTTTTTTAACGCTAACTGTATTACTTATCTAAGTTTGTTTATTATTTGACCTCAGAAGACATTAGAGATACATATGCTTAGTAGGGACTCTCTTCATAAGAACTCTATTTTGATGAATTGTTATTTGAATTATTTTCTTCATTTCCATCAATAATTTTTGATTGGCTTAATTAAAATGAATCAGTTTAGTTTGAATAAAAAGCACTTTTTTGACTGATAGGTTCTTAAGTGTATTAATTTGAATCTAATTTTTATAAAAGTGTTCCTTCAGGACTGATTCTAATTGATCTCTATTTAGCCTTTTTTAGGTATATTTTATCATTTTGTTATGGAAACCACTCTTCTTATTCAAGATGATTTGCTATCAAATTATTATAAACAGTTTTGTTTTCCAGAGAGTGCTGTCTCATAAGTTTTTCATTCTGTAATTGATTCTGATCAAAAATCTACTGATAAAGATTAAGATTCAAAGTATTTTTTTAGCTTATTTAGTTTTAATTAACTTTTTCTAGCTCTTACGTTTCAGGTTAAAATGTTAAAGATCTATGAAAAGTATAATAAGTAGGCTATTACATTTAAAAGCAACAATTTCTAATTATTGTGTTTTATTCTAAATATTTAGTTTAAAGCTTATCTTTTTACACTTGGTATAAAATTTCATCAAAATTATTTTTCTTTTTACTTTTTTGTTTAAGAAAAGAATTCAAATTCAAGCATTGTTCTTTGTTTTACGATTAGCTGATAAAATTTTTTAAGGTATTTTATTTTCTATTTGAGTTCTATGAACTAGCATGATCTTAATTATCATTATTTCCTTTAATTATGCTAGAGTTATTAGACATTTTTTCAGTTTCAGCCTTTTTTTTACTATCTTAAATGATATCTTACAACTTTTTATCATATAATCTTTTGTAAACTATCATTTTCCTTAAATATTCTTCTTTCATATGGTTAAGAGTGGCTTAGTCATAGAGTTTTTCTATATCTTTAATATTTGTTGAGTATACAATGCTATTTTTAGCTGTAATCCTTACAGAATACTTATATTTCTTCCAGCTTTCGAAAATGATTTCATCTCCAACAAAAAATATCCCATCTAAAAAAAAATAAAAATAAATTGTTAATATTAAATAAAATTAATTTTAATTACTTGTTAAATTTTCTATCACAAGAGTACCTTTTAGATCTTTTGAAATTGATTTCTTAAAATTCTTTTTAATGAAATACTTCATTTATATCTCACATGATCCCTAAACAATATATACTATTTCATTTATGCTTCCTTCTTCGAAAAGGAATTCATCTTTCTAAATTTTCTGAAGCTATATTTATTAATGTAATTTAAAAGTTAGTTAGGTTTTTTATAAAAAAGAATCATAAAAATAAATAAATAAATAATTACTTAAAAACTGGATACGATTTAAGTGATAGTATTTTAGTTATAGATATCATAATTTATATTGATAGCTTTCTATATTATTTCTTTGATCTTTTTTTTTTATAGGTTGTTTTGTGCTTATAATTTCCAAAATGTATTTTTATCAAAAGTGACAAACTCAGCATCAGTAATGGTTAGTAAAGTGCATGTTCTAGGACCCTTTTCATATAAAACACTTTCTCCTGATGCTTCACCAATATCAATTTCTGTAAAATCAGGACCATACTCGTTTAAAAATTTAACTATTTCATCTCCTTCTAAGTACAGTTCTTAATTTTCTTTTGATATAGAGTCTATATAACTGGCATATTATTTTATTTCAAACTAATCTTTAACTCCTGTTCTTGTAATATTCTCACTGAAAACATTTTAATTTTTTTTGAGTTCAACAGCTGAACCTGATAGCAGTATATAAATATTTCTATTCATTTAGTCTCCTTATTTAATTACTAAAGATCCTTTATTCAGTTTGACATATCTAAGAGATCGCATAAACTAGTTGTATGCAAAATTAAAAATAAATAATTTTATAAATTAATATTCTCAAGCAGCCAAAACATGAAAAAGATATGTTATCGATAAAAACATTAACTTTTTTGCAAATTTTTATTAATATAAATGAGAATAGTATGTCAAGATATTTGATCAAGTCTAAAAATAATTAAAATTCTCAATTTAATTTACTTTATAATAGCTCAAAATTCTACTGTCCATGAAGTAAACATTAATGAACCTCTTAAGAAAAGGTAGACATGACATTTAATCAAATATTTTTAACTGATTTTCATCGATAAAGTTTTATGAAAATTTGTTTTTCCTATTCTAAGGACTTAACAGTCTTCCTAAAGGAGAATCTGAATCTTATAATTATTAATTTTTCAACTAAGCAATAATTGTTTCTAATAACTTTATAAAAAATATCTAATAACACCACAAGTATGAAAGCGGTAAATAATTACTTTAGAGTCAATAGTATTCTTCTTTTTCATTTTCTTAGTTTTTTGAAGTTGCTGATTGTTAAAATAAATAAATTTTATAAATATTAAAAAAAATAGTATTTTGTTTAATATTTATATGTAAGAAAGTAAACAGAGTCTCGTTCTATAAATTAATAGCTTGTGTAATTCATGTAATATAAATATAAGCCATTCAAAAGTATTTTTATTTTAATTACATCTAAAATATTGAATTGATTGTCATTAACTCGAATATTTAAAATGTAAGTCTTTGCTTTTCTTAAACCACAGAATTTATTTTATAAGTTCATCCTAACTAATACTTTAAAAATTAGTCAAAGATCAAATAAATAAATTAAACTAACATTTATATATTATTATAAATAATTTATTTAAATATAGAACAAGTTAGGCCTACCAAATTACGCAGTTTTCTATTATGAAAAAAGGATTTTTGATATAAATATCATTTAAGCTCAAAAAATTCATAGTTTCTTAAAAAACAACTCTATCTAAATATCAAAAAAAAAAAGCAAAATTATTTTCATTTTAATAAATTTATTATTTTGAAAAGCTATTTTTAACATTAAAATATATTAAGATAATAATAATTGTTAAAGAAAGTAAAAAGAGAGATTATTAATTAATATTTTATCAATTTAATGTTTATGTTATAAAAACCTTCTGAAAATTTTTGAAGTGTATCAATAAAATAGAAAAGTATAAATATATGTAACAATATAATATGAACAAATAGTATAATTATAATAATAAATAAAATGAATAATTAATAAATAATAAGATAATATTAGATACATAAATTAATTTATATTTATAAATGAACTTAAATAATTTTTAGAAAAATTAATTCAAAGAAGCAATCAATGATTGAATTTATACTTAATAATAAAAGTAAATAAATATTTTTAATATTAGCTACTTTAAATATATTTTATTTTGTGAGTATTATAAGACCGTTTAAATCTACCTCTTCATTAAAATTATTTAATAGTTATTTAAAATATAAAACTTCTTATACAAATTCATAAGGACAGAGAGACAGACAGTCAAAGATTTAAATTAGAAACTGTCATGTTATCTGTCCTTTTAATTTAAAATAATAAATTTTGGCGATTTATTTAATTTTCATTTGCTCATTCATTAGTGAGGAGAACTATCTGAAGGTTATTAGTTTTCAGAATCTTCACAATTTATTGTATTTAATTTTTCGTTTGATTCTTCATTGTCCATTTCAAAAATTATTTCATTAGAGTTTTTGTCTTCTTCATAATCAGAAGCATTTTTAATATTTTCATTTTATTGTTGTTGTTATTTTTGAAGATTGCTTTCTTCATCTACATCTACATCTACATCTATATCTCCATCATCATCACTTTCAGATGAAGATTCTATTTGTTTTATGTCTTCACAGGCTTCATTAACTTTCTCTTCGTTATTCTAACTTACTTACTAAGGTTGAGAAGCTTATTGTGGAACTTGTTATGAAAGTTCTCCCCATTAATTTATAGAATCAGTTAAATATTCAATTTAAGTGTTAAGCTCTCCTTTATAGAAATCATTTAAAGACTTCCATAGAGGAAGGACTATAACACTAAGAAAACCTTTTTCAGCCTTTGCCATTACATGGAGTATATCTAAATCTTTCATAAATGATGTCTACTCTACACCTCTCTTGCCCTCTTCAATATACTATTATAATAATATTTTACATCAATTTATAAAATGTAATTCTGTAAAATAAATTATATTACTTGATTATGGAATTCCCTATTGACTTTTTCTGACCATTATCTTGATAATGGGAATGGCTTAGCTGCCCCTGTAAAATCTGCTGTATGAATAATCATACCAGTTAACAGATCAATTTCTCCTTCACTGTCTGCTTATAAACACAATTAATTTAAATTTAATTTAAAATTAAATATAACACTTTACTTGTAGTTTTTAGTTATTCATCGTAATTTTTCCATTATGTTTCAAAATCTAGAATCAGTTTAAAGTGTTACTTAATGTCTGTGTATAAAATATTTGAGATCATTGATCTTCTCACTTGATTATAAGTGATTGGTTCTAAATTTTGCAATATGTTATAATCTAATGACTATTTCATAATTTTAAATGTGGTTGCAAGATGATGTTACTCTAAAACCTTTTTATTTTTTATAAGAAATATATATAAATATATTTATTAGTTTATTATTTAAACTATTTTTTTACAGATTTATCGTGATATCTAATAGCGAGCTTTGATTAAACTGAAATTTCAAAATTATTGGTCCTTCCTGTATGCCCAACGTCATGGCAAAGACCAGAAAGTATAACTGTAAATATATCAATTGGTTTTAATACTTATGTTGCTCTTTAACACTTAGATAGCATATAGCAGCTTTACATAACTATTTATTAAATTAGAATGTTTATTTATTTATTTATTAATTAAAATTATTAAATTAAAATACCTGAAACACCGTGATCAAAGTTATGGAAATCATTATTTTTTATATCATATTATTTTTATAATTCTTTAACAAAGTTTGCAAAAACATCTTCTGGGATTGAACAAGATTCGAAATACTAAGCCCTCTATAAAATGTTCCATGCAGTTGTATATTTTTCTTCTACAGACCTAAGCTCAAAAACATTGAAATCCCAATCATCTATGTTAGTCACGGCTGGAGTGGCATGAAGAAGATTTTTAAGATACTACTATTCAAGTTGTTGTTTTTAAAGTGCAGTTGGGGAATTATTAGATAATTATTTAGATTAGTTAAGCTTTGCAGTCTATCTCATAATAACACTGCTTTTTTATGAAGCTCCTATAGCAGGAGTAGAAGTAAATCTTTCTCTATGATTTTAAGTAAACATCTCTATTTAAGTATTTTGATTTTCAATTGATACTTTTTCTTCAATATTAAAAGAGTTTATTTTCGAGTATAATTTTTTTAAAATTAATTTTATTCTTGGGTCATTAAATTCTGAGTTGTTGAGGCTATTTAAAATGTCATCAAGCTAATAGAAAGATTCAAAATTAGTGCATGAATCTGAGTGGAAATCATCTTAGATATTAATGAAAATGCTCTATATTACTATTTTTTGTTTCTAAGGAAGTATTTATACATATATTTATGAATCAGGGATGCTTTTTAAGTTAAACCAAGTGTTAGGTTTTTTGATATAGCTTTTGAAGGGACGATAGCTCTTGGAAGCACTGCTAACAAAGCTTTTATTATTGTTATTGTTATTGTTGTTAGCATTATTGCCGTTATTATTGTTGTTGCTTTTTTATTCTCCGATTCCATTTAAGTTTTAATTATTAAACTTCTCCCCAAAATCAGGACTCAAACAGCTATTTTGGCTGTTTTATTAATCAATTTTAATTTCCTGTTAGATTGAAGATCTATTTTATGGTTGGAAAGGTATATCTTCATCTTACAATTGCAAAACATTTGGTAGTATATTTTCGTTTTTCTAAATTTTTTACTTTTCGTTTTCTTCTTCTTTATGATGCTTCAAGTTTACTTTCTCTTATTCTTCAAGTGGCTATTTAAAGTACTCAATAATTTCATAAAATTCCTTAATAAAATTTTTATTATTCTTAAAGATATCTTCTATTTTGAGTGGTCTTTCCTAAATATCATTATAATCTATATCTAAATTGGATCTATTTATTAATATCACAAAAAATATTGTAAATAAAAAAAACAATAATATTTTCATTAAAGGATAGTTTACTTTGAGTGCGAAATGAATTTTAGTTATCCTTTTTTAGATATATCCAAGAATGTTTGATACTAATTTCTCAAAAAGTATTTGTACACAAACACTTTTTAGCTCATTTTAAGTAGGAATTGTTTGTATTTAGCAAAATAATGTGATATCTTTGTTTTTAATAAATTTTAATTTATTCATTTTTTTTAATATGCAAAAATACAAAAAATTTTATTAATTACTTCTATAAAAAAGGTGTATAATGCAGGATCATTTAAAATACTCTCTCCACTTGTGCTTTAGAAAACAATATCTGAATAATCGTCTTCTAAAACTAACTAAGAGTTTTTAAACAAAGACGCTCTTTCCTCAGCATCTTAGGATTTACTCTCCTTGGTATCAATTTATTTTACATGGCTTTTAGTATTATTTATTCGAAATTTTTTTGTTGTTTAATATCATTAATGTATGTAAAAATTACGTATTTATTTTGAAGGTTGATTTTAATTTTTATTGGAAAGAATCTATTAGGAGATTTTTACCGAAATTCAAGAATGTATGACTTAAATCTATAATTTAGAAAGAGCATTCACTCTAACTGTTTAGGTTTTAGATAGTATTAACAATAAACTGTCCTAAATATGTGAATGCCTAATTCTGATATATTGGAAGTGCCAAATTATTTCTATTTTATTTTAAAAAATATTTTATTAAACTGATAGTTTAATTTAATTAAAATAAATTTTCGTGTTTGTTTTATTTAAAATATTTAATGGGAATAAATTTCATTTTATTTAAATTTTGTTGGTATGTATATATCCTCATCCCTATTCTACAGTAATTGGTAATAAATTTCTCTTGCATTAATGTAATCTAATATTACAAATTTTAAATTGTTAACAGCCTATTTGAATTAATTAATTAAGTATTTTTTTATTTTTCTTCTTATTGAAAATATTTATTTTCCTTCACATATAATTTGTTTCAATTGAAAGGCTGGCTCAGATTATAAAATAAAGAATTAATCAATGAATGAATGAATCTTACGTAATAATTTTGGATTTTTCATTAAAGAAAGAGATTTCGTTCTCATATCTAAGCGATATAATTTCATAAGACTCGCTTTTTAAGTTGTAAAATTTGTATACATATGCTTTATATTAAGAATTATAGCTACTACATTTTGCTATGATTGTAGGAAAGGTATTAGAATCTAAATCCTTAAGTTCTATTAATCCTTAATGCAATTAAGAAATTTCGTCAGCAAGAGTATCGCTTGAAAAAGAATATCCACTTTAATTTTTTTCATAACTCTCTGAATCAAAAAAGATCCAATCTTAATCTTTTTATTACTTATTTTCTTGTATAATAGATTCAGAAACTCTTATAGATTATAAAGCACCACCTTCATCAGCTTTTGATTTCTTCTGCTATTAAGGCTATGCTTGAGTAGCGCTGTTACAGCCAGTGTTTGGATTAGAAATGAAACAAAATGAATCTACATTTATTAAATCCTTTAATAACTTATTCACATTATATAAGGTTTGTTATTTATTTAAGTTATCTTGCACAAAGAGCTGAGCCAAACGCAATAAATCTTTGTAAACAGACTGATTATTTATTTGTTTATTAATAAAAAAAATGTAATTTACTAAAATATCATTTCAAATAAAGCTAATTGCTAAAAATATCTGAAATATGAAATACCTTAATTGATTTGTAAATATTGTATAGAGACAAAATATCCTCAGATGAGAATTAATTTTTAACTGGTGAAAGATTTCCAGCTGAGAGCAAATTATGATTTGAAGAATTAAGACTTTTTCTTTAAGGTGCAAGAGGAGAACTCTAATCAAAAACAACTTACTATAATTTTTTGAAAATCTTTTATAGCTATTTTTTATCATACTAGTTGAGTTTACTAGGAGAATTAGTTAATAAATCTTCAAGGTATTTAAGGAAAGTGCTTATCTCAGGTTTATTCTTTTATTTATTTTAATAAAATAATTTTAGAGACTGACTATTCAAGTGAGTTATGAACAATTTATTCTTAATATTTTTTCTTTGTTGAAATGCGCTTTCGAAAAATAGCGATAAAAATTTTCATGATACGATATTTTATTTAAAACTAACTACAAATTAATTATGTAGATAAAAATAATTCTTCAACAAGCTGTCAAATATTTATGTTTAATTAAATGAAATTCAATTTTACTTGAGAGGAGATATTCGAGGGACTTTTGCCAGAATTACGCGAAATTTAAACTTCCAACAACGATGAATTTGAAGAAAAACTACTCTCTTTCATAGCTCTTGGTGGCATTTAAAAGTGGCTTTTTATGAATTTAATAACATTTTCTTTCATAATTTTAAGATCGCCCTTGGAATTAAAGAGTAATTGAAGAAGCTCTCTATTATTTTCGATGAGCTGGATTTTTGCATTCTTTTTGTGTTCTTCGCTTAATTAATTTTCATTCTTAAGTTCTTTTAGGGCTTAGTAAAAACAATCAGAAAGTGTTGTATCTATCTATTGCAGATTTATTGATGAATTTGGTTCGGTTTAGGATATCCTTTATTTAATGTCTTCCATACTATTTATCTGAGATAAGATTCTACTCTAATATTTGTAACTTGCTTGTGGTATATGTGTGTCTGTGTGTGTGCGTATTTGAATTTAAACAAAACTGCTACCTTAATGATATTTAAGAATATTTTATATTCTCCTTATTAATTTATTTAATCTATTTAGATAAAGAGAGAACTCTCCTAAATTATGTTTTTCTTTAAATTATATACAAAAATTGTTTATAAATAGGCTTTTTGATTTTGTCTTTAAAATTTTTATTACTTTTCTAATTGACTTTCTATCTGCCAAATATATTTTAATACAAATTCAATAAATAATAAAAAAGCCTAACAAACCTAAAATAAATCCTATTCAGCTCTTAATATTTTTTTTCGTTTTTTTTATTTAAATTAATTTTTATTTCAATCTGTCTTAATACTCTATTTATAACTAGTGGTCAGCTCATCTAGTCTTTTTTTCCTATAATTTTAAAGTTATTGAATTCACAATTTTCATGTAACATTAACAATTTCACATGCAAATAATTTATTTTTAATTTTCTATCAAATGCATAAACGCTTTTGGGATGGTTAATTTTTAAGGCTATATGAATATATTGTAAGAATACTCAAATTTTAAGTATAGTAATAATATTTCAGATTATCTCTTTGACTTCTAATATTATTAGATTTTATTTATTCCTTTAAAATGTTTCTCAAGCATATTTATTCTATTATTTTATTTTATTTAATGCTGATTCGCTCCTGTTTTAGTTTATTTATATCTAATTATAAGTTTTCTATTAGTTTAATTTTTTTGTTTTAATATTGTACTTACTAATTAAAGAAAAACAATTAAATTATTTACCGTAATTCCTCATAAATAAAGAACACGTTATATTAAAGCCATTTTTGAAAAATCATGAAAAGAATTCTATTTTTTATTGTAAAAAAAAAAAAAAACTTTTTAGTGTGAAATACTAAAAATATTACCTTATATACTTTTTTTATTAATAAAATTAATACAAAATATATTAAATTATAAAATCTATCTTTTATGAATTAGTTAACACAGACATATTATAAGATTCAATGAGAAATTATAATAATATTAAAAATAAATTATTATAATGATATAAATTTCTAATTATATTTATTACTAATCCATATTTATAATAACCCAAAAGAAAATAAAGAGAAGATGATAAACTAAATTAGTTAAAATAAATAGAAAAAGCAAAGAAATTAATTAATTAGATTAAAATGCCTAATTGGTTATCTTATTATATTTTATAGAAACAATTATTTAGTTACATATGTTTGTTTAATCAAACAAACATATTTGATTTTAAAATTCATAATTCAAATATTTATTTATGCCCACTTAATTGAAAAACATAAAATATCACTTAAAAAATAAAGGTATTAGAAAAATAGAAGGAAAATTTTGAATCAAATTAAATTTTAAAATAATAAATCGATAGATGAACACAATGAAAAATATTTTAAAACATATGAATTTTATTCATTTTTATCAAAAGAAATTTTTTGCAAGCTTTTAAATCATTAATTATAATATTTGTATTAGCTCTTTAAATATAATTCAAATGTTTCTTTTAGTTCTAATTTTTCATCTTTATCAACTTCATTCTTCTTATAGTGATAGTAAGCTCCCATTAAGACAGGTTCATCATCATCTACTTTTTGTATTAAAAATTTGACCTATTTTGATAAAATAAAATTTATATTTTTACAAAAAAAATAAATTCTTTCTTTACTTGATTTTGATCCCATTTATTAATTCTTGAAAACTCTTTAATAACTCTCTTCATATCATCTAAAATAAAATAATATATATATTTAAGTGATTCATTTTTATAATAGGATAATAATTTACTTGATGTTTCGTAATGATATATCATAGCTAGATTCTCTAAGAAATCTTCCTTGTCTTTCATGTAGTCATGTAAACAAAGAGCTCCTAATAAATTTTTATTGGCAGAGTAAATGAGTTGATTAAAAAGTTCTAAATTAGTGATTTCTCTTTCTTATAAATCATTTCTATATTATTCAACTACTTTTTTTAACTCTTCTCTTTCTTCAATACTAGGACAACTATATTTCATTTTTAAAAAGTATTCATCTTTTCTTAAGCCTATTTTATCAAAAAAAAAATTAATTGTTTTAATAATCATTTGGATATGAGCTTAAAATATACTATTAGAAATTTCTTTTGCGTATTTGCATATACCATCAACTAACTCTCCTTAATCTATTACTCCAGCATCGTATTCATTTACTAATGATTAGATGTGGCAATTTTCTTGATCCTGCTTTATGATAATTTCTAAATCCTTCTTTTCTTCACTTCTTAAATATCTTCCATATGCATAAATAATGTAAAGTTGATCTAAAACGTATTGATTTAATTTTGATATTTCTGTTTAATTCTATTTATTATTGAATTATTATTAGCTTTTTAATATTTGAATTTAAAAATTATTTACTAAATTGAATTTAATCAAACTCATCTTTCCAATCAAAACAAGATTTTCAACAAATTCTCTCCAGTTTTCTATAATAAAAAAAATTATTAGTAAAAATCTTAAAGTAAAATATATAATTATATATACTATTTATGCAATAAGCTTCAAATGCAGCTAAGGTCACTACATCATCATGCAAGAATAGATATTGTTGAACATAGAAATCTACTTATTCAGATTAATACTATTTCTAAATTATTTTATTTAAAATTATTATTATTTGTTATTCAAAAAAATTATTAATAAATAAATAAATAATATACCTCAATTATCTTTAGTAGTCTTTTGAAAAGATTGAATTTTCCAATCTTATTATTAACTGATTGGATGGATGAATAACAGCTTCTTTTTTTGTTTTTTGCAACATTTGTAAGTTTTTCTTTAACAATTTATAGATTTCTTTATTCTTTGTAATCTTCAATAATATCGATAACATCTAAATCATTCTTTAAAAATAAATAGTCAAATAAAATTATACTATTAATTTATATTTTACGACTTAATATAATATGCTAAACACTTCAAGGACTTTTTTATTAAGTGGGTTAGTGGTAGTAGTTGAGAGGTTCACTATTTCATCATAAATTCTATCATTCTCATTATAAATATATGAGCAATAGAATTCACTAATTTCATGTGATAAGATTTCATTTAAATCATTATCTTAAACATTCATGCCGGTGTTCTAAACTTCGACATTAATTTACTACAATTTCTTCAAATTAATTAAACCGAAAACAGGCTACTACTAAGATTATTGCTGATTTATTTAGTACTTAAATTAGGATTATCCAGTCGGAGATCTAATTGATTTTTCCTTTTCCTCTTCCTTTTGAGATTAAGAGGAGTCTTATCTATCAGGGCTGTTTGATTTTTCTTTATTAGGATTAATTAAAATATTTTAGTTAACATTTTTTTATACAAAAAAATATAAGATAAGTTAAAATTTATTACTAGATTATTGCTTCTTATTTCTAGGAGAAAATTTAGCATTTGTTTCAACTTGAAGAGATTCAGTTCTCAATCTCTTTCTAATTGAAGAATCGGAACTTTCATTAGTGAGAGGTCTGGCTTAAATTTCAGTTTCTGATTGAGCATTGTGAAGGCTAATTAAACCAGCTTTTTTAGCTCCTTGATTGTTATTTCTTTCTTATATATTTTATTCATGTTCCTATTTGGCTTCTTGAGGTCTGTAAGAGAATTCAGCAGAATTCTAAACAGGTTTGGCATTACTATCGCTAGACTACTAGTAGTAATTTTATTGGTTTGAAAAAGAAGGCTAGTTATCTTGGATGTAATGCTAATTGCTATAATATTCATACATTACTATTGTCTACAAAAAAATGAAATTTTACTTTGCAAGATTTGCTATAGATTAATCTATAGGAGATATAGCATTACTTTCTTAGAGTATTTCATCAGGGTGTATTTTTTCTTGGTACCCTTTAAATATGCTTCCAGCTTAGCGGTTAGAGCTCAATTCATCATCTGACTCATCAAGAGATTGCTTACGAGTCTAATCTTTCATAACAGCTAATTTCAAGTTTTATATGAAAGCATCTAAATCAGATTAAACTCTAAAAGACTACAAAAAAATAATTAAATAAGTAAAATAAAATAATAAATTAATAAATATACCATAAATAAATCCTCAAAAATTAATAACAAATATTTAAAAATTTTATTTTTAAAAATTAAAAATATTAAGATTAGAAAATAAAAGAAAATTTTGTTTTGCTGTTCTTAATTAATGATGATTTATATTATATTTTTATACTTTTATTAAAAAAAAAAAAACCTGATAAACTGCGAATATTGAAGTTGTTACAACTTACTTGTTTGCTTCTATAAGATAAACTTCTTCTGATTTAAAGTGCTTGTTTAAAACATCTTTAAATTTGCTTGAGACCATAATTTTGATGGGCATGATACTCTTTTCAAATTAAATTATTTTTAAAGATGTTATTTAGAGTGTATTATGTTACATAAGTAGCGTTTGATAGCTGATTGTGTTGGGTAATTTCTTCAAAGAGTTGCAAAATATCTTCATTTTATTAATTTAATAAATAGACAGCCATACCTTTTATGTTAAAAATAAAATAAGTATTTTATATTTTTATTTAATCTATACCAAAGTCTTCAGGATTAAATTAATCTATATGATCATCCATGAATTCCAAATAGGTATTTGTTTAGTTAAACTCATCTTCATCTAATCCATCATCATCACCATCTCTTTAATTGTCTTGTAAATTTTATAGATCTTCTTCGGTGTCTGTATTTTCTAATTTATTTTTTTCATCGTTTTACTACTTGTATACAATTTATGCAATATTTTGGATTTAGTTTTATTATACTGGCTAGGTTTCTTTACTTAACTATCCTGCATTCGAGTTGAATATTTACAAATCATCATTAGATTGTTATTGGCTATTTGTTATTTAATCTAATTTCTTTTATAATTATTCACTATTATTGTATTAAAAGTCATTGTTAATATTGTTGTTATTGTTGTTGCTACTGTTAATTATGCTATATAAATTTGTAGGCTTTGGTCCACTGCTTCCTTAGTTTAGCTATTGGTGTAATTAAATTGTATGGAGAGGAGAGTCCTCATTTTCTTCAGCTCTAAAATGAGGTTGATTTTCCACTACCTACTTCTATTTTGAATTGTCAATAACTGGTGAAGCAGATAAAAATTATCTTTGGATGTTAGCAAACTATGCAGAAGAAGAGGAAGATTAATGAGCGTTGTTGTATTATGGGATTCTTTTTTGCTTTTAATCACTTCCCTATACATCTAAATACTGATTTGCAATATTTTATATTTATAGCTCATCTTAACTTTGCTAATTGTCACCACTATTTTAAAAATCTAATTTCTTGTTTAAATATTCCTTTTTGTAATCTTGTTACAAATTTTGATTTTCTTGATCATCTGGAATTTATTAAAATTGTTATTACTGCTAGAAGAAGTTATTCACTTTTATATTTTCAAAGTTTTTCATGGCTTTTAAATCTCCACTTTAATTTGCACTTCTTTGCTAAATGGATTAATTGGTATTTTCTTAGCTCTTTATGTATTAGGAAGCTATTCTTTTTAAACTCTTAACTAGCTCATCTTAGAGTCTACCATCAGAAAAAGTTCCCATTAATAATTAATTATTGCTTTCAATCAGAATTTTTAAAATTTCAACTTCTTTCTCTGTGAGATAATTTTTTGAGACAATGTTTTAGAACATTTAGATAACTTTTTCTTTTTTAGGCCAAGGACTAGTTGGTCTATCAAAGTGGTTTGTTTAAATAATATATTTCTTCAATTTTTCGCTATTAAAAATATTTTATTATGGTTTAATTAAAAATTTCCTGCATTCAAAAATAATACCTCAAAGAATTTTTGTTATAAGAATTAGACAGATATCCTTCGACTATTGAAATAATTTCTTGGTTTTCTGCTAATATTAATTTCTTTATTTGAGTTAAGATTGGCATTTCAAGTAAGTTTCCTGTTTCAAGCTCTATAACAGCTTTCATTAATTATTCTTAAGAGCTTTTTTTGTTAACATTTTAATAAAATTATTTATTTATATGTAAAATAACTTACAATCCTAGTTTAGAATCAGATCCGAAATTGCTCGTTTATTGTCTACTTGGAGTTCTTCTAGCTCCTGAGTGTTGAGGTTAAGCAGAACTTTGAGGTCTGTTATTTTAGAAATTCTTATTCTCAAATCTTTTTTTTAATAAATTTTGTAAATTTTTTTTAGCTTTTAAAAAATACTAATTTACTAGTTGTTAGTTTTGCTGTTGTTATTTTCTACATCCAATTTTTCTTGGTTATTTTGCTAGTTAGCTACCTAAAGCAAGTAGTCTTTAAAAGAATTCTAATCAAATTCGCTAATTTAACAATAAAAATTATTGATTGAATGAAATCTTTTGTTTTTTAATAATTATTTTATATTTACCTATATACCTCGTAGTATCCTCTCATAAATAAATCAAACTTTTCAAGTATTTTGCACTTAAAAATAAAGTAATCAAGTGTAGTAATTTAGTTGTTTGAGTGATATACATCAAGTAAGTTAAGCAGTTCACGTTGATCAGGGATATTTGCAGGAATAGTAATTATATCTCCTGTATCAAAATCAGTTTACTGAACTGACTGCTCCATCAGTAGTAAAGCTTGTGCATGTTAATTTTAAGGGAAGTGGCTGCTCGCAATTTAGCCTGATTAAGCAAGCATGCCAGAAGCAGTATTCAAAAAGCGTTCAAGCAATCTTAAAATTGTTTTGGCTTAATTTTAAAGAGATATTTCCATAACCTTTTATCCCCCTTTATAAACAATCACAGAAGGAAAAACTTTAAAGTTTTGAATTTCTTCTTTGCTTTTTACATTACAACAAAAATAATCAACTCTGTCACCATAACTATCTGCAAGACTATTCATAACATTTACCCATTCGTTATTAAATGAATTAACTAAGCTATTATTGACTATAGGATCAAGAGAGTGTAGATAGTCCTTATCTTCTATTAAAGCTATTACACTTGTGCGATCTTCCTAAGGATCCTAGAAATTTTCTTCCCAAACTTTGAAATTATTAACTACTGTAATCATGCTAGAAAGACATAACTATCCTTGCTAATTATTTGCATTGTAAAGGTTTTAAGAATACTAATTTTTATGATGAGATTGGCTATTTTAATATCTAAATTCTGACTATTAAATATGCTTTTATACAGGTTCAGAACTTTGGTGAATGCTGCTATTACGAATTGAAGAAGAAGGATTCTTTTGTGTAGACTATGTATTCAATTAAGAGACCTCGTTTTATTCTACAATAACATGATAGACTTCATTAGGTTTAAGCAAGTTGCTATTGCAAAATGTTTTAATTTAATAGAAGTTATCTAGTTATTTTATTAGTAAATAGATAGATTATGATGTTGAAAAAACAAATTTGATAAAAAAGAAACAATCAATATTTACCTGACGTATCCTTCAAGCCCAAAATTTTACCCTTTATATCATAATGGTTTGCAATTAAATATGATAGATCTTCAGCAGAGAGCTTTGATCTAAATCCTAATTTCTTTGTTTTGTTTTTATATCTTAAGATAATACTATTCATTTTTTATTTTAATTTTATTGGTCGATTGAATTTTATTTCAATTATTTAAATTTTGATTAATTAATTGAAATCGGTTATTAATTATTCAGCTATCTTCACTATCTTTTATATATGTATATATATTTTTTCATTATATTCTCTAAGCATTCATTACTTTTTACATAATATAATTTGCTTGTATTGATTAAATCTTCTATACATTTAATACTTCTTTTTATTTCCATATCATTTTTTCAATCAAAAATAATTTAATATTTACTTAGATTCTCCAAATTATTTGTTTATTTATTTATTAATTTATTTGTTTTTGTCTTTATTCAAAAATCTTCAAAGATATACATACCTATTTATCTATCTATCTATTCATTTTATTACATTTATTGCAAAAAAATATCACTATAACATACATATAAATTAATAATCATTAAAAGCATTAATTTAAAGTAGTTTTCTTCTAATTAAATGTAATATATAAATAAGTAGACGAATTTAAAGATAATCACTTTATAAATATTATATAAATACATGGATACTAAGAGATTGACTGGTATTAGACAAAGTATTAATTTATTTTGTAAATATAAAAATTACCTACAAAATTTTTGAAAGTAATTAAGTGTTTTTGATAAATAGTAATTATATTTATTATAATAAATTAATATTTTTCTATAAAAGATATAATTCATTTAATATTTATCTACATTAAAATTAATTACTAGTATAAAGACTATCTAGTAATATATACCTAATTTTCGTTTTTAAAAAATTAAATTAAAAAATCTTAGATAATTAAATTCAACACCAAAAAAAAAATTAAAGTTTTAAAACTAAAAATATTTATTAATTTCTAAAATGTAAATCAGTTCACAGTAATGTTGAGTATATCCAGCACTAATATCATCATATATGTTTTTATCTCTGAAAAATAAATTTACTCCTGCTTTAGTGGGAAGTCAGATAAACAAAATGAAAATAATTTTTCTCAATTTTATGTAAGTTTTTTTATTCTTAACAGTTTTTATGATTTAATTTTTGCTTTTTGAAGTGTTATTATTGAATAATAATATTTTTCACATAAAGCATATTGTAAATGTTATAAAAATTTTAGGAGTTAATTGGGGTTGGGGTTGGGGTTGGGGTTGGGGTTGGGGTTGGGGTTGGGGTTGGGGTTGGGGTTGGGGTTGGGGTTGGGGTTGGGGTTGGGGTTGGGGTTGGGGTTGGGGTTGGGGTTGGGGTTGGGGTTGGGGTTGGGGTTGGGGTTGGGGTTGGGGTTGGGGTTGGGGTTGGGGTTGGGGGTTGGGGTTGGGGTTGGGGTTGGGGTTGGGGTTGGGGTTGGGGTTGGGGTTGGGGTTGGGGTTGGGGTTGGGGTTGGGGTTGGGGTTGGGGTTGGGGTTGGGGTTGGGGTTGGGGTTGGGGTTGGG